GATAGGTTTTGATGGTGCGAGGCAATAACTGGCCCGCGTGAAGCTTCTGACGACATGGCATATCCCTGACATCATCTTCCAAGCAAGGCCTCTGTCCCTAGTCCCTAGGCCAATGGGGACTAAGTTACACTGTACCGGTCGACATCTGTCAGTGACTCTTTAGCGGTGGCAACTTGGACCCGGACCAGAAGACAGCGCCTGAGATCAAGTGACGAATCCTGACTGGGCGGTACCCTTGGCGTGCCCTGGTGTGTACAGTAGTGTACGGTTGACCGACCGTCTACGACTTTGGACGAGCCAACAGATAGAAACCTACAGAAACAGTTGGGGCTCGACGACAATTCAGGAGGAGCCAGACCGCTAAAAGACTGAGGGCGCCCCGTGGTCCGTGGCACCTGGAGCTCTGGAATTGGTGATGGCGCCCCGGACCGAGTAGTTGCGGAGCCATGGCCGCGGCCGTGGGTGTTTCGCCTCTCAGTCCGTCCACCAGTCAGTCTACTCAGCGAGAGCCGTATCGGTACCTACCGGCTTGTGCAATGAGGCAGTGAGTCGTCTCGCGATTGCGACTGCGTTTCCGTCCTTGCATTCGGTTTGTGAGGGGCAGCACAACCAAACGGATGGCCAGGGCCTCGGGCAGAAGAGGGAGGGCGTGCCACTAGAGAATCAGCTGCCAAAGTCCACGGCTCCAGGTTCAAGGTTCTAGGGCCAAGGAGCGAGGTCCAAGGTGAGGTCCAAGACCGCCTTAGGCCGCAGCCCAGCCTGCTCACACTTCTGTTATGCAGGGAAGACGAGAGGCAGACTGTGGGCTGTAGCCTGTGGGCGGTCGACGCGGAGTGGACGAGGCAAAGGGCAGCAAACCTTGGGACGCATGGAATGACACGGCATGGGAACCCAGAGGACCCAGAAGACGGGAATGTAATGACGGGCGGATGGGCCGGCGTCGTGCCGTTCCCAGTGCTCGGGCCCAGATTGAGGCTAACTGAGCTTGCTGGGTCTAGGGCAGCGTCATGGCAGCATTGCCAGCCCCCGAGCACTCGCGCCAGGAGGCCTTGAAGCCGTCGAGTGCCTCCAGCCAAGCCCATGGTGGCCCTTCAACAGCCAAGCATCTGGGCGTGACGACGGTCATGGTGATGCGACGCTGACCTCAGATCCAGCATAGTTGACAAGTTGCTCCACGTATACACTCCTTACTCTGTCCGGGTTGGATGGCTTCTAAGGTTGGGCCGAGCCGCAACCGGACTTCTCGCCAGTCAACCAGTCCTCCCAAGGGCCAATATTCGAGGGGCGTGTGCTCACCTAACACCCACTGTTGTCGTGTGGTACCAAGGGAAAGATTTTTCCCCTTCTCGTCCCGTTTGGTCTGTTGTTTTCGGGGTTTGCTCAAATGCCCTTTGCTTTGTTGCCCTGCTCCCCCGCCTTCTTCTTCAGTCGTGTTTCGTTTCGCATCCATTCATTGGACTATGAGGACAGCCGCCGGCCCCATCCGCTGATGATGGATTCTGCCGAGCAGAGGCTGACGGTTGAGGGAAGAGCCATGAAGCTCGGAAACGGGAACCGGCCCGTCCGCCACCTCCCGCCCGTGGACAACTGCAATTCCGGAGAGTTGGGTTGGGGCTGGCTCAGATTTCTTTTTCTCGCTCCTCGGGAGCAAAAAAAAAAAAGGACACCTCTAGAAATAGGTAATAATAAAACAAAACAACAAATACTAACGCATAGGCAGGTGCGCCAATATGACCAAACCCATGATTCAATTCAATTGCATGTATGCCCACCCCCGTCGGTTGTCGCTTGAAGTTTTCGGCCGCACATGTTGCTTACAAGCTGAAGATGGCCGCACTCAGAGCACGGTGCATTGATCTGTAGGGTTCATGGCATAAAGTAGTCTAGTTATTGTTCGGGCAGGCGCTCGGAGGCTCTTTTTTGCATTGGGGAACAAGGTTCGGCGCGATACGACCCGACACCCTGTGCCAACGGTATTATTGCTGCATTTGACACCAAGTGCAGAGGCTTGCGTTCGCATAAATTGCTAATACTCTGACTGCCGAGGATTCTGAAGGGCGGTGAAGACCATTCAATCGTGATGTCGTTGTCTGCATTCGGCCCAGTCATATATGGCTACTCCGCAACATGCCTTGACAATAAGCAGTTGAAATGCCCGCAAGCTGTTCCGTCAAAAGCAAGGCTATCTTCAAGGTCAAGATAATTTCATTAAAAAAAGCCAGGGGCAAGGCATTGCAGCTGATTAAAGCACAATTTCCAAGTCAACACTCTCATTCATCCTCGCTAGGGCATTTGGCCTGTTTTCCGCACCATATGTATTGGTTCTTTTTGCATTTGGGTTTGTTCTTGCAGATGTCTCGTCACTCAATCCCTCCTTGTTGATTGTAAAAAGGACCAGGGTCCCATGGTTGGTTGCCCACAAGTTCTGTATTGTATGCGCCAGGGTACAAGCAATCCAGGTCAAGTAATATCGCAGCAGAGGGATAATACATACAGGCAGGACACAAATTGTACGGGCGGGAATGATGCGCATGCCCCTCACTGGCACCGGCATTGGCTTGATGGATGGACAAGATGCGTGCTAAGGCAAAAGAGGTTGAAGCTTCTTCACGCTCCATGAGGATGAGGATGGTTGTCGGTGACGAAATCGATGCCAGGGGAGTGGCGGCGAACCATGATAAATTAGCCGCGACCCAACAGGGCGGATGGAACAGCTCGTTGGCTACCGGTTATGCACCTCGTTGGTGTAAGCAAAGCAGAACAGGTTCCTTGTCGCCGCCGTTCCGTTTGAGGACATGCTGAATGGCCATTCATGACAGCCGTATCCCGTACCCACGGCTGATGCCGCAATAGACGTGTCCCGTCTTGCCCGTGTATAAGACCGTGACCACGTTCCACCGAGATTCCTCCACAAAAGACAGCTGGCCCGCTCATGCCGCGGAAGCACGATGCAAATAAACGGAGGAGGAGACGCCCTGCTGGCGCAAGCGAGCGAGCCACAATCGGGCGATGAGAACAAGTGTGCCAGACGCCACGAGAACAGTGGATAAGGGGTGTGCAGCCGTGGTGCTGGGTCCATGACAGGGACTTGGTGCGTGGCAGGGTGTGTGTGATATGATGCGTGGATGCTTGGATGGATGCGTCGTGCTGCCGTGTGCGTGGCGTGTGGGCTGTGGTCGTGTGTGGAAGCAAGTCCGGGACTGTGTGCGTTGCTGATGCCTCCTACTTACGGAGGACTTGGACTCGTTGGCAACCCACCGAGATGGTGGGCGGACTTCATAGTTTGGCAGGCGAGACGAGAACCCTCCACTAGTCCGGTGCTATTGCCACAGAGAGAACAATTCTAGGTTGCAAAATGTAGAAGCCTCCGGCAAACCGGGAGACAAATCGGGATACAACAAGTGTCACGGGCAGTTCGCCGAATCCAGCTCAGACCGACAACCCCATATTTAAAAATCGTGGAGACAGCGATGGCTATGGCGTCCTTGTCATGGTCCTCCCTCGTGCTGTTTTCTGTATTTGCTGTCGTCATCGTCGCCGAAACCATGCTTCGGATTCTGGCCCTACGGCTGGCCTCTAGCCTACTCTTCCGTTTTGCGACATGTTGTACACGCGTGTGCCGCCATGTACTATGTGATTCTGGGCCTCACGTCCTCAAGGCAAATCGGAAAAAATGCGCATGCTGTGAAAGACGTCCTTGATTCATGGTAGGGGCGGAGAAACACCGTTTTCCCTTGCCTTTTCCTCAAGGCCAGGGCGCGTACATGGCCACCCACAAATAAGCAACTCAGGTCCGTCCATCTGGGGTCCCGAAGGACCGCGCCCGTTCCCGAGAGCGGGTTGGCTGCAGAGGCGGCCGCAGGATGCACGAGTAGTGTGCTGCGTGGATGGTGATGGGTCCTCCCGCAGCTCTTGGCTTATGTTTGTCGCCTTTCTGGTACGGAGTATGTCGTAGTTGTCCTGTGCTGGTTCATAACTGTGTCTTGCTGCAGGGGTAGATGCCAAGTGCTCAAAGTAAGGCTAAGTGTCATCTTGGATGGATGAGTAGATGCTCCATGCTATGCATGGCGGACGGGCTTCGTCATCGCGAGCTGTTTAGGAATGTTAGCATTTAAAAGCGGGTTAGCATTTGTCTAGAAGTGGCGCCATCCCATTCGATGTATTAGGCTCGGCAAACAAATACTTTTTTTTCGTAATTGCTAATGAACTCCTGGCGGCTGCAGCCCTTGGAGCTGAAATACTGCGCCATCGGCGACTCGTAATGTGTCCATGTGGTGAAATTCGGCGAGAAATGCTACGGCCCGGCCCGGCAACGCCGCTGACCCTACATTATTTTCTGAAGGCGTTATGTTGCATGCTCTCTATTATTTTATTTTTTTATTGGATTCCGCGTCTCTCCCATAAGTGGGCGGCCGCCCGACTAACGAAGAGAGCGCTCGAACTACCAAGGTTATATTCTGGCACCAAAAGCTCAAGTGCCAACCTTGGTAGCTCTCTAAAAGACGACGCAGGTGGATCGTCTTAGTCGAACTCAGGTAGTGCTGCTCAAGGGTACATCGTGCGAGTTCAAAACTTAAACCTAGTTGTGTGAAATTGAAGTCATGCTTCTGATTTGCAAGTGATCTGTCCTCCCGGCCTCAAGTTTGGCGTTCATCCATCAGGGGATACACCCGCCTTGTTCCTGCAGTGACGGGAGACGGCACAAAGTGGGTAACCCAGACATGTAACTAGCGCGATGGATATTGAAGGAGTAAGAACTTCACTCGGACCTGTTCTATCAGCGTAGACATGAATCCTCAACGGGCTCGTATAGGCTTCTGTGCTAGAAATGCCAATCCTGGCTTTGGAGCTTGGTGGTTTTCTCAGGGTCATTCGCCCAGTCAATGCTCAAACTCACCCTGGAGCCATCCGGCGGATCACAGTTGTGGGTGTCGGGCATTGGTCCAGATAGCTTCGTATGCAAAAAACGCCGGAGGTAACTATTGGTAAACCACTTTTAGCTAGTTTGGTACGATGCCTCGGTTGCGAATCGCGATAGCCTCTAGCGGCGGCGGCCAGTGTTTTCCTGCCACACTCGTGTTCGCGTGGATCTTGTCCTCATCCCAGTAGCTGCCACCAAAGTAGCATGAGGGAGCGTCATGAACCACGCTGTGGGTCAGTTTTAGTGCTTTCCGACCGTCTGGGAGCATACCTAAACTTGGTCGCTGGTTGGTCTGGCTGGAAAGCAGGGTTGTACACAGTCGTCCAGTGAGAATGCAAAACGCTCATGTTCCTCCTTGCTACGAGCAACGGTCGGCGGTGTGGCTTAGGTCGAAGCACTTACTAAACAAATTTTGAAAGAAAGCGTGACAGTTCCGCTGACACCCATCAGCTGAGCAGCGTCCGACAAGCGACGGCTGTACCTGCAAGACTTGTTCCTACACCCTGCTAGTTGCCTAGTAGGTCAACAAAAGTAAGGAGAAAACTTGTCATCCTCGACGGTGAATGAAGGTATGCAAGCGTGTCTTCGCACCCACTCTGTCCACTCCGGCTTCAATAGAACGAGCCTGGTAAGAAATCAAGCACGGCAGCGGCCGGGTTGAACCAACGGTGCCTAAACAGCCGGGGTTACATTGCGTACAAACACGGGAGCCAGGGAGGGGGTGTCATTGAACACGGCTTCGGCCAAACGCAACAAGGCTCGTCCCGTCCTTGCCGCGCCATGTCCCTGCACTCATCCTAGTCGTTTGTACCTCGTACAAGCAAGTGTATGGCTCATCACCAGTCCAATTTGTCGCTTGTCCAGGTAACGCGTCGTGCCGTAGAATACTTCCGGCTCAGATATTGAGAAACATGATGTCGTCAATATTTTAGTAGACGGGGTCAAAGGATACTCCAAGCGTGGTACAACAAGAGTTGCTCCTAGGTCGCATCTTTTTAGCAGCTGGGCAGGGGTGGATTAAGGAGAAGAATGAACTGGACCAAGATCAACAGCGTCGTTCTCTCTCCAACACTCCTGGCACCTTATGTGACATTGCTGATATGGCCAATATGGCATGCCGTTTCAATGACCAACACGTTCGGCTGCCGGAAGCCGCAAATCAAGCAAGAACCTTTGATCGGGCTGGAGATTACTCCCCACGCTCGATGGTTGTTTTGCGCTAGTTTGCATGCTTCGGCACGATAAGGCTCGTGAAGGGGCACAGACAGGGGTATAACAAACAGGAAACACTGAAACGCATGCGACAGGCCGGGTCGCGAACCGCTGCGATTGCAAAAAGGCCATGGTCGGCTTTGCAAACTATCGGCTTCACCCGCTAATGTCAGATGCAGGACCACACACGCCGCCCATGAAGATATCCGTGAGGACGCAAAGTGCATTTTCCCTGATAGAGATGCGTTGGTAGGAGTCTCTCGCCAAGCTTGGGTAGATGCCCGTTTGTTATGTTGGGTTGATTGTTGTAATTTCTTGGTGCAGCCATACTTGGTTTGGCATAAGTCGGAATAGGACATAGGTCCTTCAAAATTGTGACCATCCACATTTGAAAGTGGTCGGAGCTTCGTATCGCTTGCCGATTACCATTTGGTATTTGTTGGTGCAACCGGCGCTCCAAATCATCGTCTGTGTCCTGCGAAACGTTGACGCTGGGCGTGGGAAGCAAGTCGGCGTTTGCTGACGAATGTATTATGACGTCCAGCCAACTTGCTACCACCAAAAGATGCGGCACACAATCCGGCGACCGATACATCCCATGTCTTAGCATGCACGCGTCACAGTCGGGGACCACGGGCTTCGACGAACCTTTGAATTGAATTGATTGGCATCGTATGTATGTAGTATGAATGAGGTTTCGCGGCCTGACTGGCCGGGTCCGTCACCACATACATGCAGCTTCATGTTCCAGCCCAGGATTTCATGCAAAAACAGCCATTACAGAAACCGGGTCGTTGTCATCGCTGCGTGCCCGGTTTGTGTGTCGAGGGTGGGTGATACTTGCTTTGTTCAACGTTTGTTCCATGCGGGTTTCCTTGGAGCTACACCCACCAGACGAGATAACCCCACTTTACTCTTTAGGCACAGTGCAGTCCATCAAGATACGGGAGGCGCCTTCCCCTTGTGCCAAAGTCCAAGCACGTTGTCCAGACGGCAACTACGACCCGGCATCGAGTGTTCAACAGCCACCGCACATGGAAGGCTTCGATTTAGAATTTCATAACAGCTACTTGGAGCCCTGTCAGAAATCGTTCGGGCTCTCTTTGCTTGTCTCTTGTTTTTTTTTCTCCCCTGCTTCTCGTTTCGCGGAGAGGATGGAAGGGGATTTGCTTTCTCTCTGCGCCTACGCTATTGCCAACAAACCAGCATCCTCGTACATCCGTCACCAAATAGATTCCTACCTGTAGGTGCGCAGCGCAAGCTATCAAATCAGCATGTACATTTCTCATGGGGGAGTATACCAGATACCAACCGCCTCTGCACCATGTTAGCAGCGAAAAGAGGAGGGCGACGTGTCATGTCGGCCACTACAACCAGACACAAGACACAAGACACAAGACGCACGACTTGGCACTTTGAGTAGTGCTGGCCAACCGCCCAACACCACGAGACTTGGCGAGTTGCTAGTTGGAGTAACGCAACCACCCCGCACCCGAAGTCCAAGAGTTGAAGGAGCGAACAAAATGAGCGGCCTACACATGGGCAAGGTCGTCTACGCCAACACAGCCCTCGGGAACTGATCCCCTCATACGCCCTACATACATACATAAGTACGGACCGAGTTGCTGAGGGCCAGAAGCCCCACTCTCATTCAACCGCTCTAAACTCGGTCTCGGGGGTACTACTACTGCCATCAACGAGTCGCATCAAGGTCGAACACCCATCCTTGCTGGTGACCTCAATTGTAGACCGACCCACATCAATGCATTGTCATGATGCCAGACGAGGTGACATGTCGGGTCAAACGTGAGAACACCGGGGTAACAGCGGGTGCACCTTCAAACACCAAACGCGCGGCTGCATGGTAAGCCGTTAGTCCCGGCTCAATGATTGTCAGCTTGCCACCTTGAGGTTGCTTTCACTTCCCTTTTCACGACGCACTGGCTGCCACTTGCTGCCACACCGACCTTCTCAGAGTCCCAGGTTGCACTACGTCAACACCATGCACCATGTCGGACTCAGGGGCTGGCCATTGGAGGGACGTGTGTCCGACACATTGATTCAGCCTGCACAAACATTGTCCTGGATTCATTGGCCCGAACCAAGGCCCGTCCCGCTCACCAACCACAGAGGCGGCACATCACGTGATGGATTTTTCATGCGGCCATGCATGCAGCCCGGGAAGCCTGCATCTGTCCGCGCGCTCGGCCCCAATTTTCGAGCAGGATACTACTGGTGTGTTGGCGACTAGGCGACGTGATGACTATGCCTGATGAAGCAAGACATTTGGCCTCGTCGACCGACCACCACCCCATCTGCCTCCCCCTTCCGACTCCGCGATCAAGTGCGTGGATATGGGGCGGCCGATCGACACCGAATGCCATGGCCGGCTCAAGTCTGCTCCCCGCCGCATTCACGACACATGCCTAGTCCCGAACGCCCTCGACAATACCACCAGGGTCATTGACGGAGGGGTGGCGTAAAGCTCATCTCACGTAGCCGAGTCTTTGTGCCAGGTGTGAGATTACCAGTGTGACCTGGCAAGGTCAACCACATTTTACTATCCCGCAGGCTTTTGGCGTGGAAGAGTTTTGATTGATTCACGACCACTTTGGATCATTCCTTTAGGCACAACACCTTGAGGGGTCAAAAGCCTCCTGGCAATGAGCACTAAAAAATGTGCTTCTGTGACTGTCTGGAGCGATGTAAGGCTGACATACAAGACGGCGTGGAAACATGTCTGAAAGTCCCGTGTCTCCTACGCAAACGAGTCTTGGACGAGACACTTGGCTCTCAAAATGCATACACCTCACAAAAGGGACAAGCCAAGGTGAAAACGAAAGCATAAATAATACGTCTGACATGTCGGCCTTCTGCATCTTCATCGACTGCGATGATACGAGCCACGGTATGGTATGGGCTTGTGGCCCATCAGCGGTTGTTTCAAACTCAATATGTATTTTACATTCCATGCCCAGCCGAGATGTGGTACTATAGGATATTGGCGATGGGGCAAATCGATGCGCACTTGTTTTGTAAATTTCCATTCCATGCGCTCAACAGACGTTTCTTTCCAGTGAAACCAGCGCGGCGGACATGGGACATGGAATTTCCAACTGTTGGTGAGAGGCAGTTAGTTGGACAGGGGGGCATTCCATTGCACAAGTTCAGTGGATGAATAAGCCGGGAACAGCAAATGGTGCGTCAACTACCAAGTATGTATGAGACATGACCTTCCCATGCCCGGCACGTCCTGAGCAGCCAACAGTGTTGCGGCCAAACACACCACATTACTCCGTGCCAAGCTCGGGAAGCAGCGGTGAGCGGGCAGCTGCAGGTGGACGTTTCGGGAACCATCCAAGGAGTCGCCTGCGGGGTTCACGGAGCGAGGGATCGTTGGCTGAGAATTGCGCCCATGCGATTGAGTCACGTCTGGTCTAGGGCGAAGCCACGGTTATCACTACGGCAAATGCATCGACGACGGCATTAGAAACGGCCGGCAAGGAACTGTGCAGCGAATACCAGAGGAAGGGGAGGCAGGGCGCAAGCGGAGGACTCTGTATACCGTTGTGCGTGGACAAGTTGGCCTGGCTCACGGCCCGTCGCCAAGGATCCATCCACTACCCAGAGGTCTGCAGAATAATTGATATGCAAAGGTCAAATATGATGCTGGTGCCATGTTTTGTTCAATCGGCTTCAGAACCATGGCCAGGTGGACCGGGGCAGACCGGAACGTACTTGAGTACATACATACTATTGTGAAGATGCAATGTGCAGATGCCCTCCCTGCACGCCCCTATCTATCCAAGACAGCGACGACCGGCCACGGACTGACTGCATGAAAACGAAACTTTAGCTGGGGCACGGAACGGTGCGCGCCTGCAGCTGCATGATCACCCGTGATCCGCTGGTGCTGCTAGTGTCCATGGACACAGAGCTGACAGATGGTTCTGCTGCCCTGGTCTTGCACTGCCTGTCTGTATACCAAGTACGTATCGAAACCTGCCACGTTTCGTTGCAGGCACCTTGCCCCCCTGCCAGCCTTGCACAGGACGATGACGGGGGTTGCGCATGCCGTCGAGCTGCCGTCACATTTCACTTCACAGCGGGAGGAGACGCTGAAGTCTGTCTGGTCTGGTACCTTTCAATGTTGGTGCTCGGTAGCGTCTGGTGGTACTCTGCCTGCAAGAGTCACTGGTCCATGTGCAAACCTTGCCATGCCCAGGGCGTGCCATGGAAGCTGATGTGCGCATAAAATCCCTCGACCGACGATGGGGAGACAACCCTGGCCAGACATGCACAACAAAAAACAACACAGCCAACAGAAGTCATGTGAACCAGCCACGCCCGCGAAGCATGAAAGAGCAGCACACTCTCCTATCATGCAGGAGACATGTAGGGTTCTGCAAGGAGGCATGCTCCGGTTTACTGCAGTTTTCGTTGCACAGAACCTCCTGGGCCAATTTGTCTTCGCCAACATCCCTGATTATATGTATTCTGCCTGGTCACATCGGTTGTTGCTACCCAACACTTGGCAGCAGGACTTGTTGTGCTTGGCTGGCTGCTCCGAATGATGCTTTGTGGCATCGCAACGCCCGACAAGAACGGCCTGCCTTCCACCGACCAAGCAAACGGCAATAATAGGGGACATGTTGCGGGTAGTCAAAGGCTCTTCTTGAAGACATGTGCTAGAACCTCGACGGCTGTTTGGCAAGCAAATTTGACTTGCCAGCCGAGTAATTAGGTTCAATTGGAATAGGGCCCTCGCGCTATTATGAAACTGCTTGACCATCTGTTCCAAAAGAAAATGCATTCACCGGGTCTGGAGTCGGTTCTCGCTATTCACAGTGGCCAAACACTTGATTAAGCAACACCCAGTCGCTCCTCACTATTTGTCTGTATGCAATGTTGAATTTCTCCCATTTTCGGTCATGGCATGATAGGCTGACGTGAAGCAAGCCATAGCTGGATATTGGACGGTCGCCAATGTACGGCAAAGTTCTACTGGATTTCACATTCGACTGCCAAGTCCATCCAGTCTTGGACCGGACTATGTCCATTGAGTCCTCCTTCTCCTTGCCCAATGATGCCACAAATGTGGCTGCTTTGCAAATTTGTGAGCTTCATAGACGCTTCAGGCATGGGAATACAGACAAAGGCAGGCTATTCTGACGGCTCATCACGACTGCAGTAGTATCCGACTCGAAGCCCTGAGCTGTAGTAGTTTTGGCCGCTGTCGTTCTTGTAGGATATTGCCGTCGTACATGCACGACCTTGTGGGCGTAACCCCCCTGCTGGCAAACTGCTGGAAGTCCGGACGAGGAGGCATGTTCGACTCCATCAACACGATTTGAAGAGTGACTATTGAAGCACGCACTGCTCATGCCGATTGTTGACCGTGACAGGCAAGCTGCGTGGCGCAAAAGTCTGTGGAGGTTGGAGAGTATGACGACCAAGTGTTGGGCGAAGGAGTACAGCCTCCTTGTTGGGCAAAAAGAAAAAGCACGCAACAGGTTCGATTTGGAGACGTGCCCTCCTCTCCACTTCCAGCATCTGTATCAGCATCAGCATCAGCATCAGCATCCAGTCCGAAGCTAGCCTTGACTTCTGCGTCAACTCTGCTCCAGTTGATCTTGGGTTGAGACCAGAATCGTCCACAGCGGGGTTCATAGTCTGGTCTGCCTCCATTCGGCAACTTATGACAGCGGGAGGTTTTGGTTTCCACGCGGCGAGATACCGAGGAGAGAAACGTGCCGAGAAGTGTCCGCGATGGGCAAGATATAAAATCAAGCTCAGTCCCTTCCACATACGTACTTTTCAGTCCCAAGCTCCATCGTCGAAGGATTCATTCAGTACATTTTGGAATATCTTGCTTGCAAAACCTTGCGACTCAAAGTGTGCTTCTTCGCGCGTGCTCGGGTCCATTTTCAGCAACTCAGAAAAACGCCACCACCATGTCGGATGCTACCACAGGCATCAACCAGGCTTACTTCAAGTACGTCGCTTTGCATCTCCATAATATATCCAGAATAAACGCCATCCCCAGCATGGACTCGGCGGGACAGTCCGGAACCTCCGAGGCATTCAGTGTCTCGCCATAATGACGTCCATGCCAGCCCTACATTGAACGCTCTGCAGTTGAAAAATTTCTAACAAGTGCTCTATTTGTAAATAGTAAGCTCGCTCCGGACTATGACGAAATATTTCAAAAGACCGTTGGCCAGCTACACGAGGAGCTGCAACAGCGGTCCGACTTTCTAGGAGTAAAACCCGGCGGTCGACTTCTCGACTATGCCTGCGGCACAGGGCTTGTGAGCAGGGTAAAGTGCACCGTTGACCAGAGCATCCTCACGCCTTGACTCGACGAATGCTAACGAGACGGCCAAAAGGCTCTAGGGGCTGGCCTGAGCCAGTGCGTGGGCATTGACATTGCCGAATCCATGGTCGAGCGGTACAACGCCAACGCCAAAGCCAATGTAAGCCAAAAACACAAGCCATCCGCCTGGGAATTCAGACTTGATCGACGCAATACTTGATGACTCCAGACATCTAATCCATTTCCAGGGCCTGGCAGTGGACAAGCGCGCCGCATACCTCGGCAACCTTTTGTCTCCGGACGACCCGTCGCCCGCGGCTTTCGCATCCCCAAACTTCTTCGACTTTGACCTCGCGGGCGTCGGCCTGGGTTTCCACCACATTGACGACTGTGTGCTGGCGGCGAAAAGATTGTCAGAGCGCCTGAAGCCGGGAGGCAGCCTCTTCATCGTCGACTTTGTAAGCCATGCGCCGCTCGACCACGGCGCCACATCCTTGGGTATCCGTCACCACGGGTTTTCCGAGGACCAGATCCGGGCGATATTCGATGAAGCCGGCGTGGGAAACAACTTCAAGTTTGAGACCATGGATGAGGACATTTCCTTTGACCATGCGCATGGAGGGAACCACATGGTGCGAAGGGTCTTTTTCGCACGAGGCGACAAGACGGCCTCGACGACTGCTCACATCTGAGGCTGTCGAGTAGCTGATGGCGAAGCCTGTCCTGTCATCAAGATGTCGAGGTTCCCTGTGCATAGTCACCGCATTACAAGAGTACACGAGATTCCAAATACAAATAGAAAGGAAAAATAATCACCCGTCCTTCCTAGTACCAGTACCTGTGTCATAGCTGCAGCATCAATACATGTAGCAAGCCAGCCTCCAAAACTATTCCCTCCCCCCAAATGGCGTCCCAAACCACCAGACACCACTGGCGGCCCTTTTCAAATTCAAAAACATGACGGCTCGCCACGCCAACCCCCCAAGCCAAGGAACACCATTGCTCACGCATCCAAGTGTCAGGCTAGGCCGTCCATTGACGGAAATCAAATATCAAAAACAAACGTCCGGACGGAAATACCGCAGCCCCGCATTATTGCCCGTGCATCCGACTCCATCCCAGACGTGCAGAAGTCAATCTCACCCGCCAACAAGGGGTGTTCCAAATCCCAGCTGCCAGCGTACGCTTATCAACGAAACATCAGCAGGTTAAGGGTCTAAACTACGCTTGGCGAAATACTATCCGTCATAACAAAGAAGGAACCGTTTACTATCTCTGGGGATAAGTGACGCAGAGAATTTCTAAAAATGCAGTGCGTGGATTTTGAGCACGACAGCCAGGACCCAGGGATAGCGGAGGTATTCTCAATCTTTGTAGTGAAGCAGGCGTGACCCCGTGATCAAGTCCATGCATACTTAAGTAGGTTATGAGAAAGTGTTGTGTCTGTGATGGAACAGTTGGGCATTTACGTTACAGCGAAGAGCTACAGCGTGGAAAGGGGTTAACGCTTGATATCACGGGTTCTAGGCTGGGGACACGACTTGAAGACGGTCACAGACGCGGCCGCATACTAGACCTGGCCCATCCCCCAGGGCCGAGGATGATACATGCCGTGGCGAGAATCCACTCCTGAGGGGAGAGCTTGGTGTTCTGATATGGTATTCCAGGGCAGAATCAGTGCACATTGGTGTCTTAGCGGACGCCTCCTATCTGCGCTCCTGGGCTCTTGGGCGGTTCATCTTGCCCGTGTATCTCGGTATCTTGGGCCCCGTTTAGACCCGGATTATGACCTTTGCAATAACACCGTGCTTGAGGTGTAGGGAGAGTTTTGGAGTGCGGCGATGCGTTTGCAAATGTAAACTGATGGAGTTTGAATAACGAATGCGTATATAGTGAAGCGGCGTGCGCCACCCCAAAAATAAATTAAAAAAATAAAATAAGCGGTTCAAAATGTCAAATTTCTTTCATGTTGCTAGTTTGACGTCTAGGTGCATGCCGTGCTATAGGTGTAGTCTATATATTCAAATCGAGTCTGATGCCGGCGCCTCTAGTCTCTATTACTTGTCGTCAAGATCGACCATGAACGAACCGCCGAGCAGGATGGCCGGCTCGTCCAACTTATGATGCTCGTAGCTAGCAAACTATTAGTACGAAACCCCCAAAAGGTTGTATGTAAGCTGCTTTTTTTTTGTCAAGATTCACGCACCTCAATGTGCCGACGCCACCGGCTTCGAGCAAAAACGCCGGCCCGTCCTGCAGCGACTTGCCAGCCCATCTCATGGCCAGGGCACGCAGGATGTGCCCATGCGCCACGATCAACACGTCGCCACGGACATCCTTTTCCTTGGGTTGTCCAATGGCGGGCTTGTGCCATTTTTCGCGGATCTCGCTAATCAGGCGGTCTAGACGCTCGGTGACCTGCTCCGGGCTCCTTGTACGCAAAGGAAGTCAGCAAACGCAAAGCATCAAAAAGGGGGGAGGGGACGCGCAAGAGTGCAGCGGTGACATACTCGCCGCCGGGACACCCGTCCCTCCAGATATCCCAGGTCCCTTGTATGCCCTGCTGGGCGCGAATCTTGCGGATCTCGGGAGACGTGATGCCCTCGTAGTCGCCATAGTCCCACTCCCTCACGTCCTCGGTCACTTCGATCTTTGCGCCGCACTCCAGGCCCTTCTCGGCGCCCTCACCGTGTGCCTTCCACGGCAAGTCACCTGATATTCCCAGATTTATCAGCTCAAACGTCCGCTGGGCACGCTTCCGCGGCGAGACGTAGCTAGGATTACCGGTCAGCATGTGCTTGGACTCTTGGAGACTTCCTGGCCCCGTTGGCGAGGGGGGGGGAAGAGCATGCATGAATGCAAAAGAGAGCAGGCATTGGTACGATGGTGCATGCAGGGAGCGTCGTGGCTCCAGCCAGAACGTCCTTACACGACGGCGGTATTATGACGCTGGGGACTTGTGTTATAGGAGGGGGGGTGAAGGAGAGGAGCGCGTTATGCAAGTAGATGCAGGCCGCAGAGCTCGGCCCGTTGGCGGCGGCGTAGAAGGGGCCGTAGCAGCACGGCTTGGGCAACAGGCATCAGTATCCTGGCATAGAGGGTTTGTCGTATAGGTATAATAGCCAAGGGGGGAAAAGGCGGCATGCCATGGGCCAAAGGCTGCCCAGGTGTCGGCTTCGTGTGCGGAGTTGTCGTACACCGAGGCAATTACGCCCTGCGCGGGGAACCTTGACGGCGAGCATGTCCAGGGTTTAGGACTCAAGGAGGGGGAAGTGTTGGAGAAGAGAAGACGCAAGGGAGGACGGTGCATGATGTGTGATGCCGTATGCTTACATATGTACCAACTTGCGCGGGACGATGAGGCGATCAGGGCCAACGAGGGCCTTGCCCGTGGCGCGGACTCGCTTCTCGCCGCTGGCAGTGAGGGGAATATCGGTGCGGCCCGTGTGCTTTCCGCTGAGGGACCATTCTGTTTCGCCGTGGCGGACGAGGAACAATCGAGGCGTGGACATGGTGGTTTGGATGTCTTTGGGGGCGGGCGAGCGATGGATGGACGGATGGATGGATGGACGGAATCAGCGAGCGGGAAGCAGATCTAGCCAATTGGCGGCGTACGAAGGCAGGCCCGGCGTTGGATGGCAAGCAAGGACGGTGTTTGATTTTTTTGATTGTCAAAAACGAAAGAAGCAAGACGGGCTGGGCCACGTCTCTACTTCATCTCCTGGCGAGGAGAGAAACGGAGGGGTGAAGGAGATGGAGGGGCATAGTGACAGCATCGGTAATCGATCGAGCTTATGTGGATCTCGGCGTCTGAGACTGTTGGCCGTTGGCCAGAACTGGCTTTGCTAATGCCTCTTGTCATCAGTTACTAAACATCACCAAGCGACAACAAACAACCCGAGTTGGTGCTCGGCAAGGCGTGTCTCTTGACAATACATAGACGCAACGACTGACTAACTACTCCCTACTCTACTCAGGCACTGTTCCACCAGACAGGCCGGCTGCACATGGCACGCAAGTGTTTCAAACGCGTTTCCAACACCCGCACCTATTAGACGCACCAGACTGGACATGGCGAAACCAAGCCGGCATACATGTACGTTTCAGGCGGGGCCGCACGTCAAACGGGAATCTTAAGTCATCTGAGCATCAATTCATGTCCATGACCTCAACCACCAAAAAAAATTAGAAGGAAAAAATAAATAAAGCAACTCCGTCAATGCCCTCAGTTGCATCCAATATAAGCAGCTTATCCCACTGACACACGGGATTAGTCATGCCCCCTGCACGTCCATCTCCAAACCGGCCCCATTGCCGCCTCCAACACCCATGGCGCGCCGGTCCACCTTGAAACTCCATCCTCTCCGACGACATCAAGCCGTCAGCCTTTACAAAGCAAGCCCTCAACCTCATCGCCCTCCTCGCACTCCGCACCGCAGCCCTCTTCAATCGGCAATCCGCACTGCCGCTCAGCTCCCGAACCCTGCGACACCCCATCCCGCTCACCCATGACACTTGGCTAAGCTTCTCCGTCACGAGGCCCGGGGAACACCCAACACCCGCGGAACCAGACCACCGAACCAGAATAAAGAAGGGGGGAAATGGCGTATCAGTGGACGCGCCCAGAAAAGTTCAAAAGAGGCGTGTGGTCAGTGGCCGTAGCTGCCGTTATTTGCGTCGGCGCAATCACGGGCGCGCAACTAAAGTCAGATCAACAAAAGGGACAGGTAAGACGTTTTCAAACTCCCTTGACGGAGCAACTTGAGTTTGCTGATGGGAGACAAGGCCATCAAACAATTCAGAGAAACGTCGACGGCGGAGCAGGTTGCTATTTTGGAGGCGCAAAAAGACCACTTGACACAGCAGAAGCTGGGGTTGGAGCGGAAATTAGAGTCCTTCAAGGAGCGGGTTAGGGAACGGCACGAAAAGGGCGGCAAGTCATAATGGATTGCGCGTATATTGGGAAATGTATGATACAATGCATGGACGGCGTTTTCAGAGATACCCATACACATGTACAATAATATCTGTGTAGCGAAAAAAAAGGCGGGGTTTTACATCTTCATCTTATCCTGCGCTATCTTGTCCTGCCGATGTCACCACTCCACTCTTCAAAGGTATTCGCCTCATCTATTGCGTTCCTCATTCCGATACGCCGTCAAAACGAACAGCTTGCCGCATCTACTCCATGGTCCCCTCAGATGAAGGCAAGGGAACAGCCTTGTACAGCAAAATCAGTGCCGAGTGCGACTCGCCGCCGCCGGCCAGGGCCTCGACCTTGTCCACGGTAACCTCAGTCACCTTGTCGTCGTTGAACCACCACCACTTGCCGTCCTCCTCACCCTTTTCCCCAGTCTTGGGGTCAACGGGTGCTGACTTCTTGACGTACGAAGTGTAGTGGCCGCTATCCGCGCTAGCACCCTGATGGGTGACGACGCCACGGAGCTCGTATAGGCCTGACTGGTTTGCACCGTCGTCATTGCGAAGTGCCGGGTCGATCAACGAATTCAGTTCCTTCTTGGCAGCCAGAAGTGCAGCATCCTTCTCTGCGTCAATTTCCGCGTCCGTCTTGAAAGCCTCGTCCATCTCTGTGTCACCATCAGCAGACGTCTGGGGCTTCTTGTCGGCCTCTTTTTCCTTCTTCTCCTTCTTCTCTCTCTCCGAAGGCAAACCCGCTCCTCCGGGAATATCACCCACGTCTTTGTCATTGTTCTTCTTACGGCGCTTACGAGCCCGCTCAATATCCTCTTCGTCCTTCCTCACCTCACGAACTTTGTCACGCACGGGTATCAACGCCTTCTTCAACTCATCCGAGCAAAATTCAACAATATCCAACTCTTGAGGAAAGGTGACTTTTCGCATAATCTTGGCCTTTTTCTGCGTCTCTCGCTTCCAAAAAAATCGTACAAAGTGAACAGTCAGGTATTTGGGGGCGCGGGAAATCTTGGACTTTTTGGTATAAGTAGCGTCGCGGCCCAAGACATCCGACTTCTTCTCCAGCTTCTCACTCAGAGCAGCAAGAATTCCGTCACGCAGATGGTTCGTAGATCCGTCAATATGGCAGTTGAGCTTGTAAAATTGGTCTTTGGATGTCATGACTTGCTCGCCACCATTGCGGGCTTCTTCCTCATCGCATTCCAAGGTTGAAGAAAATTCGCCCGACATGTACTTATCAACAAAGGAAATTTCCGGCGCATCATCTGATTCCTTGATCTTGACCTTTTGGCTCAGTTGCTGAACAATTTGCGACCAAGCCTCCTCTGCGTCCTGCTGAGCATAGCCGTTGTTCGATTTGGCCTTTTCTGCAAATTGAGGGAAGACAACCCTCAGAGCGGTGAGGAAGTTCATGGGCGGGAATGCGTCTTGCGTCTCGCTCATTTTCCTGTACAGACTGGCCAGCTGCGAAGCCAAGTCGGCCGAGGCCATACCTGCCATCAGCCCAGACGAATTGGGCTTATATGTCTGCAACGAGGTCTGAAGTTCGGGGATGGATCGCAACGTTTGGAGAGTCGAATTCAAATAGCACGTGTTTCCCAGGTTGACCAAGCCGGCGGGGGTAGCTCCGACTTGCTGAGCTTGTTCGGCTTCGGTCATGTCCTCAACAAATTTGATGCTATCCTTGGGGCGCACAAGATCACCGCCGCCGGATCCGGGAGTGCCCATCATCATTATGACTTGGTTGGGCTTAAGCCCGAGCTTGGTCATGTCGGCATCGTCCTTAAGCTGTCCACCTTTAATCAGGATCTTCTGTCGTTCCGGCTCAACGTTGGTGAGGCTAAAGAGTTGTAGCTTGAAGTCTTCGCCAGTCGATGAGGGGTCGATTTCGACATCGTACTTTTTGCCCTGGTGCTTGACCACGACTGAGGTTGCACTTGTCAGCAAGTTGCCACCAGCGGTGAAGCTCGATGGATGGAGGGGTAAACAAACCAGTCAGTGACGCCATGGCTGCAAGACAAACGCGAGAGAGTCAATACACAGGCAGCAACAGATGCTTTCTCGGAGATGTCCTCCAGGGAGAGAAGCGAGGAATCTTGCGATGCGAGAAATGCTAGAAGTGAGCGGCAAAGGACTGGTAAGAATGGCGACGGGGATGGTGGGGAGAGAAGCTTTGGGCCTGGAAGCAAGCAAGCAGCCCGCTGCGTCACGGCTGGTACCTGGCGGCCATGAACTCGGCACCGAAGGATGCAAGTTGAGTACTTCAGGTGGGGCCAGCGAATCAAGTCGACCACTCGAGAATCTTGAGCACCAGGAATGACGGACCATGGCCATGCAAGCCTTGTGCAGATATGAGAATGCCTATATTTGAATACTATTTTGGAGGAATAATAGTCTTGTGAGAACTTCCTTATTAATTTCAGCAATGACGCCTGCCTTGGTATCCATCCCCCTTCCCACGGACGGAACACTGTGGCCAACTCCTCGTTGGACTGGGATGACGGGAGCAAGGTCCGCGATGATGGCGCGCTACCCTAAAGCGTGCGCAGCCGAAAAAAAAAATAAAAAAAAAATAAAAAATTCGAAACCCTCCTATAGACTACTGTGCAGGCGCTCTCGGCAGCTTGTGGCAGGTTGTACTGTTTGTGCTTTTGTTTTTAGTCATCATTGTTGTTGGGTGTGACATTTTATAGTCATATTCAAGTTGGGAAAGGAAGTACGGAGTAGACGATCTAGTCTGGTGAAGGTCCTGGCTTCTTTGGTATGGCGTCGCTTTGTAGCATGCATTTTCAGGATATCTGAAGTAAATTGCCCAGACCGAGTTAACACAATAGCTCAAAGGCCAATATGTTTCAAGTCGTATCTCATTGGACCGTTAACAAGTTCGTCATCATCAAATAGCTACTTTCATGACAGGCACAGACATTGCGGTACCGCAGTTCCGAGCAAGAGGGGCACTCTTGGCTGAACAAAAGCGGTTCTTAGACATGACTTCACATGTGCGCTTGAACAAATGAGAGACGGCAATGTACAAGAAATGGCAAAGGTAAATTCGTACATATTTCCTTTACCCTTTGTAATTTTTGACAAGCCAGTCACCATCCCAACTTCAGTCACTCAGACATCACGTCACGTCACGTCACGTGAGCACAGAAGCCGTGGCCTCCTGGAGTAGCTACGGCCCCACGCAGCAACGTCAGACGGGCGGCCTGAGCCATCCTGAACGACCCCGCTGAGCTGCTCAAGACATCACCGCTGGCGTCACCCAACGTGATTCCTCCCAAGCTGTCAGAGCTCGCCTCTATCAGCAATTATGGTGAGTAGGGTCGGATTGAAAGGATTGTGGTGATGGGTCTTGGTCTAATCTTTGCCTCTTTGATAGTCTCAATCTCTGCGGCCGTACCTCCAGTGCGTGCGTAGCAGCTTGACTGCTGCGCTGACGTTGTCCAACTTTGCCTCACAAACCGCGGAGCGTCACAATGTCCCCGAGATCGAGGCCCAGACATCTCCTGAAGTCCTTCTGACCCCGTTAACGATTGCGCGAAACGAAAACGAGCGGGTTTTTATCGAGCCCAGCATCAATTCCATCCGTATTAGCATCAAGATCAAGCAGGCAGACGAGATTGAGCATATCCTGGTCCACAAGTTTACAAGATTCTTGACACAGAGAGCTGAGTCCTTCTTCATCCTACGAAGAAAGCCAATCAAGGTTTGTTATTCGCTGACAGATAGAGCAAAGAGCTTCCCGCGCAGCTGCTGACGTGTGCCTACAGGGATACGATATCTCCTTTTTAATAACAAACTTCCACACGGACGAAATGTTGAAGCACAAGTTGGTCGACTTTATTATACAATTCATGGAGGATGTAGACAAAGAAATTTCCGAAATGAAGCTTTTCGTACGTTGTGAACACGCCGTGCAGCGTTCCGTTTGGAGTTTCTCACAACAGCTGACATGGTGCAGTTGAACGCCAGGGCGCGATTTGTGGCAGAGTCTTTCTTGACACCGGTAGGTTGATTGTCTTTTTAGGGTGGAAATCGACAGCTCTGACACTTGCGCAGTTCGATTAAATGAGGGAGGGCGACAAAAAAAAAGAGCAAACTTAGCTACGGCGAACTGGGACTCAACATTGTACGGGCATCTTCGCTCATCTCTTGACTGGAGAAATGCACCATCTTGAATGAACTTATTCGGGCACCATTCCAAACCAGAGGGACGAATTCAATGAATTCAATGAATAGATGTGATGCTATCCTGGTAGCAGCAATGAACACAATTATCACAACTCGTTTCTTTACTGACATTTTTGCATTGAATTTCCTGTGAAGCTTTTCATCACTTATAAAGCAAGATGCAGAATCTTTGTGAAAAAAAAGCATCAAAAGCCGCCAATGAGCTGCCTTGGGCGATATCTGAGTTGTGACGAGGCTTCTTGCTATCGCTTCGTTTCGCGAGTCTTCACCTCGGCACATTGCTAACCCTACCAGACATTCTGCTTGCACTCGGGTTTCGCATGAGGACACTTGAACATGAACAATAAAGAAATCTAAACTAAAAGAATCACGAAGCAGTAATCAAGACTGGTTTTATTATTTATTTTGCTCTGCCAGCTGCAACCGCGCGCTGGCATCCGCCCGCCAGCTGGCATTGCCAATATACAGGTTAAAGCGCGACTGCGACCTCTCCACTACTTCAACCACTCACATTATTAATCTCGGCGCCATAACAATAACAATCCTTTTGCACCCTTGTGAACGTGAACAATAGGGTGGTTGGGCTTTGTTAAACGCCGCTCTTTACAAACGTATTTTGGGCTTTTTTTTTTTTGACCGACTCCTCCCTTGTGCTTTCATTCCTCGTCTTTCCAGTTCCAACACATTTTCTGGAGAATTGAAAGCTGGACACAAGGCTCTAATCCCAGTTTCGCAACTGGGTGTCTGCAGCTTTACTTTTGCGGCAGAACTTGCAGCGAGAACCAAAAAGGTGGGCTACTTCGTTCCCTGCCACTTTTCGAGAGCCTAGACACTAGCTCTGACTTGTCTGTCATTTCTTTGTGTTCAAGAACCATGCTTACCAGAGGTAGAAATTTGTTCGTCTGATTTGGTTAGGGATTGGCGAAATTATTACGACCTTTTCCAGGAAATCCATAACACTGTCCACCGAAAAGCTAGTTGCTAATTTCAATTCTGAGCCCGGCGCGACCACAAACTGCCTCGAAAGCTGCCAAATCGATTTGCGAGTACAAACTTGACCATGAGCTCCTTGACGTCGCTTAACCCGCAGTCTGCGGCCTGGCTTCCCCAGGAGACAAGCGTCTCCAGCAATGAAAGCGAGGTAAGCACTACTACCAAAGTTCAATGAGACTAGGCTGATCCGTAACTATTACAGTCCTCGCGCGGAACATCTGGCTACAGAGTTGGGGGCTCTGAAAATACCTGCTCTACTACCACGAGCTTTACTGGCTCTCTGGAAGGGAGCGTGGCACTCGAACTGCTTTCGCATGTGCGACGTTGCGATGCCGAAAAGGACGCAGTTCTCTAGGAGGGAACCAAGTCCAAGACGGTTGACCAAGGTATTATCTTCAACCACAGCCAGACCAGTTTGCTCGATCGTCCTGCTGACAAGACTTGCAACTCGTAGCTGTGGTGCAAAGCCCCGAACCTGCCCAGCACGGAGTGTACTCGCAGAGTCACTATAATGAACGAGCATTTTCACCTCCCCGAGCTGGTGCTGGTTTGCCGAGCAGCCACTCGTGTCACTCTGCCTCAGCCCTGTTGAGCCCCAGCACCAGCGGCAGACTTAGCTACGTTGGCTCTGTCTCTGAGACTATGAAGAGTCCTGATTATACCAGGCTTGGGACACTGACGGAGCCGCGAAATTTTGCTCCTCAAACCTTTGGGCTCTCTGCAGCGGTGACGAGCGAACCGCCGCCAAAGTTTGACCTGAGTCTGGCAACTGGTGTTCGAAAAAACGACACCGTTTCCACTAATGCACAGACTATCGTCCATACGACATACTACCCTTCTGGGACTGACCATGATATTGGAAGCACCGCAATTGTGCCATTTGCTGATCACCGCCATGTGTCACCTCATAGCCAAATCCGGAATTTGCGCTCCGACACCCTTAATCACTTAACGGCCACAGAGTCTGGATTGCCTGCGCTTCATAATGCGCTGGATCCGCAATATTTCCCATTTCTCGAAGGTGCTCGTCAGGCTGTTGCCACAAACCATGGTGTTGTGAAGCTAAAGAATGTGAGTTTCAAAGTGCCAGGACCTGAGTTGTTGTCTAATCCAGCTTGTAGATTCCTTTCGCTACGAAACGATCGGAAGTTATTGCTTTCTTGGGACGCAACTCTAAAATTCTAAATGACGCCGATGAGCCGGTTCACATTATCATGGAGAGAGTGACGAGTAAGACTATGGATGCATATGTTGAGTTTGTCACTCTTGATGATGCGAATAAGGCGGTAGAGAAGCATCAACAAAATATCCTCAGCGGTCGCGTCAGTCGACTTGGCGATCGACCAGTTGAGGTGGAGCTCTCCAGCCAAGAAAGTCTCATGAAGGATTTGTTTCCTCTTGCCAAAGGGATTATGTGGAATGGAGCGTCTCCTCAGTTCAAGCCGCTCAATCCCAGCGAACCGTGGGAAAATTTCAAAGGCTTCGTATCGGAAGAAGAGATGATTATGCTCGTGAAACATGTCGAGGTCCCTCATCGCGTGAGTCTCGTTGTAATTTCGCTTATTGGTCCCTCACTGATCCCTTCCTTTTTTGCAGTCTCCATTCTCCAAAGACTGCCCACAGCGCCCCTACGAATGCTTGATCAGTACCCTGAAGAAATTCCCTTGGTATGTCACGGATCGCATTACCATTAGCCAGAGGCACGCTGTATTCAAGGCTACCTGCGAACTCGCCCGACTGCTGTCCCGCAGCATCCAGAAGCAGGATGACCAGGTCAACCTGACGCATCAGCTTTACCGGCGGCTGATAGCCACTGCTATGAAATGCCCTGGCTTTACACCCCTGATGAAAGACGATATTTCCTATCTGGCCAACTTGTCCGATATGGAAGAGCGCCGGTACAACCAGCCACGATTTGCGAGTTGCTGGCGTCATCAGTACAGCCTTGCTCCAAAGCCAGGCATGCCACTTGACGTGATTGAAGTAAGTTTTCTCCACTGAACAGCTTTTGGGGTCCGGTCACCACTAACGCCATTGCAGTGGTATATTGCCATGATCCGCGAGCAGACGCATCGCGACATGGTGGCCCGCCCGCATGTGGAACGCACCATCCTCCTGGAAAAGTCTGAGGAGACAGACATGTACTGGGGATACTTTTGGGCCGAAATTGGCTACATGTTTGGACCGGCCTTTGACCAAATGACCTTGTCGCAGGCAGCCCACGCAGAGTTCACTGCTGTTGAGCGCATCCTCGCTCGCGCGCTGACTCCCCAGTAGTGGCTTGAATACATATCATCGGAGATGGGGTTTTATTGGGATGATGAATTGGTGAGTTTCTGGACAATGGGGAATTAAGGATATGACAGGATTTGGGAACAAATTGGGTTGTGGTGCTGTGACAAAACAGCTTGGCCCTTGAAATTTTACGATGGTGCTGGGCTTTACTACCCCGGAAAACTTGGGCATTTTGAGGAAATGGCTGCCGTATGGGTCTTGAGGAGTTATGCTATTGCACCTGGGAGGATGTATTGGCATGGGTTTGTCCTACAGTGATTTGGCCGCGATGATTTGCTTCTTGGGGAGCATGAGGCAAGGATTTCTGCCAACTGGGCTGCGATAGTGAAGAGTCGTGAATCGGATTACACTTGCTTTATAGTAAACAATTTTTTTTTTGGCAAATGAAGGAAACTAGATGACGGCATAGCTGCTGGCTCCTGGGTGTCGATATGACAGTGATGGGGCGTATTTCGATTAAAGAAGGTGGTAGCGATGGAACAGTGCGAAGGGCCACGGACAGTGCATCATCTGATCTCACCCGTGCCTGACTTGACTGCCGGTACTCGATAATTACTGGATACCTCGCATCAAGCGCTCCGTCTAGCGCTCCGTCTAGCGCTCCGTCTAGCGCTTCGTCTACCCTCTTGTTGGAAAAACAAATGCACCAGTCAATTGCGCGTCCTTTGTCATGCACTGGGCGTGGACGGGGTGACTGGACGTCGAGATTGGCTCGGAGCTAGTCGGTGAGCCGCGACGCAGAATTGCATGTTTGATGAAGCCACAATTTAACCAGTTGACGGTTCAATGTCGCCTCTGGGTTGCACTGACCCCTGGGGATGGCTGACCCACAGAAGCTTCCTCCGCCAGGTACGAAGATACTTGAAGCAGGCACGAAGATGGGCAGGTGTGCAGATGTACACGGCTCAACGGTTGGTACTGCCGGTACTTCGTACCTGGGTGTCATCAACTTATCTCCTGGCCAAACGCCAATTTATTTCTTCTCTCTACTTACTTTCCCCCCCTTCTTCTCGTCCCCAGACGTTTTTGTCTTTCGCATCTCCAGCGATCCAGCCCTTCTGAACGCGAATTGCTCGGCGGGCTTACTCTTTTTGCTAGGTGCGCTTACGCCATATTGCTTAAAAATTTAAGTAATTTATTTTACAATATATATAAACATATTTATTTATTTCATAATATACACAAATATATTCCCAACACGGCACTGCCAGCGCCAACGTCAGGCAACGTCACCATCAATGTCTACCGAACAAGTTCCCGCCACTGAGCCCGTGGCTGCGGCCCAGGCTGCTGGCGATGTGGCCACTGAGACTGCCACGGAAACGGCTACTGAGACTGCCACCCCGCCTGCCGAAACTCCTCTCACCAAGCTGACTGCCCGTTTGCCTGACATCACTAAAAAGGCTGACCACGATGAGATGTGGGGGGTTGATCTGTCCGCCGACAGTGCCCACGCTCCTACGCAAGTTGTCCTCTACAAGTTCCTCAAGGCCAACAACAATGATGTCGCTGCCGCCGAGAAGCAGCTTACGTCTGCCTTGGAGTGGCGCAAGAAGATTCAGGCCGGGAAGCTTGTCACTGAACCCTTTGACGAGGGCAAGTTTGGTGACTTGGGCTTCGTGACCGTTCACAAGGATGCCAATGGGGAAAAGGAGACAGTCATTACGTGGAATATTTATGGCGCCGTCAAGGATAAAAAGGCCACCTTTGGAAATGTCGACGAGTAAGCCAACCAAAGTCTCGGTAGTCGTTTGATCCAGCTGACAGACAATAGCTTCATTCGTTGGCGTGTTGCCCTCATGGAGCTCGGCGTCCAGAAACTCCGTCTCAATGAAATCAAGGAACCCCTTGCATTGGACGCCCCGGACAGCCATCAGATGCTCCAGGTCCACGACTACCTGTCCGTCAGCTTCCTCCGCATGGACCCTGACGTCAAGGCTGCTACCAAGAAAACCATCGAGACCTTCTCCATGGCGTATCCGGAACTACTTGCCCACAAGTACTTTGTTAATGTGCCAGCCATCATGGGCTGGATGTATGCCGCTATGAAGCTTTTCCTGCCCACCGCTACATTGCGCAAGTTCCATCCCATGGCCTCGGGAACCACTCTCGCCGCTGAGTTGCCGGACATTTCAGCCTCTCTGCCCAAGGAGTATGGTGGTCAGGGCCCTAGTGTGAAGGAAGGCGAAACTGTCAAGCTGGTTGATTTGACACCCAAGGCAGAGGAGACGAAGGCCGACGCTGCTCCCGCTGTTGCCGGTGCAGAGGTTCCAGCTGCCGGGTCTGAGCCTAAGCCTGCCGTGACACCTGCTGCTGACGTTGCCCCCAAGGTCATCGATGAGGCGGCCGAGAAGGAGACTGCTGCCTAGATGCTGACTGGTAGAGAGAAGGCGACTTGTCCTCTTGACGTTTGTTGTAGATGGTGACTTGGCGGCCCTTGTTTAGATGGAGATAATACCCTTTCCCGATGTATTTGGAAGATAGATATGGATTGCACAGCGATGCGCGACGTACCCGGCTGCCCCTGGGCGTCTAGATAGTGGGAGCAGGACTGACTGCGCGACTGGTTCGACCGGCTGTTTAGATTCGGGACGAGTGCGTAAGCGATTGTCTTTGCTCGGCACTTGTTTAATTACGCCGGACAATTAGATAGAGTATTCACACGTTGTTTTGACGTCATGTTCTGTAGCCACCATGTGTCATGCTGCTCAAGGTGGCCATTTTCTGCCTGTTGGCCCTGTTGCAGAGCCTACGTGCCATGCGGGTGCACGTGAAAGGCATATTCGTAAAAACAATATTGCTTCAACTCTATTGCAGAAGTTGGTGTTTGGCTCGTTTCCAGCTTGGGCAAAGTACAAGTTATACTCATGGGCACACGGTGCAGATTGGAAATCTCGGGAAGGGAGAAGTGTTGAGGGAACTCGTAGCGGACCGATGGTGGATTAGAAGACGAAGACGTGGATGGATATACTTGGACTGTGCCACGATTGAAGTGGCTTTATAAAGGGATGGTTCTGAGCTGAATCGGAGTTGAGAACCCGGGAGACACGATGACTCGGCCATGCCGCCGTGTCGACTGGTGGCGTGTCGTGAGCCCATGACGATGGTTACTCGGGCATTGGTTCCTTTTACTGCAGAAGAGTGCGACGGACGAGTTCACTGTCCAGATGGGCATGGACTACATTGCTGCCAGAGGCGTATTGAAGCTTACGCTTGATTGGGGAAGATTCTTGAGGCCGTCTGTCTCTGTTGATGGAGTTGTGCCCGAGTATGGACATGATTGCTTGAAGCAGCTTTCTGGGCTACGAACTTGCGAAGCTGAGATGAATGAATGCATAGGGGGTGCTGAAACTTAAAAAAATGGCCGTGTATAGATCCCGTGCTCGCAAAGTGCCTGTTCACTGAGCCTCGGTGTGATTTCACGGAGTTTTGTGTGGTTACGGGCGGTGCTGTTGCAGACGAGGCATGCCTCGAGCATCGATTGGGGAGGAGTCTGGTGCGACCGAGGTCGTTGGTCGGTTGGACACTTGTTTCTTTTTTGTTTGTTTTGGGGAGGGGGGTTGGATGGGAGGAGGACTCGCTCTTGGTGTGAGTTGCGGCCCTTGGTGCCCTGTTTGCGCGATGTAGCAGAGTGCTGGTGTTGGTAGGGGACCGAGATGGGCATGGCGGATTGTCGTGACGACCGCCGCGTGGGAGTCGAGTAATAGAGTACGCAAATATACACAACTGAGATGGGAGATTTAGAGGCAAAGATTTTTTTCCCCCGGAATGCTGGAGCTGCATGATGGGTGTTTTATCAGTGAGTGACGAGGAGGTGGAAGCACATGGGTCTGGAGAATGAAGGCTCGGAGGCTTGGAGGCAAGACTAAACGAACAGAGTGAGTTTATGAAGGAAACCTCCATGCGTTGGGGATGCCTCTTTGGCGCAACTTGGTGGTTTTTTTTTTTAAAGCGTGGATGCTCACGGCCTTGGTGTACCTCGTCAATTGATGCGCACCGGGGGGTTTGTCACTCCGCAGCAAGGCCGGGACGAGGACAAGGCGCAACTCAGGATCAGTTCCAACGGAGGACTCGGTAGGGGACATGACTACATCGTGTGATTTACATGTACTGCCACGGTGGGAAAATACGTTAAATACGCCAGTCTCTGGAACTTGATAGCGGCGGGAGGATGCAAAGTCCAAGGCAGGGGTCATGCTGGCGTTCAGCTAGGACAGCCGGTGGCGCCAATGGTATCGACCCGACACGTTCTGGGGACGGGCATCGGGCCCCCTTTCTGCCTTTGTGCGTGTGTCTTGGTGAAGAAAGGCTTTGGTGGTGCGGCCTGGCGATGTCGACGGTGGCATTTGGAGGCGCGTGGCCACTGCCGGACCGGGCACTGCGGGGGGATGAATCGTGTCGGCAAGGCGATTGATTGTAGCCATGGCCAAGGACGGAAATTGATTTTTGAGTTTGCTTGTGTTGTGCCGGTGTCCAGGCATACGCGGATGTTGGTCGAGGGTGAGTGAGTGGGCGACGGCGTCTATGTTTCATGGCGATAGAGCCATCTCAAGCGTCGGATGGGGGGAGGGGAACTGAAGAGCAGTTTGCCAAACTGTGAATGCTCGCTGATTGTCGTCAACGGAGGGAAATATCTGGTACTTGTATACATCATTGATGGTGTATAGTACCCGGGTATGTATAACGTCGTGGTTGTGGTGATTCAGCTGTGGATGAGTTGCAGGCCGGTGAGGCTCGGCAGCAGCACGCTCGAGGCAATCAGCTTCGCAGTTGAGATGCAACAGGCATGGAGTCTTGGACGAGGCTGCGGCCGCGGTCGTGACCTGGTTGTTGGTGGTCTTGTGGAGGTGCGTTGTTCTGTCCATGTCCATGTCTCTTGTTCACACATAAGGTCCAGCCCTCGTTAAAATAACCGGGCATCCCGTTCCCACCTTGGACTGGCCAGTTTGCCCGCTTTTTCGACGGACGGGGGGAAATTTATCATCTTTGTTCTGCTCAAAGTCCCTCGCGTGAGCCTTGGGAGCAGAGGCGCCTTTTTTTCTCCCTCCCTCTCCTTACACACGCGTGCGCGAGCTGCTGCGTTATCGACCATCCGGGAACGAGCTGCAACGGGACGACCGTCTCTCCTTTTCTTCCGCTCTTGCTCTCTCTTCTTTCTCCTCTGCTTCTCAAGAGCCAGCAGCCACTGTGTTCCTGACGCGGCGGTTCATGCGTGGCCCTGCATTGTTGATCCTATTCGGCCTCGAGAGTGGCCACCTGGAGCCTCGTGTTGCTGCTACATGTACGCAAAAGTCGACTCTTTGACCTGAACACTGCACTCTGCACACCCGACATTGGCACCAACTGCTGCATTGCCTGTTTCGTTCAATACGGACCGCATTAAAATTGGCTTTGGGTCCCGTCCCTCCCCGGCCACCAGGCGCGTCTGTTCTTGCTGCCCACCTTCAGCCATCCGCCGTCCGCCATCCACATCGACCATCAATCAGCTTTTGGCCATCAGCCATCAGCCATCGGCCTATTACGCCTTTTACGCCCTTTATCCACCCATCACACGCTTTGCTGCTACGCCTCGCTACGCTTGTTTGATCTTGCCCTTTGGCCCATTACTTGCTTGCTTACCTGTCCACACAACCACTCCATTCCTCCTCATCCTCCACCTCTCGTCCACCTCCTCTCGCTCCTCCGGCCGCCCGTGCTGCTGGCAAGGCCCATTGACGCGGCATCCGCACATGAGCGCACCGGTTTTGTGAGCAACACGCGCCGTCCTCTTGTCTGCTGGCCATGTCTCTGTTTGCGGAGAGCAGCTTGTCCGGCGCCACGACCGACACCTCGTCGACCCTCGCGTCTTCGAGCTCGACGCCCCCGACCACCCTCTCCGACACGGACAGCCAGCACTCGGACGCCCCTAAACACGACGTAATCACCGTCGCCGACGATGCTATCCACGCCGCCCCCGTCCAGGCCCAGGAGCCTTCGCCCTCCCAGTCGCCTCCCGCTCCGAGTCGACCACGACGCACACGTGTCTCGGAGCCTGTCTACAATCTGTCCAGGCTGAGCGGCACCGCTGATCACGGAAAAAGACGCGCCAACGGCGATGCTGTGGCCGACAAGCGCCGCCGGACCATCTCCGGAGACACCTTGGTGGGCAGCATCGAGGTTGCTGCTGACGGGCCCCCCAAGGCCCAGGATAAAGTCCTCAGGGCAGGCATTGACGCGTTGAATCTTCAGTGGTCGCCCCAGAGCTTGCATACACCACGCACACGCCGCCAGGCTCAAGTTTCGCCGCGTCCCTTGCGGACCTCGTCGCGTCGGAATGCCGTGTCCTCCATCGCTACCACTCTGTCCAGCATGGGCAAGAAGGGGCGCAAGGCCGTCAACATGGGTGTTGCCAAGATGTCGCGTGAGCTGCGGCGGCTGCAAGACACCAATGAGTATTCCGGCATCGACGACCGTCCTGTCATCCATACCGTCTGGGCGAATGGCAAATTTATTGATCCCAATGCACCGCCGCCCGAGCCAGCTCGCAAGAAGCCCAAGGTCCAAGAACCTGCCGAGGAGGACGAGTCCGACCAAGAAGAGCAGGAGCCCATCACCAACACTAGGAAGAATCGCGTCAAGAAGTATCTCGACAAGGGTCTCTACGCCGGCCAGGAAATACCCGTGGATGTGTTCAAGGGGCTCACCACGAGTGAAAAGAAGAAGCTTGCCAACCTGCCGGAATTGGCCCTCACGGGCCGCGTGAACAATGCTATGCCTTCTCCCATCTACACTGGTTTGCGCATGTTGGTTTCTGGGCGCGATTTCAAGCTTCCCTTCAACATCTGCAATCCCCTCCCGCCCGGCCAACCCAAACCAGATGAATGGAAAAAGATGACCAAGAGTGAGTGTGCACCTCGCAACTGGTGTCAACCTGAAAAAAAAACGCGACGTATGACCCTATTAGCTGACAAATTACCACATAGACCGATTTATTGGTGATTCAAAGGACTATTGGCGCAAGATGCCTCACATGCACGACTTGTCCAAGTGTGTTTGCAAGCCTGAAGATGGCTGTGGTGATAACTGTCAAAATAGAATTATGCTCTACGAGTGTGATGCTGGCAATTGCAATATCGGAAAGGAGCTTTGCACCAATCGCTCATTCAGCGATTTGGCCGCTCGACGCTCCAAGGGAGGCAAATATAGAGTTGGCGTAGAAGTGATAAAGACGTCGGACCGTGGCTACGGCGTTAGAAGCAACCGCTGCTTCAAAGCAAACCAGATCATTATGGAATACACGGGAGAGATTATTACAGAGGAGGAATGTGAGCGCCGCATGAATGAAGAATACAAGAATAATGAGGTGAGAGCAAAACAACAACAACAACAACACATTGCTCGAATGAGCTGTCGCTCTGACTATGCCGCTAACTCTTCCTCTTCCTCTTCTCTTCTACAGTGCTACTATTTGATGAGCTTCGACCAGAACATGATCATTGATGCCACTACTGGCAGCATCGCTCGATTTGTTAACCACAGTTGCAACCCCAATTGCCGCATGATCAAGTGGATTGTCTCGGGACAGCCTCGCATGGCTCTTTTTGCTGGGGACCGGCCCATCATGACGGGGGATGAGCTCACCTACGACTACAACTTTGACCCCTTCTCCGCCAAGAATGTGCAGAAATGCCTCTGCGGTGAACACAACTGCCGCGGAGTCCTGGGTCCGAAACCACGCGACGTCAAGTCTTCCAAGACGGACATCAAGAAGACGGTCAAGGCAACTGTCAAGGCTGGGAAGCGCAAGCTGAAGGAGCTCATTGGAGAAGAGGAAGCCGTAAACGGGAAAGCAAAGAAGCGCAAGTTTGCGGCCGCCACGGGTGTCCAGCGATCCATTTCGAATGCCAGTCTCAAGGCCGCCAAGGGTGCTGCGACGGCCTTGAAGAAGGGCGTGTCGTCCATCACGGTCAAGGGAAAGAAGTCGATGGCGAGCAAGTCTCCTGTCCAGAGACGCGTTAGTACGGGAGGCGCCATTATCAAGAAGAAGACTACCACGAAGCTGGTTAAGAAGAATGGCCCTGGCGGCCGAGTTGCCCATGTTTCGTCGCGAGCTTCAAGCATGACTATAGTGGCTGTTGCTGATGAGAACGCCAAGCCTGGTAAGAAGGGCAAGGTGGTGTCTCCTGCCGGGGCTAAGCGGACGCTTTCGGAGTCCAACATGGTCTCGCGCGTGTCGTTGAGCTCGACTGGCCGTGTTCTTAAGCCTTCGCCCAAGGCCAAGATTCGACTGGTCCCTCAGGAGTAGCGCGGCTGTAGTCCGGAGGCAGGTGGGCAGCAAGGGGAGAGCGCGGGAACGGGGAATGTGACGAGGGAGGAGCTACATACTGGATCGGTGGAGTAACTCGAGCTTCCCGTCGAATGGCTTTTTTTCTTCTTGTTTGCTGTGATTTGCTGTGAGGGACATGTTTGGTTGAAGGGATGTATTTGGCGCACAGGCGAATTACAGGAATTTTTGGCACTGTATAGTATATGGGTTGCTTTTGCTCAGCGGTCATGGAGGCGAACACGAGGGGGGGATATGTAGCTTCTTGAACGATTGTTTGTGTGGTTTGATGTTGGTGTGCTGTGCGTGTGATGGTGACTGGTACGCCGTGGATGTTGGCTGTGTCGGCTCGACTTGTGGCTGCTTGTTGGAACTTGGACCCGCGCTATACTCCGCCGTTGTTTACGTCTTGCCGGTTGCTTGTATGTGGGTTTGATGGCCTAAGGGTCGGCTGTAGGCTGGATATTAGACTCGGCGGGTTCTGCTGCGTCAAGGTGACTTGACGGGCAGACCTGGTACCGGACCCTTCCTCGGTGACGGTTCTCTTGTCGCCTACCCGTTAGTGACTATGGCAAGACTCCTTGGTTGTACACGGTACATGTACACCGTGTGCGATTGGTGGGTGGGTGAGATACAGTGACGGTGTTTTGGTCTGGTGTTGGTGTTCTGATGGACGGCGTGAACTCACGGCCCTTGGAGAAGAGCGCTGTTGCCTCGGTAGATGGACACAAAGCACAGCTTGGCCTTGTATTATACTTGTATTAGTATTCATCTTGGAAGGGGAATAATAAATGACTTGATGTATATGTTTGTTGCATATGACAGTCTGGCAGATGATATTTACCCACCAATAAGTATGCACTTGAATACTGTGGTTGTGTTATATTATAGGGATGATGGAGCATCATGGCCGGGTATACGATCCGGTTGACTGCTTTTTGCCTCGCACCGCATGTCATGTCTTTTCTCGCATGTTACTGCACTAGGACAGGACGTCACATTACATTGACATGATTCATACTCTGCAATCCGTCCCGGGTGCTGCTTAAAAGCAAGACAGCGAAGCATACGGATACCAACTCTTTCGTCTCCTCCTCCTCTCTAGCACAAGAGCCCTGACACCGTATCCAATTTCAGATGCCTCCGAGCGAGATAGACATGAACCGCAACCACGATTACTATTCACAAAACCTCACATCGAAACTGCCATCCGTCAAATTGAACTTGAGGGTTATCGTCAGGGGTCCTCAGGGACTTGCAGGGGCATCCGAAAAAGGGTCAAGTTTCCGGGATTTTTTCATCAATCAACTCGGAGCTTGCATTGCCATTGTCAAGTCAATAGAAAGCTATTTTCATTAATCGAGGCCCTACATAGCTTCCCAAATACCGTCCTTTTCCAATGTGTAAATTGCTGTTGAAAACTCCACAATATCAAGCCTTACCATTGCTCCCGTTTGACCGAGCAACGTCCGGCTTGCAGACGGCCACTTGGCCAGCCCATGCAAATCCACGACGGCTACCATGGAGAAGACCGACTTGCCGCAACGTCCAGATACTGTACGCAAAAAGCCTGTTCAACAAGTCACGCGAAACAAGGTCCCTGTCCGCACGCCCAAGGGCAGCACCCTGATTTCAGAGGAAGCACTCCCGGGCCTGTAGCCACGCGAAGGGTGAAGCGAAACATACTCGTAATCCTAGTGAAGCCATTCGAGCGAAGCTGTATGCGCCGCTCCCTTGCCCACGATTTCGCGGCTGTTATGAGCCTGCTGCATAATCTGCTGTTTCCCGCAGCCCCTGAACAGTGTTTGTTGACTTGGTCTATGTGACTGGCTTTGTTTGGTTCTTGGCTGGAGATGGGGGCGTTGGCTTTGATAAGTTGCCTTGCTGTTCAAAGTGTCAATTGCTAGATGCATGTAGACCAACTCACTTGAGAGGGTTTTTTTTGTCGCTGTAGTTGTCCAAACAACTTTACAACATGCCGTCATTGTGATTGTCGCTTGGAGCATGAACCAATAAGCGTATTGATCTTGCAGGTGAATCCATCATCTCACGAATGACTCCAATCCAACAGTGACAACCCCTGGCCTCGCCAAATATCGGCCCAGTGGCCGCAATGATGCTCGGCAGCGGCAAGGTGTTGGCCAAACTCCGACATGGGACATGTTTGTCCTCAATACCGACGGTTGTGCGGACTAGATGCTCCCAGACACCAAACTGGGCTGTCCACGACGTGCTCGGCATTGCGACTTGCCGTGGCCACGCGGCTAAACGAGCGCTGTTGGTACGCGAAACGAGCAAGCCGAGAGAAAAATACATGTCCTCGTGATGGGCGGCCAGTATGTCCTGCAAGACGCCGTGATGGCTAGCCCAGGGGCTCACAACCGCGGGTACGGCCATGGCGTTCCCGTTGCCGCTGTGCAACTTGGTCAGACTGCACAGGCAGTGTCGCCGAATGACGCGGCCAAGAGGTTGGAGGGTTTCCAACAGTATCACCAATCACCATGAGGACGTCAAAGACGGTACGGCAACAGTTGCTTGCTTGGCTTCTTTCATAGCCATCAACTCCAACCACCCGCTGGGTTTGGCAGCATTGCCTTTGAGAAACGGTGCCGTGTCCATCCGAAGGGCGCACAAGCGGTTGGAAACATCAAAGCCCGTGAACCCAGAATCCCCACGCCTCGTAGGCAAACCGTTCCGGATTCGTCACTGACTCACTGCGTAGAACTGTGGCCGTGTGGCCAATCGTGCCGGACTGCCGGCTTTGTAGTTCTCATCTGATTACGTTTGCCGCTGAATGCGATGCGGGAAGCACGAACACACTCCTTACTGCCGCCTCTTTTTCTTTCAACGGGACGTTTCCGGGTGTGCCCGGTATGCTATTATATTTCGCTCGCTAGGAAACGGCTGGATGACTTCCCGGGACAGCTTGGCCAGCGGATGGCTGGAGGCTGATGCCTCCCAGTGGATTGGGCATATCTGATGGGAGGTGTAAAAAAAAAAAGGCTTTATCAGGTTTTAAGTTGTATACTAGTAGATTAAACTTGCTGGGAAAAAAGACCTTCTTCGTTGAGATTATGTGCTACCACAATTTAGCGCTATAGATCGCATCGAATGTGGACCTATTCCTTGACTGAATTTGGCCCGGTGTAATTAAAGCGGCACTAGGGTCTTTTGAGTTGGGAGTCAAAAGGCTTAGAAAAGGTAAATTGCTCGGCGGGCTTGCTATTTTTACTAGGTGCTTTTACTACTTATCCTTTATATTTATATATTAATATATACTAATATATATAAATATAAACTAATATATATAAATATAAACTAATATATATTAATATAAACTAATATATAGTAATATAAATAAATATACCCTAGTATATACTAATATAAACTAATATATACTAAGCCTAATAGCTAGGTGTCTAGTAGGGCGTAAGCCCGCCAAGCAATTCGCATAGAAAAGGCCATCTTCCAATGGCACTAAAAGAATGTAGCCAGTAGGTTTACTAGTTTGCTACTAGTCTGAACTTTCTAGGTGACTCATTTCTGATGACCCAAGCGACCTACTCGTTTACATGTGCGTATATATTACCATACGTCTGTTTGTACACAACATGATTCCCGTCCGTTTGCACATTACATCATTCACATCCGTTTGCACGCGTGATTATTTGCACTTGACATTACATTGTTCTGGGACCTTCTATCACTATTTAACTCGACGCTTCCTCCCATCTTGCCAGCCTCTCTATCCTTACATCGACATCACCGCACTACAACCTTCCTTTCTCTCTATCGTTGACCTGAACCGTTGACCTGAACCGTTGACCTGAACCTCCATTTTGCGAATCCATCAACATGAATACTACAACTTCGACCCAAATCTTCTCTCCACTCGATGCGGCCAACTTGGAAAGCATTGGCCTGCTTGGACCCGTTGAAACTGATGGAAAGCGAAAATGTCACAAGCGTCGTCTTAATCGTTCTAGTGACGAAGAGCACAAGGACATTCCCCTTGATGTTAGTATAGGCTCTCCCGAAGCTGAAGAAGCCGACGCCTATGCTACTATACCAGACGCCATCTTTTCTCGAGAAACGTTGAATTACCTGGGTTTCTCTACACACATGGCCGATACGATCTGGAACGGATGGGTTAACTGGCCCCTGGACGGACCTGGTCGTGAAGTTGACGCTGCCACCGGCGGTCTTCGAGTCACCTTTATTGACTTTATTATCCTTCGCCACGTGAAGAAGGCGAACAACGTCTATGAAGACGACGATTTCAAGTGGCGCCAATGCCTCAACGCATGCGGTATGAGCGATTCAGTACAAAATGCCATCATGGATGAGAACTTCAAGGAAATTCGTATGTCTAGATCATGTGTCTATTGGGTTACCGACACCGTCCAGATGCGATACGCCGGGCTGAAGGAAATACAACGAGCCTCTCGTGAGCGAGATATGCAACTTCAGCGAGAACGCGCACGTCAGGGCGGTCCAAGTCGCCGCGACCGCACCAGCAGCAGTATGGGGAGCGATCAGAGTGGAAGTGCTCAGCGTCGTGGCCATACTCGTGGCAGCTCATCCCAGGGGGGACGATCGTTTTCAGGTGCCCAAGCGGATAGCACACCAGGCATTCACTCCGAATTATGGAACCCCAATATTATCAGGAGAGCACAAGTTGATCCGCAAACCCTTATTCTATTCAAGGGCATTGATCTTGGGCGTATTCCCGACCTCCTGAACCCAGACGGGACGGTTCAAAACATCATGGCGCTTTCTTCTCCGCCGCCATCCGACTTCAGCAACAGCACCGCACTATTCTACTTTACGCCTGAAATGGAGGTAGCCGAATACTACGCAGCATATGCTAAGCGTCGTGCCGGCTGCGAGGCTGTTGTAATGGTCACTTGTCACATTCCAAAGCAGGTCATCAATGACATGAAGGAGCCCAATATTTTCCGTCTGTATTATCCAACGCCACAATGGAAGCAACTTGTCTGGCGCAGCAGGTCCAATCAACCATTTACCAAACCACTGAGAAAGTACGATGATGCCATGCTCATTATTGGTAATATTTCCTCAGGGGATAACGACAATTATCGAAAGCTAGCATCTTGGGAGGAAATTGATGGGAGTTGTCTGCTTCGAGTTAAACGAATGGGGCAGAGTAACGCGCAAATATCGCGACAGTACGCCTTCACAGGCCGCCTCGCAGGACAAGACCTTCTGACTGAAAATGGCAAGTTCAACGCTTATCGCTTCTCGGATGAGCACATCACTGCTTTAATCAGCCGTCATCGTGTTTAGTGTGCCTTTACTAGGAGAGGAGCCTAAGTGTGTTCGTGTGAGGCACCATCAAATTGTTGTTATTGACGGCTGGCACCTTCTAGCTAGCCTGTTTTTTCATTTACGCGTTGGCAACTAAGTGCGTTTTTCCCCTTTACCCGTTGGTAATTAAGTGCGTTTTTTTCCTTCCACTACATCATGTTCAAGTCTTTCTCTCTTACTACATAGATCTCTTGCAATACACCCTTGTGCCTTCATCGTAAACCCTTCGCGTGGTCCCTCACAAAGTAGCCAGAAATTAGAAAATTGAACTTCAATTATGCCCAATACCTAGATATTTAATAATATCCGACAATATTCAACAATATCTAATAATATTTATAATATCTAATAATATTTAATAATATCTAATAATATCTAATAATATTTAATAATATTTAATAATATCTAATAATATTTAATAATATCTAATAATATTTAATAATATCTAATAATATTTAATAATATCTAATAATATTTAACAATATCTAACAATATTTAATAATACTTGACGATACTTGATGACATTTAACGATAATCGACGATGGTATCCTCGCTGTAATATCCATAAAGCGGTCGAGAGTCTTGGAGAGAGTCTAATCTAGTAGGCGGCATCAGCCCCCGGCCATCCGCTGCCAACAGGCTTTGGTGTTTCCCTCCGCTTGTGCGCCTTTTAGATGGACAACGCACCGTTTCTCAAAGGCGGTGCTGCCAAACCCAGCGGATGGAGTTGTTGATGCGATTGTGAATTGCTTGGTCGCAGGGACAGCGACACTGCTGCTGTCGGCGCGCGCGGCTAACATCAATCGAATGCCTTGAGTCTTAGAGGCAACCAGTGGGCCCGTTGAAACTGATGGAAAGCGAAAATGCCACAAGCGTCGTCTTAATCGTTCTAGTGACGAAGAGCTAGCATCTTATGCATAGCCAGGTCAAGGACTCGGCAGTAGGCTGGTACTGTGCAAGTGGTGTTGTTTTCGGCGGCATGCGTGCGCTCGTTGAGAGTTGAGTGGTTGGGTCAACTGGTTTGGTGCCTGCAGCAACAACAGCATCCAGACTGTCAAGTATCGACATGTAGGGCTGGACCGACGGTGTTACACGGTTGGCACACAACAAAGGGCGTTGGGCCAACAAAGGTTACACAACAACAAAGGCAACGGTCACGAGGCCCGAAGTCGGCTACAAGCGAGGGCTGCCTCAGGCACACAGCCCTCACCGACTTCCTGTATTTATAGGGGCCTTTGGCCCTCTAAGGCCTCGTGCAAAACCAAGGACCTTTGATAACCCAAAGTCGATTATTATAGATTGAATTGAACCCTCTGTTCCAAGCCCAGTTATCCTGCCCTTGTCACAGACGGTCTAGGGCGGCACTAAGCACTGGCGGATCAACCTGGTCGCGAGCAACTGTTGCCGTACCGTCTTTGGCGTCATGGTGATTGATCGATAACATGGCTGTTATCAAATGTTGACTCTTTAAATACCAGAAATGTCTATATACCTGTCATCTTTAGTATAAGCCCCCTGCCAAACAAATACGTTATATCAACAAATAACCTTTATCAAAATCCGCGGCTACATTTCGTTTCTCCAAGATCATCCGCTAACCCACCGTCTTCTATCAAACTCGGTACGCCCCTTGGTAATTCATCGACGGCTTCAACACATAGTAGCTCACCATCAGCTATTTAGCTATTTCCTGTCACCATACTCATTCCGCCCGCCGCCAACAGAATGGTACAAGGCCTGGCTCGGCGACTGCGCCTCCGAGCCACGGTACGCAGTGCTCTCTTTGTGCCCATGGCTCCATTGCGAAGAAGGCGTCATGGCCACGTCAGCCTCGCCGCGCAACGAACCACCGGCCTTGCGGCGCCTTAAACGGTCCCTGTTGCGCTTGATTCCCTGGCCGTTGAGGTGCGTCAAGATGAAGATGGCGGCCCAGACAAAGGTAATGGTTGGCAGAACCCACGGCGTTCCCAGGAACACGTCGAGTTTCTCCTTGTCGTACCACAAAGTGGCGACTAGGCCGGTGCCCAGACCCAGGAGGAGAATGATGGCAAGGCGCGCAATCGGCCACGGTTTGAACGGGGTGGTGCGCGCGATGATGGTAAGAAGAACCATGAGAACAATCGTACATCCCGCGGCGATGTAGCCGTACGCAAACTGTGGTGCGGAGGAAACTAGTCAGTCGGGGATCTTTACAGCTATGCAACATGGTAAAAGGGGGGGCATGGTTTGCATACCACCAGGTTGTACCGTTGCCACGTCTTGCTGTAGATTAGAACCTGATATCCGCCGTCTTTGACCTCTTTAGCCGCCGTGGGGTATTTATGGGAGACGTCTTCCTCCAGATTGATGCCAAAGGCCGCAAATAGAGCATTGTACATGGCAATAATCAAGGTGACAAAAGCGTCGTTGGTCGTTGCCAAGTCGGCTTCGTAGCCCGGAGGCGCGGAGCTGAGGTCCGATGGCACGGTGCCGTTCACAAGCAAAGGCCAGAAGCTGTTGGATATGGTTGTGAAATTGTTCAATGCTTGGTTGACGGTTTCCACAGTGCTAAGAATTTTGGGCGGGTAGTCTTGGAAGAAGGCTTGCACCGAGGCGTTCATGGAATCTCGGACTTTTAGGCTCGTCATTTCCTTGGCGTCGTCGAATGGATCAGCAATACTGAGGGCTCGTTCCGCCTGAACGGTTATCTTGGACCACAAGAGGTATTGCGTGAAGCCCTGCATGAATAAAACCAGGGCGAGGTGGAATGGCAAGTGTAGGCTTGTCCAAAGCTGCTGGCGGAGCCGGGGAAGGTAGAATGAGTCCCTCAACCAGTCGAAATAGACTAAAAACACCAAGTAAATTGTCGTGGTGCCTGCCGTCACGAGACCAATCGTCGTGGGATCTTTGAAGCAAAGTGGTAAGCATAGGGCTCCAGGCGTATACTTCTCAGCAGACTGCTGTACTCACCCCATGCGGTTGGGTTTTTGACAATGGTTACGACCTCTTTGGCCAGTTGCTGGATGCCTTCGCCCATTATCATGACAGTCAAAAGCGTCATTCGCTTCATCAAGTGCGTCTTGGTGAGACTGGCAACAGAGGATAGATTAGACAGCAAAAGACTGAGGATGGCTTCGCCGCCCGCAATAAAGTACCACGTCATGTACACCCTGCTCTGCTTCTCGCTTGTAAAGCGGAAAGTGACGCCGAGGTAGACGGCCGAGGCGGCGGCGTGGAGGCCAATTTGCAGGTAGAGTGGCAGATGGGCCTTTTTATATCTTCGCACATGCCACAGCGTTGACGCATACTCGACGGCTAGACATGCCCGCGAGAAGCACAGAATGAGAGCTGCAACGACTGGTTAACTGGAAGCTGCGGCCGCGACTAAACAGCCTACTTACACATGGCGCGCATTGTGTCGAGATCTTGGTCTTTGGGATTGAACTTGGGAGCGACGACTACGAAGCCGACCAAGACGCCGAGTTGAATGGCCCTAGTAGCGCGAGCTGGCACATCGGCGTTGTTTAGCAATGCGGCATATTGACGAATATCAACTGGGAGGAATCCAATGCTTACCAAAGAGGCTATCAGTGACATAGCGCACATCGAAGAGCGCGACCTGAAACCAGGTCAACCATAGCAAGCTACAGTCATTGAATGGTCAGCTTCTCTCTCTCTCTCTCTCTCTCTCTCTCTCTCTCTCTCTCTCTCTCTCTCTTTCTCTTGAGGGCCCATTCAAATGCGCCATGGCAGATTGCGAGACGGAACACACGAACCAGAAATATCCAACAGACGCTTTGAACTTGGTTTGGCCAGTGACTTGCTGGGTGTCATTAAAGACATTATAGTTGGCGGCGAAGAACAAATCGTAGAAGATTTCGAGAAGGGTCGGCTCTTCATACTATTTATTGATGCCAAGCAGGCGACAGGTTAGCTTCCACGCAAGCAACGACATCAGCCGACAATTCCGAAAAGAAGCACAGGGTGAGAGAACACACGCGTTGGAACTGCGGCAGGTCGTAGTCTTGATCGTGGCGATGATGCTCGCTATTGGATTCGTCGTGACCATCCTCGATGCGACGCCAGCTCCCCCCGTGCGCCGGGCCCCGTTGGCTAAGCCTGCTCGTACGCCGGACAAGCGGGCTGCTAAAGATGCGAAGCTTCTTGTGCTGGTGTTGATGATGCTGGCGGTCAAAGTCGTCTTCCAACATGTTGTCGGCTGCGCTCTGCCCGCGACGTCGGTTCTTTGCCAGGAGATGATGCCGGCGAGGCAGATCGATGGAGGAGACAAAAAGATGAAGCAGTCAGTCCATTTGACTTGAAGCTCGTGCAAGGTTACTCAAACGCCATTTGACTCTTAGGGCTGAGGTTGCACTGCCCCTCCGTGGATCTTTTGCATGCAACGGGGATCGATCTACAAGAACGGTAATGAAAAGGCTAGGAGACACGAGTCAGGTTAGTTGAGAGTTGATGTGCCTTTGCCGCCCGACTTGGCTGTGTGTTGAGCTTGGAGTCATGGTGCAACGGCTGCCGGGCCGTCCATGTCGACCTTCATTTCGACGGCTCTGCCTGCAACTTTTCTGAAACGAACGCAAACGAAAAAGGCCCCTGGCCCGGTATGTATGTTGCCGGTCAATGTGACGAATGATATTCTAGTCCACTTAGTTGCCAACGGGTACTCCGTAGTCATCGAATGACTATTGCTCCTGGGCCAAGCGTGGCTATGGCTTTGACTAGCCGTTTGGACATCATTCATGGCACCGGGGCCAATCCCGGATGCGGAATGGTCCATGCAGCGCTTGGAACACATGCATAATGGTCAAGTGTGGCGTTTCTTCAAGGCTCCGCTATCTGGGCTGTGATCGGTTAATATCATCAATGGCACAAGTCTGGTCATGACACTTCAATGTTGACACCTCTTCCCGTCGCCATTGCTATTCCAAAATCCAAAATTAGGTACTACCCGCCATCAACGTCCAAAGCATGGTGTATGCCCGTGTCTAACTATAACATAGATATGTATGCTACGCAACGCCCATCAGAACAATGCAAAACTCCGACGCGACACCCAAAAGGATAAAAAACACAAGCCATCATGTACATAGCCGCTCTTCAAGTTACACGCGGTCGGGTGACACGCCCCCGTCAGGCCCGTCAGGGAACTTGGGCAGTTCGTAGCGCTTCTTGAGATCATCGACAACGGGCCCGAGTCGGTAGTCGCTGTGCATGCTATCATGGTTACAACAGGGGGAGTGTCGAATGGGCAAGAACCACTCCCAGGGTTCGTTCCCCATGACGGATTTCCAATTTTCCCAAAACCCAAGGTCCCACGGATTTTCGTACGGTTCGGTTTTTAAAATGGCAAAGGTGCGGAATGCGTCTTGGTCACGAGCCGACGTCGAGGCCGCAGCGTCGTCGTCCAGCTGGCCGGACCCGGTTGCACCCGCTACTTTTGGCAGTATTGGATAGGTTATGGTTTGGTATTTTGTTGACGCGGGTGTTCCCAGTGGAATTCGAACGGCCAAGTTGAATGTCTGCCTTCGTCGCAGCATGTCAATATTGGTGATGTTGGTCAAGAGGAAGCGCCCGCCCGTGAGGGTCATGCCGAGCGCGAAGAGGCCAAAGAATGAGGATATCACCAGAATGGCAATAATCCAGCCATCGACTTGGATTTCATCAGAGTTGAGTTCCGCGACGAGACAGTAGATGGCGATTGCGGCACACAGCCCACAAAGACAAGAGGCGTAAAAGGTAAATTGAACAAAAAAATTAAAGGCTGGTGCCCTATCGGTTAGCAATATTTCCTCGCCATGCCACACGTCTGGCGAGAGGCGCCGCAAAACTCACAGGTTTCTGACACCATGCCGCCTACCCAGGGACACATGTGGTCCATCTTCCTGACACACCGACCCATTTCGCGAGAATGATGTGCTCTGTCGGGCTTCCACTGCCGGCATTCTGAGCACCACTTAGGCCGGCCGTCCGCCTCGCACGCAAACACATCCTTGCTGTAAAAGGCCTCTAGGCCGGGGCTGTCCGGATTCAAGTCGGGCGGAACCCAGGGCGGATCCTCGGGGTCCGTCTTGCGCCTCGATCGGAAACCACGACGCTTCTCGCCCGGCTCAGGAGATTTGTCGTCGCGGCCATTCGTAAGGGGGACAAGGCCCGGGTCGCGCTGGACAGTGACGAAGAGCTGGGCGTAGCAGACGAGCGCGAGTATGTACAGCGGGAAGAACAGCACCAAGAGGCCGGCAGCAAGACCCGTCTTGCCCTGGCGGCGTAAGATATATTCCACTGGGATTGACAAGTCAGGTTACTGCTCAGTAGCGCAGTTGTTGTCGGACGAAGAAGAGAGGCTCACCACAAAGACGACCTACGACAGCATATGCCCCAAGGCCAAAGACGCCGACGAGGAGGGCGGGGATGATGCTGAAGAGCCAGCGAGTATGGGACATTGCACGCACTACAGCGGCATGGCTACCGCGAGATGTCGACGGACGAGAAGAAATGAGGTTGGGCGGTGGTCTGGACGAGTGACGATCATGCAAGGCGGCATGGCGGAGCAGCAAAAAGGGACCGACGATGCGATGATGCAGCGACTTCAGCCGAGCCAAGTGATGACGCGGGAGCTTCAGTTGACCAAGCCCTCTGGTGCAAAAAAACGGTGCATGTGGCTGTGCGCGTTCACGGTGGCCTGCACAGCCTCAAGGCGACGAGGCGGAAGAATGGAGCTTCGTCCCCCGAATTTGTCCGTGCGCAATCTCCAGGTCTGGCAAAGTGCCCTCGTTGTTTCTCCTCATCCTTCCTCGTCCTTGACAAAACAAAGACCGCCTTCTTTTCACTCTCTCGGTCTGTCCACACCGCTGCCCTCGTTTTCCCATGTTTGCTCTACACACCGACCCTGAATGGCCCTCGGTATTCTTTTCCCTTCAATGTTATGGCTTTCTCGCAGAGCCAACATGTTCGGGCCCTTCCTCCCATGCGTCATGCACAATCCATGGCGTCACGCTGGGGCACCTTTCGGTCAATCGGCTTGCATGCCACCGCGCAAGGCCAACAAGGAAACGAACCGGTCGACCCCGAACGCTGAAAGTGGCACGGGTGCGCAGTTCCTCGGTGACTAAGGCCGCAGGTCTCCCTCCAACCCCCGTCACCAATCCTCTCCTCGACTTCAGTCGTTTCCCCCTACTCTCAACTCAACACGAGTCGTTGGCCCCAGGATAGGGAGTCAACCCATGACTAACAACGTCATTACACCAAGAGCCCTTATCATTTCCTCGTCTTGTGACCATCGTAGCCTCAATTTTATAGATAACGGTCTGGGCGTGGAGGGCCGGAAGCAGCCGACAATTAATCACCTTGGACAAAATTGGCCAACCACAAAAGCATCAAACCAAGAACCATGGCCGCCGACACCGGACTCGCGGCTTTTGTGTCCAACACCAGTAATTCCCACCAGTGCCAGCTCTTTTCAACCCTTAGTTTTACGGATGAACACATGACGCGGGGCAGGAGCTGGACACAGCCGCCTTCTTTCCTGATCTGGTATTGCGTCGAAAGACGAGGCTGGACGGACCACCCATCTGCGTACACATTGACCCCCTTTGTGCGTCCAGTTCGCCTCAAGGGAAGAGTTCAGAGGGCCCTAGTTGACCTATGTCCCTGGCCTCGGAGCAGCGCGTTTTGCGAATTGCCATTGTCAGCATTGTTGTACAAAACATGTTTGTTTACTCGTTGAAGGAAGCCTCAATCTTTTTCCCTTGGTCCTCACCGCCCTCCAATCCAATGCCTGATGACAAGGGATCTGACCACGTGCAAGATTTCACATAATTACACCGAAGAATTGTAAAACTAGACATCATGACCTTGGCCCCTCTGTCTTTAATGTCGACCCGCCACTTTAAACGGGGGAGGACAGCCCCATGTTCAAAGCATAGTCTAACCCACCGGGCCTCACGCTCACAACCAGTGCGATAACGCTCCTATGCGTACCGAGGCATCACGAGAACACATTGCTTTCCCATTTCAAGGCGTTTTGCATCGAACCGGTCGAAGGCTGTGTAATGTAATATGACTTGGCAAGTGTGTTGTCACAATCCATAACATCCAACCAGTTGTGCGAGGGCGATATCATCTGTTGTTTCCCTTGCCCCATTGAGCCATTTCCCTTTCCCACAACTAGTTTCGGTGATTTTAACGTGTTACCGGGCGATCACTGCACCGTACCACAAGGTTTCTATTGGATGCTTGAACACCATGGTGCTTTCCCTTAGCAGTTGCCCCTTACACCAAACGCAGAGTGCGTGCTCTGTAACTTGCTTCCATGGCAGCCTCATTATATTTTGTCTTGTTGCGCGAGGCGTGCTGTAGTGGACATCCAGTGACCGAAGATATTATAATCCCTTTTTTTCGTATAAAGTTGCGATGCCGTCCTTGGAATTTCGTTTCATGATCACAACCAGATCACTAGCAACTCAGACAAGGCAACTGCCAACAGTCCTACACAACTCTTCAAGGTCTTCTGAAATCAATTCTCCCAACCACCCTCCGTAAACAATCATCATGACGGGCCGGGTTCAATACGACGTTCAGTACTCCTGGAGATGCTGCTACTGCGGCACAGGGGTATTCCTCTACAACACCACGCCCTCCTGCCTCAACTGCTCTCACCCGCAATGCATGGACTGCCCCGTCTCTACGGACGATATTCCTCGCAACTGCTGAGGAAGGGCATCGGACATGCGAGGCCTCAATATGAATGACTACAACCACACATGGCTAATCTTGCACCAGCCAGGACGAGATTGGTCTTGGCTGGTGCGAGATTGGCAGCAAAAGACAATGGTACAACAGTTCGCCTATTCCTATACCAAAGCCGGCACGTGGCTAGCCATCAGCTTCATCATCGGCATTGTCACGCTGGAAATGACAAGCCATTTCGATTCAGCAATACCTTCTGCCTTGTTTCCATGTTGCACCCCCTTTTGTTTGTTTTTCGCCCTGGTTCATGTTCTTTAGCGCCAACATACCTAGAAGGCGAGATATGGCTCACGTCATTGGTTGAAGACGGCGTCGGCGACATCGAGTTAGGGTTATGATTGGAGTTTCATATTTTTTCTGTTTTCACAGCTTGTTTAGCACGCTCTTTTAAATACTAGTAACGTTGCTTCTTGACGTCTTGCGTGTCAAATTTCCTAACGTGGGTGGTGGTTTCGATATGTAACGGCCCTCTGTTAACCAAGGACGATGTAGTTTGCGCAATTTTCCAAAGTAGCCGTCCGAGTAGAGGTGGCTAACTCAGTTCGTCTGTTGAGACACTCAAAATCGCTCTGCTGGCTGAATAATCGAGACACTATCGGTACTAGCACGGTGGTTGGCGCGTTTGACTTTTCGGCCAGGGAGGCAAGAGAAATCCGGCAATAGTAAACTTGATCGAATATTGATATCCGGCTTATAAATATGTCCTTTTGGCCCTCCCTTTATGGTCCTCACAGTTACGTACAGACGCGTAAATTGCGTTCTTTGCCCTCTTCCCTTGTCACATTTGTAGGGTACTCAAATCTCAGCTGAAACGAATTATGACGAATTGCCGGAATAGAATGCCGCCTGGCAAGTAAGTGGTGTGTAGGTCAAGGGTAAATACCTCCTGTAGACGCACCCAGTGCGCGCCAGGGTTGCTCGACAACCGCCCAGCGACAACCAGGTTCGCGTAGAATTTAATAGCGTGTGCCACTTACCAAGGGCTCGGCGGCCGGTTGCATCAAGCAGTCAACTTGATTGTATGAACCGAGCGTGCCTATCAAATGGCACTGAACTGCAGCTGCCCTGCGTCGATTGAGCAAGGGCCGCAAGCTGAGACGCGCGGTTGGGGATGTGCGACAACATCGCGAGTGAACCAGGTACGATTAAGTTTGTCGTGACTCGTCAAGAGCGTTGGGCCTAACCCGTCCAAACAGAGGAACGTTGAGTCTTGAGTCGTTGATCGAACGACTGATAGTCGATGACCAAGGCGAGATATCTAAGTTTAGAGATGATTTGCTGGCATGGGTTTCCCAAGATTTAACCGTTGGTTTATTACGGTTAGGGTTTGGATCCCGAAATCTTGATCGGCCGTTGGTATAAACGGCTCGCGCCGCGCTCCCCGGTGCGGGGCGACATTGAACATCAATGATCAATTGATGCGTGGGTGCCTGGGAGAACCCCTGGCCTTACACAGGCGTGGTCAGTAGTGGCAGGCCCCTGCCGGACGAGCCTGGCAAATTAGGCCAGTGCCCAGATGTTCGCTAAGTTGACTGCCTTACCGGGCAAGACGATTGGAGCTCCAGGGGTTAGGCGCCTAAATCCAATCTATCCAAATATTTCGACGAGTTAAATCCAGTCTGACTAATTTTCCGTCTACTCCAGTCCAATCCGGATTGCCCACAATCCGATAACATCCATGTCACTGATCTTAGTGGTATAGGCGTGGCCAAGAGGGTTTGGCCAGCGGGAAACAACCACCAATACCCTCAGTGCTGCACGCCATCAAGGCTTTAACCGACAGCCACGACGACGTCCGCCCGCTTTGCAGGCAGCAACGCAAACCATCTTCCCTTGGTGCAGCCCAGGGCCGGCAGGCCTTGACTGATTGCAAGGAATGATGGTGGCTGTGGGCATGGTTGCGAGCCACCGTACGGCGCGAGAGACCGGTCAGCACATCAGGCAGCGGCGCATATCGTGCCATTGGAAGCATTAGAGGGACATGTGAAGGAGCTCTGACGAGGAGCGCAAACCAACCTCCCGTCGTCGAGTGCTCGCTGCCGGCCGACTCACCGGAAGCATATAGCATTACCCACGCGTCCATCACACACAGAATAAATAGCCCGTCGATGCCAGAATATTTCTCTTCAGAAATATTGTATCAGAACTATCCTCATCAAGGGGCCGCAAATCCAGCTTCTCTGCTAGAGGATGTACTTTGCTTGCCCATTGAGGTGCTGTTTCGAGCGGAACCTTCATTGGATCCTGGCCCTCAATCTGGGTGCCATCACGCTGCAACCCAAGCTTCAGCCTCCAATTGAATGTAGAGACGAGGGCTTCGGCGAAGCTAGCCAGTAATGCGTACCTCGTAGGGTCCGGGTCCATAGGATCAGGGATACGAGATAGCTGCCAACGTGCCTCAGCATGATAGAAGTAGTAGTCGCATTCGTAGCTCATCATGATAATGTTCTTAGAGCAGAGGTCCTCGTAGAGTCGATATAGGGAGCGCAGAGGCGTGTCTCGTACTCGAAATAGAGGTATATAAGAGAGTTGGAGCATGTCCGGCTGTCGAGATGAAGACATTTGGTCTCCGGTGTTCTGGAGCTCCGTCAGAGACAGCTGCACAGGCACTTGGAAGTGCCACGGAGATGGCCAAAGTAGACGAAAGAGGAGTTTTCGGCGGCAAGAGCATCTTCGAAGCCGGTTGAAAGATGCCCGCAGTTTCAGCGGACTTTGACTCCGGAACATGGTGTCCTGGGAGAGTTGTGAGGGCGTTGTGTATTGACATGGACGTACAGGTTTACGAGAGGCCGTTGTGTCGCGTTCTGGCGAGAAGATTAGTGGGCGTCACGTGAACCGCCCGCATCCATGGCTGTGGCTTGACGCTATAATGCACCGGGCAGGTGTAATGTCAACGGTAATACGGCACCGAGTACCTCGACCGTTAACTAGAGCGTAGGACTCGCCCCAAACCAGATTACTGCCTTGGCTTTAGGCGTAATGCATTTAGCGAACACTAGCTCGCTAAGCTCTCACCATTTATGGGTGATTTTATTGGTGTAGACTAAATATTCTTAAAGCTAAAATAAAGTCTACTAATAGATCTTTAACTTATTTTATCTTATATAATTATTAGTTAATACGTATTTATAACTATTATACCGTGGTTAACAATAATAATACAACTTGACGTATTACTACTATCTAATTCGCGAATACTTTTTTATAAAATTAGACGGTAAAGAAGAAATAGACGGTATATTAATTTACTAAAAACGTATACAAGTTGTGGATGCCGTCTTATGTCAAGAGGCTGTGCTCAGCCATCTACCAGTTACCGTCTGAATTGGACAATAATAACCACCAATTGCTTTAGCCGGATTATTACAGGACTTGCAGAGCCATCATTTAATCCAATTAGATGCTGACCTGCACGCCGCATGCCCCTCGATACACAATTTTTGAATAGGTTGGGCAAGACTTATTAATTGAATTCGTTGTTCGTCGGCATGAGGTCCACATGTAGTTACCAAAAAGATATGACGGCAATGCTTGGTGTTGGGCACAAGGCTAGACTATATACATTCACTATGGCATCTGAATAAAACGTTCTTGGTTGCATTTCAAATTCGGTACTCATAATCGTTCATGTTTTTTGTGCATTGCAGATGATGGATGCGCGATCCTTGAGGTCCCTTAGAGGGGAGAATAAAGAGACAACAACCCGATCCACCAAATGTTTCGGCCATGTCACTTTAGACATTGACTCAACGAGCGGGAGTGCGATCCTAGTCCCCGTTGCCATGACAGGGGGCACAATAGCCGCCTTGGCGAGAGCTTGACTTGTTTGTGCGATAAGATGAATTCATGACTTGTTTGCCATGTACTGCCGTACGTCCATGTCTGTTCACTGTTGTCGGACGATGGGAACAAACACAAGATGAGAGGGCTAACTTAACCCTCGGAGGACTTGCCCCCTTTCCGCTTGCAGGCGGTCTCTCTTTGTTTTCTTTTTCCGTCTTGTGGCTCGGGCTTTGGTCCAATGACCTCGTAGCTGTGGATATAGGGTGCCTTTTCGTACCACAATGGCACCGGATGGCCAACGTCCGTACTTGTTTTGCCTGGTGTGTGACACGGGGAGGGTGCCGCTGATCAACACGGGCTTCAAATATTGATTTCCTCGCGTCTCCCTTTGTCTGGGCTGGAGGGGTTGGTCAAAAATAGCGTGGGTGACGGGGCCCGACAGGGACAACGCTCGCGACGCGCGACGAGGGCACATTGACGGCATTTGACGGCATTATGCCAGCACACAGGAGTCGCAGCGTCTGCAAACTGGAATGGTTGGGGGCCACGGCCGGTGACTGGGCCTTGCTGCGAATTTGTCAGTCTATTTCGGGGCGCAACCGCCAGTCATTTGGGCAGGGTTTCCTCAAGACGGAACCAACTGCATCGTGCTACGTATGGCTGCAGACGTGCAGTGCTGGTTGCTACCCAAGCACTCCCTACCCGTTACTCCGTACATGTAGTGAATATCCCGGTATCGAAGCTCGTCTAGCCATCTGACAGCTGACGGTACGCTGTCTCTGGACCGGGTCGCTTAACAAGGGTCAACACGCATGGCCTAGATGTTGAAATTAGCTTAATTTGAAATTGTTCTACAGACAAGTTGAGGCTGTATGACGGCGTACGGTCAGGTCAACGGTAGGAATCGCCCTGGGAGCTGGTCAGAGCTTTAGCCAAGCTGTTATTCATCCGATCCCTCGCCGTTGTGCGGCCGTGGTGATTATAATAATGCTCCCCCCGCAGCCTCCCCGGCGAGGTAGACACTCGTACGTACTTTTTCCTCGACAACAATATTGTTCGTCTCGTGTAAATATATAGACCGCCAAAGAGTTTTCGGCGCCAATCTCTCACTTTCGTGTCCCGTGTTTTGCGACATTCCCGCCACTCAACGGCACGAGATTTGTCACAAGGGCGCGCATATCTAACCCTAATAAGCAGGCGTAGAACCTCCAGGATGGACAGCCAGTAAGTGAGAATAGCTTACATCTCAGTCACAAGACTATTGGGTCAAACATTTCTAATTGCAGGGCATTGTCTATCCTTAGGGGGCTGCCTTCCCCTCTCCTAGAGGCCGAGTGTCGGGAACAGGCCAATAACAGGAAGGAGTGTTATGCTCATATTCAACGCCTTTATAAAGCACGTCAACTCAGGGAATCGTTTGAGTCTCCAATGGCGACCTTTAATAGTAAGCTACAACAAATCACAGAAGAAATTACAGCTGTTCGCGCCAAGCTCCAAGTTCCCATGGCCAATCGGAATGGTCGGGACGACCAAGATACAGCTGACTATGAGACACAAAAACTTGTCAAGCAGCTAGCCGAGCTGGTCTCGCAACAACGTGCCCTGTTTCAAGACTATAATCAAGTTGTCCAGCAAGAGGAAGAATACGCAGCAGGACTGGAGAGAGAGAGGCGACAGGGCTATGCCGAAGTCGCACAGCTTGAGAAGATTGTGGCCAATTTGCGGGCAAAGCTACCCCAGGCCGGAGCGAGCTCATCGCCTGATGTCCTTACAATGGACGCCTCTGCAGCTAATCAGGCCTCTGTTAGCAATAGCACTGGCCATGTCGGGCATGAGGAGCAGTCTTCCGGTATGTCAGACGACGCGAATGTGCCGGCAGCAGAAACCCCCCGACGCCACGGACGCCGTGGAAGTTCCATTGTTGTTGACACCAGCAGTATTAGAGCGCATGAAGAAAGGCCAAAGGACCTGGCATCGGAACGACGGGAGAGAAAGCGCAAACATAGAGTGAGCCAGGCGGCCTCGGGAGACAAGGTGGCGAAAAGGAGAAATACGGCAAACGCCAGACTGCTGGACGTGGACAGACCATTCACGGCGACCTTGGCCTCGAACTGGACAGAGGATCCGTGGATCAGCGACAATGGCACCGTCGACTTCCGCAACTTATATCACAATGGTGAAGTGGTGTCATACTGCATGGTCCTCGAGTATCCACCCGAGAGCGACCGATTTTACATCTTCTACTGTCAAGTTCACGACCAATTCATGAAAAACATTCCTCTCAACGGGGCAAGACGACACTTGAGGAAACACGAGATGTACGAGTCCGAGCCAGATGAAGTCATGGTTGAAATGTTTGGCGTCCGGGTCCTGGACTGCACCCAGGATCTAGCCAAGGAGTACAACGATGCCATCTACCCGCATTTCAAGGCAAAAACATGGCGCTCCAGGCAAAAGAAGAAGGCGGCAGCGAGAGGGACAAATCGATCCAACGGTGATGATGATGCTGTCAACAAGACATATAGCACACCGACGAGAGCGCCTCTTCGGTCGCTGATTCCCCCAGCCAGGCGATCATCTCGTCAGTGCGTATCAAGCCATACCCTCGGGACGAGACACTGGGAGACTTTGATTACAAATCCCAAAGTGGGCGAGATATACTGCCTGACCTGGCACAGAGATGACAGAAATTATGCCGTGATTGTACTGCCGATTGGGTCTTTCGAGCCGGTCGGAATTCCGGGCAGTATCCTGGCGACAAATCTACTGGAAGAGGGACGGCGAAAATCCCATGCCACTGATCCCTCGACTGGGGACTATATTTGGAGCCCGGGGTACGAAGACGGCGGGAAACGAGAAGACGAAAGAGAGTACCCAGTCATCTATTTTGACAACTCTCTGTTCCCACAGAACGCCAGCTATGGGTGGGCGATGGCCGCCGACCTGCAGGTGTTTGATTCCGAAGACGCGAGTATTCCCTATCTCAAGACCGTGACCGAGTTTCTCAAAGACAGAAAGGACCGTGGCCAGGCCAACGGCTCGGAAGATGATGGTGCGTGCCTTGTTCGTACTCCCACCAAAGAGAAGACGCATTAACCGCATAGACAGCGACGAGAGCCGATAGGCAAACCGAAACGGCGGTCGACTCGACACCCAGCGTGCCAGCCGTGCGAGATGAAAACCATCCCATCCCCCAAATCGACGCATACTTTAATGGCGCTCCGCGTTCCGAGTCTGGCAGCGATTTAGACGACGACGGCTACAGCACAGACGAGTGGTCCCTCGACCCTAGCGATGACGAGAAAGATGCCTCCACGGAGACCAACATCGCGAGCTGCCAGGATCGGCATAAGCCCCCGGTGGCCAGGATGGGCACAGGCACCTGCGAGGAGGATTCGTGGGACTTGCCAGGCGACATGATAGTCGACGGCCGTGCAAACGAGCCGAGCCAAACACGTTCTTCCACGCAGCAGGCTGGCCTAGCAAGACTAGCATTAGCCTACGGCGAAGGCGCTGCGGAAAAGCAAACCCCCTCGTTGTCGTCGAAGAGCCAGGCGCCGCCGGACACATCTGCAGCAGCAGCAGCAGCAGCAGCCGAGTCCCGGCCGTCCTGCGCAAACACCACGACGGCAATCTTCACGCCGAAGCAGCCGGAAGCTCTGGCCCTTTCGACCGGGGGGCAGGACGTTGGGCGCAAGCCCGAAGGCGGTAGTAGTAGTACGCATCTGAGACACAGTTTTGGGCGGATCCGCGAGACGTGGCCGGGCTTGGTGCTTCGGCCGGAAGTCCGGACACCGTCTTCGCCGACTTATACGGCTCAGCAGCGCATTACGATCGATCATCTCATGCACACTGCGGGGATGCCGAAAGCGCCACTGCACACGAGATGAGATGGGATGAGTCGATCGCGTAGCTGGGTTACTTGCTACGAGATTGTGAAGCTAAGATTAGATCGCGTAGCGGTATTGTGTGGGATACGGGATGAACCGGGAGGTAACATGCATTCAGGGAGTTGGAGAGGCGGGACTTGCGGTCCTTTGAGCGTTTAGACTTTGTAGATTTGCCATGTCTTTACTTTCCTTCTGCTTCTCGGGGGATCTTTAAACTGTACTTGATGATAGACATTTACGTCGTTGGTTTTTCTGTGGCATACTCACGTCGACTTGTTGACTGGTCCGTTACGGACGGCTTCGGGCATGCCTTGTACTTGAGACTGCTTTTTCAACAAGGCCAATTGTTCCTGGGGCGCGAGACTCTTAAACTCTCTGAGGCCCTGTGTCTTGTGTCGTGACAGTGCTAGGGTTATGGCTAATCCGACCGAAGACTCGGCCGTGTATAATATTCAACCATGGCCGGTCTGACGTGTAAGCCGGCCACATGCATGCCATCCGCACTTGAATCGGTCGGGGGCTGCTCCTTCAAGACCCGTATAGACCAGAACGACAAGTCCGTCTCAGACCGGGAAATCAATGTAGTCGACGCCGAATACGGAGCTCAGTCGTGCGAGTAGAGCGAGGAATATCTCACATCGCTCCAAGCGTCCGGTCCGGCGTCGGCATCCGTGACATCTGCATCCGGCCGCAGAGTTGATATTGGCAAAGCAGTCAGACGGGCTACTTGCCAATCATCTCATGCCAGTCGTCAGCCGCAGTGTACCCCTAACGCTGGCATCTCTGTCCAAAGAAGCGGGCCGGCTTTTCTGAGCTACTCTCCCGTTTCGGGGTTGTGTTACTCGGAAAAGGCCCAACGGATTGTGAAACCTAATAAAGGGGCTTCACCGACAAAGGACTGATTGGTTACATAGATTAAACACATGCCCGCGCAAGAGGCCTAGGCGTATGCGTTCCCTTGTGTATAAAGTAGTCACTGCTCCCTTTGTTCTTCTTAAAACACCAAGGACCTTTGACACTCTTTGATATTATCCCTAAATTTAAACCCTTTATGTTCCGAGCCCTGTTGAGTCCTCGTCACAGTTTGTGATCGACATCACGCCCGATACCTGGGTCCTGTCGAGCCTACTGGACTCAGGGCAAAATGGGCGTGGGGGAGCAAGACATCTCCGTGGGCAAGTCGCACAAGTATCCGGTTACAAGTTATTGCAGGTAAGCCCGCACACAGCCTACGCTGTTGCACGGAAATGGCCCAGCTTGGAGGCCCCCTTATTGGGCCTCACCGACAGAGAACTTGGAGGTTACACAGAAACACATGACCACGCAAGAGCCTTAGGTACAGACGTTCCCCTTATGTATATAATAGTCACTGATCTCTTTCTTTCTCTTGAAAAACCAAGCGCTTTTGACACCCTTTAAAATCATTTTGAAATTGAGTCGTTTGCTCCAAGACTTCTATTTAAACCTTGTCACATGCACTGACCAAGATTTCTTAAGTGATACTGGCTACTGCAAGCCATTAATTATTTTCTATTTGGTATTTTTAGTAAAATGTGTAGGTTCTACAATCATTTGATTTGGCAATCGTTGTGGCCAGTCACGTTATGAGACTCATGATTCGGTAAGCTTTATAAAATCTTTATGACTGTTGTCCCCTCTTGTAAACTCTAGAAACTCAAGATATGTAGTACTTTTCGAACACTGCTGTGTCAAGGACTCAAGGTAGTTTTCATACTGCTGTCCCGTATTGCGCATTGGGTGCTACTATTAACGAATACAAGCTATTTGTGCTTGGGGCTTGATTTATCGTTTATTACCTATTTCATTTGATACCCGTTCGTAGGAACGTACTTGGTGACTACACTATTAATGAGGCTGTAACGGGCACGTATCGACCATAGAACTCTTGGGCTGGTGATGTGAGATAAACTTGAAACGGGCCGAGTATGCGACACCCGGGTCTTGATATCAAGCCCCTCTGATAAGTCAGCAATCCATTACGACTTTTATATCGTAGTAGTAAAATCATTTACGGTTAAAGTTTGTTAGAAGAAAGGGGCATCATTAGCTCTATCGTATGGTGGCTAATAAACGTCAACGATACATCACAGAGCGACTAGGTACAGTCTCAATCATACACGACTGATCCTTGATAAATCTGCCTAGAACCAGAGAGAATTTCTACGTTGTATTAAAATATTAGACGCCAGCTACCGGCACTGGCTATTATATACACCCCGACCGGACTGACAACTTGGGAATCTCATGCCGTTCCCCCCTCAGTCTGACGACGGGACCACCTTCCGAACTTTTCCTCCGAAAACTCCATAATGTCCACATGGCCTCGATGCTGTTTTATTTCCTCCGTGGAAGATATGCTTGTTCCCCTCGATTTTGAATTGCTCGAGGTCGAATCCCTGTCTTTGAGCAGTATATATTTGTCCACCAGCGGCTTGACTCCCGGGATTGACACGGCAATAATTGTGGCGCCGACCTCGGCAACCTCGACACAAAGCAGGTTGAGGAAGGCATACTCAAAAGTCTCATCCGTCTCGTCTTTACACCTAGTGCGTCAGTAGACCATCCAGTCCAACGAGGAAGAGCCGTACTTACAACCATACTTGGTGACTAGAACAATCCGCCCGGCAGAGATGCCAATCACGCTGCAACATGTCGTCAGAGAATGTCCATCATGTCCCTATATGCTATCATGTTTGGAGTACTTACAGTATGCCGGGAAACAGAGTATAAGCTAGCTGAAGCTTTTGCTTCCGTTGCAGCTCCAAGCCCTTGAGCATTATAGCCGGAATGCCAAAAAGTAGCAAGTCGCAGAAAAGAGAAATGCTGGAAATGATAGAGTATGTCTCATACCAATACATGCAATAATATTTGGCGTTGTCGTCTTTGTTCCAAGGCGCCCACAATAAAGTTATAGGTTGGCAATGAAAGATGATGAGACAGAGCTGCGCCACGTATCCCAGTATTATAACCACAAAGATGATTTTAATAGCTAGGAGAAACTTTGGATTCATGCGGCAAATGCGGTAGTAAAATGCCAGCCCCGACACTCGGCAAAGCACCAGCGTCGTGCTATACACCAAGTGCGTAATGGAATCTATGAGCTGTACTTTATAATCGTCTTCTGCCGTCATGATAAACCACTCAAAGAGGAAGTTTCGTCCGGCGCCTAGCACAAGGAGTTCTATGCATAGCGCTGTAAAGGGAATAAAGACCAGCTTTTAGAGGCAGCTTGTGTTAGCAGCCGAGGTCGAGCAGTGCCAATCTCAAGGGCAGCTTACCAGCGACGCGAGTGCTATTCCATCGTCGATGCCCAATGCGCCCTTTTTTGTAATGTACTTGCGCGAATAGAGTCTCAGCACGACGACCAACGTTGTCAGGACGAGGACGACGACAATGCCCGCAATGGCCGATGTGTCCCGCGATTCTCTGAGCAAATGGATAGGCACGTCCGGGGGAACATCGCCAGCGGCAATGGCCTCATCAATCCGAGGGTCGCCCATTTTCCTTGAATTGCGTCCAGCCGCTAGCAGCAAAAGCGAGAAGGTCTCTGACGTCTGATAGAGGAATTTGAATTGTCACACGGCGAAATGAGGCTCAACAAACATGACATCTTCTGGACATGGGCTGCTGGCAGGTTCTGTATTTCAATCTTGCGGCTCGGCGTGATACTGCCCCCGAATCCTCCATCATGACTCGCACCTCGGCGGCATTTACAAACGCAACGCAGGGCAAGTTTCTGCGCCTGAAAAGACGCCGGCCTGCTTTTGAAGCCGTGGATCCATTTCATGTTTCGGCGTGTACATACAACATCGGCCGTTCCGCTGGGGAGACTCCTTGCTCTTGCTCGTGTGGTCGTTTCAGATCCGCCGCACTAGCAAGAGCCATCAATGCGCTGGGCACCGTACGTTGCTGCAAGATGTTTGGTATTCTCCAGCTATTCCGCTGGCATTGCCGCCAGTCGAGGCTGTTGAGGGAGAATGCTGCCACTGTCTCGTGGTTGTTTGGAAATCAAGCTACGCCTAGGCGCCAACCTCAGTCGGCCGAGTTTACCAATTGGAAGGGTGTGCCAGCTGCTATAATGCAGAATCATCTGAGTCTTTACGGGAAAAGGCATGCTCTTGCGACAGGAATACTCCACCAGACACTACTTCTTGCGTCTGTCTCTGTGACCGGGTCAGAACGGGCCCGTGACGGCCACAATCACGACATTTACATTTATCACGGTACACTCGCCAGGTCTTGGTTCTGACCAGTCGCAGAGATATGATTGCATTCAGACGCAAGGTGTAAGTCAGATGTTTGTTTGTATAAGCACATCAGACAAGGTTGTTTAGAACCAGACTGGTGCCATGATCGCCCACATCTGATCGGCCTTGCAGGGCCGAAGAGCTCCGTTTGACGGTTCCCCTTTTCCAGCGTCAAGGTTGATGGCTCCCGAATGAAAAAGGCCCGTCTGGGGTCCAAGTCCGCCTTAACGCTCCGTATGTTCTTACCCCAGTATAGTTTCTGTGCCGTGTCTACATCTAATTGAGTGTCGATATAGTCTGGATGCATTCCCAAGTCCCCATCCGCCTATGAATTCATGATGCCATCTCTAAATAGATCGGCATTCTCATTTGCGCAACGGTGTACGCCCGTTCCATTTGCCAGTATAACGCTCGCGCCTATTCACTAATCCAGCGTGAGGCCATAAGCCCTCGCCGCCATGCCATGTCCACCAAGTAGAGTGAACCCTGCAATGCCCATTGCCAACACTGCGTTAATTAGCTGCACACATTTTGGGACTTCGGCATCACGAAACATGTACCGGGGCAAGTATCAAGAGGTATTGTCCTTTCCTCCAGGCTGTATCGCTCGGTGGAAACATGTGCCAGCCGAACACCAGGTTGGATTCTGCCTGTATCATCTTTCTGTATCGTGCCGGCCCTCAGGTCGTCCAAGGCAATAACCAAGTGTCCATCCTCACCTCCAAAACCAAATGATCCGAAGCTGTGGCCTCCACTTTTGGTACTGACTCGCACTCCGTTTCTGATACCACAGGACACGATTCTTAGTCAAACTGGAAGTGTATGTCTTGTCGGGCTTGTGCTCCATAATTTTATGTGAAGGCCTTGATATTCTCTCAGCCGACTCCCGTCTGATCGGAAACTTCTTCTGCTGAAGGCATTTGTCTAGAACCCGTCATGCCATTGCCTAGTTGCATAGCTGGACCTGAGGCTCTGTGGCGGGTCTTGGTTTTCGATATATCTTAATCTGGCCAGGTGCATAACTATTACTCAGTGACGTCAATGACAAACACAGGGGCTGGGAAACTGATCCGGCGGGATACTGCTGCTATTGGCTACAACATATTCTGCCTTAACGGGGAAATACACCTCTTGCATTCGAGTTTGGGCCGCAGGGGTCCGATCCAGGCCATCCCTGTCAGCGGCGATCAAGCAAAATGGCTATGCAGTAAGATCTACATCTTCTGCAAAATGCGCCTGGTGACTCGTACACACCCCATCATTATCAAAATGCACGGACTTCATCATCTCAGTGAGCTGGCGGTTCCGTATAAAATTGGAGATTTCGTAGGTGCAGTTGCTGATGGCAAGTCAAAGTTAACAAACCAACCCCAACTGGTAGCTAATCCCCAGCCCTAGTAATATCTTTGTCCTTGAAAAAGCTCGCTGCCGTATCAGAAACGAGCATCCTGTGTCCAAACATGCTGTAACAAAGGGGAAAGTCGATACATGAAGTAGTTACAAATTCATCTCCAGACGTGTGAAGAGGCTAAAGATTTAAACGCCACTCTTATTCCGTTTTGGAATCGACACGCTCTTCATACTATCAATGATATGCGTAAAACAAGAAAAAGCCTCGACTTGGGAAGAGCCATGTCCCCGGCGTATTGCTCCATGTATCAGAACGAAGGCAAATATCGGCCAAAGTCTATTAAGCCTTCTTTTAGGCAAAGAAAATATGTGCCATGTGACTTTCAAAACAAGACATGTGTCCTTGAAATTAAGCCTGTAATTCTGCCCTCCTTGTCAGGTTCTGTCCAATGAATACGAGCGAGATGACAGACGTTGTGGCCGAGCAATATCGGTGGCATGAGGAGTGTGCAAACAAGAAACCCAACAATCTGCGCGGAGAAATGGAAAGGAGCCTGTGCTTCCGTCGAACGGTTGCATCAAAGATGTCCCTTAGCAGAGCCTGAACCAAGGTCAGGACAAATGCTACCGAGAATCCTAGTTCGCGAAAGCAGTACAAGATTGGCAAGGTTCGCCCCAGATTGCCAATCTTGTCCCTGTATATTGTACCCTTGACTATTCGTGTTATGGAGCAAAGGATCGTCTTCCCGCGGTTCTCTTTCGTTCAATGGTGCTGGCGTTGGGTCGATAGCGCTTCCCGCATCATAACAAGCGACTATTTTCTTGTCGAGTACTGGTAACCGGATGGCGACTTGGAGCGAAAGGATTCTTATTGCCAATCCAAAGACTCTCTGTATACCGCGTCTGCCATGGAGGATGTCTCCAACAATTAATGTCCAACCTTGCCGATAGAAATTATGGCGAAGATCTTGAAATATCAGCTTGCATTGTCCTGAGAAGTACGTCGAGTCTTTAGCCATGACACGACATTCCAATGACCTTGCCCGTATTTCTAGGATGGGTGGAATCTTTAACCATGGCAAGACCAGCGGTCCGGACTACCGCAGCAGCCAAGCCTTGCACGAATCTTGCTATTATTACAATGGTGTCTCTCTGCCCGAATGATGTTCTGCATTAATAAACCGGCCACAAACGTTGGCTGTCTGGACCCAAGCTTGTCTGTAACCCAGCCAGCCGGGAGGGAAAACAAAACAGATGGTCCTGCATATGCTGCAATTAAGCTAGACGTAAAAGATTGGATCTGGGAGCCTGGGATGGAAAGGCGATCCCGCAGCATGAACGGTAGCACTGGCACCATAATGCCGAAAAAGAAGAGGTCGGTGAACAGGCCGAGTGCTACTGCCGCTGTAGTGAAACTCGGCTTCGAGCACCGGTGAAAACTTTGCGGCCTGCCTTGACCTGCCATCTTGGAGGAGCGCATAAGAACGTGGTTGTGGTGATGATAAATGTCGTCATCTGGGAGTTTGCGAGCGACGTTCGCAGCGTGGGAGCAATACTTGTAAAAGCCTTACGGCTCCGACTTGATAAAGTCTGGTTCTTCCATCTACATCCGCGGAGCGGCGTAAAAGCACAGCTAGGCCGATCCAAATTTATTATCGGCAAATCGTCACCAATGGGTCGTATGGAGTAGTCCTCTGCCACATGACCACAGGTTATTGTCAGCGGGGTGTGCAGAAGTCCGAGACATAATAAATCTACTCGCCCAGTTTTGTTGAACCAAAAAGGCGATAATTGAAGGTTGTTGGTCACGATGGTTGCTTTTTCCAAGGCTCAAATTAGGGATTGGTTGAAAGTCACAGCAGCATCTTCCGGGGTTTCAACAGGGCATGAAAAGAATCAATTTTCCGGCTTTTCAGGGCTTTCAACGAAGCTTGAGGCCACGGAGTCATCATCGAGACGAAATATTTGCTCATTAAGGCTCTTGTAATTCATGTTTACAGTCGGCGCTTCCGTGTTCTGATTCGCTCCATGCGCCTATCACCTACCCGGGAGCTAAACTTGAACGGCCCTCGTACCTGGGTAAACTCTTTTCCCATTAATATTATACAGTTGGTCACTGGACGGACGGCGTATTAAGATATTTGGACCATCATAAAAATTAAACAAGATGTATGGTGGCGTACATTCTTCTTGCATATTTGCACCACCGAGTTTCGTCATGCTGCGGATATTATTGTCAACTTTCAAGGGACCCGTGCCCAACCTTGTTTGCGTACAAGCGCGACTGGTTTTGCGCGTCGAGATGATACTAGTGGCGAGAAAGTGCGGCTTTCATCGACATGTTACTGCAGAGCAGACTATGTGGCTGCTATATGTCTGCATTGTTGGATACCTTGTAAACAAAAAGAGTCTAGAACCACCATCAAGCTACTTTCTAACCCGAAGGTCTGAAGTCGCATCATTGTAATTACACGGACAGACGGACAAGAGCAGTAGGTCATGAAAAGCGTCAATATTTAAATAATCTCCACACTATGTCGTACAAACGAGGAAAATATCCCTGGACTGTCCCAGTAACAGCTGTGTAGCTCATTGATTCCCGAACCGAAAACCACCCTGGGTCGTGGATGTCACGAAAACGACCAACTTGGCAAAGTTTGCCTCCATGACAAGCAGCTCGACTCCTCGAGAGCTTGCCGTCGTTTACGCAGCAGTAGAAGAGTCAGTGCTTCGACCCAAGAGGCCAGTGCCGAGCGACAAAAGGCTGCCCAAGGGATTACCAGCACCAGAACCAGTTGCAGCGCCAGTCGCTCCGGAGAGTAAAGATCCAACGACGGGGATGGCGCTCAAGGGATTGCTAGCACCGGAACTAGCTGTAGCGCCACCCGCTCCGCCGAGCAAAGATCCGAGTCCGGGAATGCTCGACAAGAGGCCGGCCAAGGGGTTGGCGGTAGTAGCCGCGGTAGTATTAGCACTGCCACTTGCTCCAGAGAGCAAAGGTCCAACGACGGGGATGGCGCTCAAGGGATTGCTAGCACCGGAACCAGCTGCAGCGCCAGTCGCTCCGGAGAGCAAAGGTCCAATGACGGGGATGCTGCTCAAGTCCTGCGGCGTGGGAGCAGCCAAGCCCGTCTGAGCAGCGGAGAGAGCCAGAGTGGCGGCAAGCAGAGTAGAGTTGACGTTAAATCTCATCTTGGATATTGGTAAAAAAACGGCGTAAATTTTGTTGTGGAATTAAATAGATATGCCAGAGGAAAAAAGGCTGCGAGTGAAGGTAAAAGTAGCGAGCGTGGTGAGGAGGCAACCGTGACCGTTGTAGAAACGAAACAAGCTTTTTTGTCTTGTCTAGCCGAGACACTGAGAGACTACCGACGGGCATAGAGACATTTATACCAGAATGTCTTGTTTTGGCAGGGGGCATCTCATCTCATCCATCGATTGCGTGTTGTACATTGACGCGCAATGCCACCACGATTCCCACGTGCCGTTGAGCCTTTGGCCACCACATGAAACATTAGCAACTGCTCTATTCGAAAAAGGCTACGGAACGCTTTGACACCATTCAGACGGTGTCTTCTTGGCTATTCGGTTGGATGTATGCTAGGCGCACTGACGTGGAGCCGGTGGAATGCACATGCACTAGGCAAAGTATATCCTCCACGGATAATCTATCTTGTATACTCTTTGGGCAGCGGAGACTAGGAGTATTTTGTTTCAAGGGGTTTCATTTAAGATGAATATTACTTCATTATCGCGCGTTCGTGCGATGATGGGATAAATGTAGAGGTTTCATCTAGCCACAACGTATGACTTTTAACAACCCAGGTAGTTGTTCTTGTTCCTATTAAAAGTTTTGCCGCGGCAAATTCTGGGGTACTCGTGTCATAGTCAGGTCTGGTGCAATGCAATCCATCATCAACGGCGGCTTGTTGTTGCGACGCGATTTATAGGCTGTACGTGTGAGCCGCGTCATGGCGGACGGCATCGCAGAGTGAAGACGACTACCTTTAATAATTCTTCTTTGCAGTCCTGTCGGTCGGACTATCAACTCCGTATCATGCACAGCCGATGAGCTGGGATCGTAACAGTCATGATCACGTACGTATTGTCGCTGGACCGTGTTAAATAGTGTCCGCGCAATGTCCTCTCAAGTTTTGAACCATTTGTACTTGTCTCTGTTACACTTGTAACGGATTACAAAGTCAAGTTGAACTGGGTTCCATCAGCTTGTGTACTCCCCCACGGAACCGATCACGGCAATTTCAGCTCGCCGGGAATTATAAGCGTCCCCACCGCGATCAAGGCTAACTGAGCAGTAATAGAAGGAAGATCTAGGGGCATGGGAAATTTGGCTTAGTTGAAAGCACCTAACATTACCTAGTACTGACGGAATGTAGGCCTATTTATTGTTTAGTTAGAGAGAATCCCTTAATTCTTTTCAGGTTTATTATACCAAACGCTATTATGACTGGCAATGTTCTTGCGGTTTGTACAAAGAAGGTATCACGAGGTCACGAGGTCAGACCCTAGGCGAGGGCTGCCTCAAACCTTAAACACAACCGGCCTCTTGTATTTATAGAGACCTTTGGTCCCTCAAGGCCTCTTAGAAAACTGAGGACCTTTAATACCTTCAAGTTGTTTATTAAAGCTTGAATTGAACCACTTGTTCCAAGCCCAGTCACATTGCCCCCGTCACAAGCGCGGAGCCGGTTCGTAAACATCCATGAAGACGGGAGAATCCGCTACTGTGGCTGCTTGGGACGGGGTGGATGGCCGAGAGGGCTGGAACAATTGCCAGCTATCGGATTTAAGCTCAAGTACAACTACAACGAGTACGGGTACCTTTTCGGGTATTTGTTTCTGCAAGATAAGCATAGTGCATGGGTAGGCAGCGGCAGGGGACGCCTGTTACGTAAAACAGCCGGGGAAAGGGAGGATGAACGGCAACACGATATATGTGGAGCATGTCAACTAGTAGATGTAGTGAAGTAGGACAACAGAATATCAAGCATTGACTCGAGAACACAGCAGCGAATAAAGAGACGGCCAACTGAGACATACCTGCCGTGATAACGTCAGCCAGGAGTCTCGACTTTAAAAGACGATCAGAAATCATAAGATAACATGCAGAATGCATCGAGACAACTGACTCGTGGTGACCTGGCGACGAATATGGATCGGGCATAAGCCATGCCGCTCGAGTCCGTCTCATGCCGCTTGGCTGTTAACCGGTCACGACGGATGCCGACAACACCACACATCATCGAGGCTTTTTTCAAACGGGACTGCGGAACAGGAGAGACATAAAGACTGGTGCTCTCTCCGCATATTCCATATATCTTTCGCCTTTGCATCACAGCCGGAAGGTGTCGTATGTTTCTACATTCTGACAAGCCCCCCAATATTCCACCACTTCCAACTCTCCAAGGTTTCAGCACAATGAGGTCCCTGGGAGTGGTAACCGTCTTCCTTTTGGGACTACTCTCCCAGGAAGTGAGCGCTGGCTCTTCCGTCGCACAGATCAATCTTCTGGCAGCACCGCAGTCCAGAGGCACGCTGGCCTATGTACGGGACTCGGCGCCGCCAGAGTTTACATACACGACCGATTATGCCCAATCCGGCAACTGGATCGGTCTTTTCGAGAAGGGAATGGGCCCTGACACGGGGGGTGATGACAAGTACTTGGGCTGGGCGTCTGCACCGGCATCCAAGGGCCGCGTTACTGCCGATGCAGACTTTGACCAATGCCTGCCTGCAGGGCAGTACGACGCCTACTTGTTCCGTCAGCGCGGGCCTAGGAGTTATCCAGTCGTCGGGCCTGTGACATTCTCCTACCCCGGCAACCCCGACTACCACGAATGTGAGGGCGGCATCTGCAAGCCTGCCGCCGAGAGCTGCAGCTGCGCAGACGGCAAGTGGTGGTGCCCGGCTCGGGATGAGTGCATACCGACTACCAAACAGTGCCGTGGCAAGTGTCCGAAGGGCTGGAGGGTGGCTGGGAATAGTTGCGTCCAAGACATTTGCGAGAACCCATTGGCCGGCGTGCAGTGGGATGCGTATCGCATGTCGATAGGAAACGGTCTCGGTCAAATTCCTTACCCGGAACCAGCGCCATTTCTCCCGCAGTTCAATATCGATACTCTCTTTGGCGGAACACCGGTTCAGCCGACGAGCGGCACCGTCGGCAGTATCGGCTGGCGCAACGGCGTTGCATGGATAACCAACCAAGTTCTCCAACCGATTCCCCAAGATTACTTCTTCATGTCGTGGACTGGCTACCTGGTCCCCAAGCATACAGGAAGCTACACGTTCAACATGTGGTGGACCGATGACGTGTCTTATCTCTGGGTTGGGGAGCACGCGAGGTCCGAATTCTCAGAGTCCAACGCAGATTTGAAGGTAGACTACGCTTCAATCGACACGTTTGGCAAGAAACGCTTTTCGTATTCTGCCGAACAAGGAAAGCCAGTTCCCATCAGAGTCATTAATGTACAAGCTGCGGGACCCTATTCGTTGTGCTTTGGTGTCACAGATCCCACGGGTCAAGCGGTCATGAACACTTGTGGCGAAGGTGGTGTTCTGCGCGAGTCCGACGGCCAAATTGCTTACTGCAAAGACGTCAAGTTTGGTTCCGTCTTTCGGCATGTTCCAGTGAAGAGAGCCTTTACACCAGACATGCCCAGCAGCCGGTGTACCAACTTGAAAAGCGGTGCTCAGTGGAATCTGTACAAATTCCAGCCGGGAAGTGGCCCTGGGCATATTTCCTACACCTCGGCTCAGCCTCTGCTCCCAGCGCACAGTATTGACATGGTCCTCGCTGCCACTCCCAATGCCCGGTATACAGGGCAAGTTGATAAGATTGGTTGGGATAGCGGCTACGTCGAAGGGGTGGGCTCTATCTATCCCCCAGCCGACACAGGCCCAAGGGGATACTTTTTGATGTTTTGGACCAGTTATCTTGTGCCCAGTCGAGAAGGAAGTTACCGTTTCGACGTGTGGTGGGTGGATGATGTGGCCTTTTTGTGGGTTGGTAACAAGGCAATTGCAGACTTTTCTGAAACGAATGCCGATTTAAAAGTTGACTATGCTTTCCTTGATGTTTTTGGCAAGAAATATTTCGAATACCATGTCAAGGCCGAGGACGTTGGCAAGCGGATTCCCATAAGAGTCGCGAATATCCAGGGTGGAGGAGCATTTTCCGTCTTCATGATGGTCACGGACCCTACTGGTAAAGTGATCATGAACAGTGGTGACCGTGGAAGCGGTAAACTGCCGCAAGCCTCCAACGGCGAAATTGGTTATTGCCCATGATGTTGGCGATGGAGCTGGCAATTGAATGTAGGCAGGTCATGACTAGTAAGCCTAAGGTTATCAAAACTCGAACGCCATGGAGATGCCAGTCATTATTAGCAGATATGGTAGGTAGTGTAGTCAAGGCCAATAATTTCCGGTACAGTCCCTGCTGTCTACTGCAGACCCAACGCCAGCGGTGACATGCATGATCGCATACATGAACAGAAAGAAAGACCTGTATGGAACTATCCGCGTTTGAGATGAGGCATCGCGACTTCATAGCTGGCCTGGCCTCGTTTCCTATGTATGTAACCTGCGCAGACGAGGGAGACTCGGGTCATCCGAACTGCTCTTGCAAATTCATGTGCTATGTGCGATTCCAAGCACTTGCCGCCCTTGGTTGAACGCGTGCCTGGGTCGGTGTTGGGTCCGCCGGTCCGCCAGCACCAATGCAGCCTTGTCGAGGCTGTGCAAGTTATCGAGAGGTTAGGCGACCCGATGAGCAGTTTGTCAAGGCAAATTGTAAACTTCGAGCGGGGGGCTAGTGCACCAATGATTGTGACTTTGCGCAGTATTGTTGCTTCAGATGGAAACCTTGCCCGCACAAACGAACTTGTCCGGTCAGCACATAATTGCATGCCTACAGAAGATTATTCCTCGGATCGCTATCGCCCCAATCATCTCTCCATTGTTGTGCCAACACTTCTGTTGCGTTGGTTCGCTCCAGCCTCACTGCATCCCAAATAACGTAGCCCCAGCGACGTATGGAGTCTTGGACATAGTATCCATACAAGTTACTGTAGGTTCCGTGCCATATAATCGTCCATCCTAATGGTGGTAGTAGATCACCGGCATTGGCCTCGCCCGTGAACGGTAATGGCTCGCGCCGGGTTTGCTTGAGATCCCGTTTCGACGGATGATTGCGGCGCCTATGGAACTGCGCGCCCTCGCTGAACGCATCGTCGAGCACGTTGCCCGACGGAAATGGAATTTCCTCTTGCATCATCGACACTAGATGCTCGTGATCCTGGACTTTAAAAATAACTGAATACAGCAACTCGAGACCGCGGGAGATTGTTCCTCTCAAGAGGGATAATCTGGTCCCTGTTCCCACACGCACCGTTAGTAGTATTCCTACCTATAAGTATAGGCGGCAGAGTACTTACAGCTGTTGTCAAAGTCAAAAGCGCCGTCTGGGGTTGGCGGTCGCTGGCCGTCAAACTTGGGATTCTCCTCATGTACGTCCCAGCGGATATCGCTGAAAATTCGGTCATATTTTTCTGTTGCAAAGGTGTTGATGCAAGCAATCTCCTCAACCTCCCAGGGTTCAAATAAACAGAGAAAGAGCCGCAAGATGTCAGCAGACTCAAACCCCAGTGGCGGGCTCAGCGTTGGAGCATGTTTGCCTCTGCCAAACAGGTTGCAGGACAATTGAAATCGATACATGGCCCGCATCAGTCGCGTCTCCTCTGTGCCACTCGGCGGCTCATGGCTTTGCAAAGCTCTTTGTTCACGTGCGAGATTGCCCAATGACCACGTCAAGTAATACCGAGCAAGAGGCTGAACAATGGCGTTATGAAACATGACCATACCGACTGCTTCATCTTCGCCAACGTCTCGTGGGAGTAATGGTTGCTCGGTGGCACCTCCTTGATCCTGGTAGAGCTTCAGAAAGCCAGCGACGTTCTCACGCGTGCGTGATTTAGCAAAGTCGGCAGAGCTCGACCGGAATACGGCCAAGGCATCTACAGAGACGCATCCTAACGTATTATCCAGCGATCTGCAGAGTAAATATCTGCGGTTAACGAGATACCTTGCGTGAATGATGGGGCTCGACGACACAAGAGCGCGCGTTTCATCGATGCCAAGCATGGACAACAACAAGCGGTGAACCTCAGACGGTAAGCTTTCTAGAGTTGAGATTGCAGCAGGCGACTGAGATTGAAGTCTGTCGGGTTGTGCTCGCTCGTTGGCGTCAGTCGACTCATTTTGCGGGCTTCTGTTATTCGCGGCTGTAGATTTGATTGCGCGCACTTTTGGTAGTCTAGGGTTCTTCAGGAAATTTCTGGCTCGCGACAAGATTCTTTTCATCTTTCTGGTTTCGCTTTATGAAACGAAAGTGGTTGGAACGACTGCATGAAGTCAACTCCGCGCGTCATGCATGTTGCAGGTAGCAGGCAATGTGGTAGAATGTGCAAGGGGGGAGGACGCGAGGTGAATGGGGGACTTGTGAATTACATAAGCGGCAGGTACTCTGTACGCATGTTGGTTCATTCGTCTTGGAATCTGACCAGCCAGAGCACGCATCATTGGCAGTAGTACCTCGGGACATAACTGAGAACATGTATGATATTAATTATGACTGCAAAACTGGGTTAAAAGTCCTGAAAACCCGGGAAATTGACCAGACCGACCCCTCTTATACCCCGTTGGAGCCCCTGAAGACCCCTGCGATAACCCTCAATCAAGCCCTAATTTGAGTCCCAGAAAAAGCAACTATACTGGTGAACCGTCGACCTCTAGGCATCACATGTGCACCTTTTTAACCCAGCAATCTGAGCGTATTTAGAATCGCTCGCGTTCAAGCTGCAACTCTCGCTGGCGAGAGGCTCGTTGAAAGTCCTGAAGGCCAGCATATCGCATCTCAATAGTATCAGTAACCCAATAAACACATGATCTACTTAGACGTATTTCCTTAAAGTCTGGATCCATAAGCTTTTCTTGTTCTGAAGGGCTTACACCGCATTCGTCAAGGCACCGGCGCCACTCCGAATCGTCGTCTGTGTAAGCGTTTTCCTTCTTCACATGGCCAAGAATGAAGGCAAGAAAGGTGCATTGAAGATCACCAGTGTTGGTATCAATCTCGCGGCCAGGCCAGTTAGACCATTCGTTCCACATCTCGTCGACCTTGAGCTCAGAGAAGCCCAGGTAACACAATGTTGCACGCGATATAAGGGCGCTTGGTATGGTGACAAATGCCTTGGCAGCAGCGGCTTCTGGAGAGCCCATGACTATGTCGAGGGGGATTTCCTGGTAAAATATATCACCCCAAGAATGAAGACGACGCTTGTGACATTTTCGTTGTCCTGTTTCTTCCACGGGTCCAAGCAGGCCCCTGAGTTCTAAGTCGGCCGCATCGAGCGGAGAAAAAATTGGACTCGAAGGGGCAGTCTCCATATTAAATATATGTATGCTGATAATATGCAGGTCGGATATTGGACAAGGCGACGGTGTGGTGTTCTTGATGTAATGACGATAGTAGTCAGAAGAGTGAGAAAAAAGAGGGAAATTGGACAAAGTGTAAAGTTGAGACGTGCACACAGATACAAACAACCTAATGTGTAAAGGACAAGGCATGGTATATATATGCGGACATAATCTCAGAGACGAGGGTCTTTGCGCTAGCAAGTTTAAATAAGTAATATGTTAAGTTGAAAAAACAGCTAATAAACTTTTTTAGACACTTTCTAATAGAGTTAAATTTGTCAAGAATAGGTCATTAAGCTTGGAGCTTACCTGCAATTAGTAAGTTTTAGAGCAGGTTTCCTCACATTCAGTCTCTGCTAGCCTATTTCGAAAGGTTGATAGTTTATCAACCTAGAAACCAGTAGAGCTTGGCCCTTAATTGAATTTATCTATCAAAGGAATTGAGGCCCTCTCAAAATCAGACGGACTCAAACAGCCGCTATTGAATTAGACAGAAAGTTTGTAGCTAGTAGGTTTTGCTAGCCAGCCTCCAACTTCAGCCTTATAACTTAGTTCCAAACTTCTAGACGATGAGGCCCTGTCGGATGACTCATCTGATGACCTGTACCTTTGGACGAAGTACCCGTTGACATCCTCGCATGTTCAGACTTTGGGTCGTTGGTCACAGTGCATTTTTCAATCGTAAGCCACTTTTCAAATATAAACACATTGGCGCAGACGGTTGCCCGGCTCTGCTTCTAAACTTACTGGTCGATAACACGCGGGGCACTTTTCGCAAACAATGTTGCATTTGGATGTGTCTGTTATGAGAGGCACACACTGATTCTTCGTACCTCGCTTGAACCCCAAGCATAAGTCATAAAACGGGACACCATGGTCGTGTGCATCGGCAGCCTTGAAACATTTTCTGTGGGATGACGTAGAAACACATAATGATTATAAATAAGATTTAGGCCCAATAAAAAGAATTTCCCGGAAGTCAGAATGGTTTTGTCGTATCCCTCTTCATCCAGTTAGATGTTCCAGCCTTATATTCGACAGCACGCCTAGCAGACTTGTACTCTAAGCGTTGCCTGTGCGATGTATGCCACGCCGAACAGACCTGTTAATCGAAGTTTGACTAGGACAAACAACTTTTCATAGCAGTGCTTTGAATGTTGCAGCACTATGTTAGGGTATTCCCTGGGATTGTGGCGAGAAATGATCGCACGGGCGGCAACAGGAGAAACAAGAACGAACCCCAAGTACCCAAAGGGTAAACTTCTGTTGAAACAACAATGGCATCATGCTTTGCATGCTATTTAAATTGATGTTGTTGGTGTTTAGCAGTGTAGACGCGGAGTTGGTTGTCGGACATCGGTCTGTTGAGCTGCCCTGAAACTTTCGTGTATCGAATCAAAGCGGTGCCAACAGAATTACAGGAAATTAACAAACTGGCGCGGCCTGGGATTATAGACTCCAGGCTAAAGCTTATAGTCTCAGTCTGGTTGAAGGGATTTACATATTTGCTTATAAATTATTTACCTGTCGTGGAACTGTTGCAAGACAAGGATTTTAATACTATTATGGAGTTATATGGATGCTGAAATTTCAATGGCCAGAAGACAGGTCCTCCTTGCTAATGAAATAAGCAATGATCGAAATTGACCAGCATACTCATATAGCTGAGATACAAAAATGCTATATGCTATTGATCAGACGATTTCATGTGACTGCCGTATGCCCGTGTACCGTGGGGAATGTTCGTCGTTGCATGATTCCCAGCAACGTCACGTCGTTCCCTCAATCTCTGAGACCTCTTGTCCTCTGCCTTGTTCGCAAAATAGGACAAAGATCCTTTTTGCCTTACACCACTAGTGGCTCCCTGCCGTGGGCCAGCCCTGAGTGCCCTGGAACCAGCGTGACTTATACACCGCTGCAGAATACCGCCGAGGCGACTGGAGCTTCCCGTGCTTCAGGAAATTAATTTGATGCGAGGTGACATCCCTCCAGCCCGCCTGGATATAAAGCGCATTACCCTGACCATCCAGGCTGAGGCACTTGACATCGGACCGAGGAAGCCACTTGCCGTCTGACCCGACACGTCTATCGACTGGCTGGAAGCCCGGCAGGAACTCCTTCGCCACGGCCTCGCCGCTCTGAAACTTTTGCGACGGGATATCAAAGACGTGCAGGTCTGTATCAGTAGAGAGAAGGAGTTGGCGCTTATTAGGCACGCCGATCAAGTCGTGCCCTCCGTCCCACCAGCCGCTATACTGCGAGTTGGCCCATTCCGTCGTGAGGAGTATAGGATTGCCGACCTTGTACTCATGAACAGGCTTTTGGGTAAACTTGCCTCCATTGTATGCGTAGGCGTTTAGAGCGCTGCTGGACGGCGTCTTGCCAGCCGGTGGGCGGTTGTTTCCTACCGCCCACAGGAGATTGGCTTGTTTGTCCCAGACGAGGCCGTGGACGGCGGGTGTAGAGTCGAGTTTCTCGACCGGGTTTGCATTGGCCTGCAAGCCGCGGCCGATGTCAAAGATTTGGATGTTTTCCGTGTAAATACCCGAGGCAGTGGCTATGGCTATTTTGTTATCGGGCACGAGCTCGAGGCTATGAGTGTTGCCCAACGTGCCCCGGTTGATGCAGGTGCCAAACGTGATTTTCTTATCATGAGGGCTTCCAGGAAGGTGGTTGATGATGAGAGCAGCGCCGTTAAAGACTGTGAGGACGCTCTTGCCGCCATTGGCCCACTTGGCTTCTGGGACGGCATAGTTTCTCTTGATGCAGCGAGGAGGTCTCCGGGGATATTCTGCCTCTGGGCGTCGTCGGGAGTCCACCTCCATGATTCAGCGCCGTTGACGTCGTGGATGGAAACTGCGGCCAGGGAGGAGCCGGTGGCGAACAAGCCTGTGATGACCTTGGATAGAGCAGCCTCAGCCTCAGCCTCAGGACCTGGTTGATCCCCGGTCTGCGCTATGGGACTGCCTTGGATACAGGCCAGGTGGATGGCACCGAAAGTAAGGGCTATGCTTGCGATTCTCATCTTGGCTTTGAGCACGTAGAGTACTGCGCCAACTCAAGGGAGTGATGGTTATCGGAATATAGAATAATTGGTTTTAAAACTGTGTCTCCCGTTGGTAGAAATATGCTTACGAGCTTGATAGAGGGCGATAATTTGAACTCAAAGGGGGCATATCAGGAAGTTTATATGCTGCAGGCAGTGACCAGTATTACAAACTGTGAGCACTGGGACGACTACTGGGATTCATTCAGACTAACAGAATTGCCATTGTATCAAGCCAATGAGAATCCATGAGGATCGGGAACACAGACAAGAATTGTCTTGATAGCATCGAGTCCGAGCAACAGCAGTAGTAGTCATGCATGGCCGGAAATGGAACATGCATGGCACCTGCAGGTTACGTCCTCGGATGAATTGTAATACAAACTGCGTCATATTCCCTAACTTGCAGCCCTCTGCGTCGTCGATACCCAACAGGCCCAACTGGTAATGAGATTGGTGTTCCGCACAAGATTGGTGGGTGTCAAAGGCGTGTGGGGAGGTTATTCCGATTCCCAGATTTGTCATGTCTGACCTCACATCAGTGTTACGCTTGGCATAGCAGTAGGTAAGTTGTATACTTTTGGAGCTTCTTAAAGCGGGTTGATCATTTGCTATCGGCACAAGCCATGTTGCACAACTTGCTATGCGCCATGCAGCCTCCCTTGCCAGCAAAGGTCTTGACCAGTGGGGGGAAAGCATCTATCGCCCTTGATATGATTCATCACATTGACCTGAAGCTTTCAGTTGCCATGTTCACAGTGAATATAGTACAGCTCTTGAAATCCTTCGGTTGCGATGTAATATGACGGGAAGAAGCGGTACCAGTAGGTGCCGATAGCTTTTTTTTAAACTAGTTGACGTCCAAGAGGACTCTGGGTAATTGTCAGTCCATTTGTGTAGCCTGCATATTATCGCAGCTTCATCAAATTCAAGCTGAGGTACCAGAAGGGAGCTGTTGGACCATGATGATATCCAGCGAATTATGTTGCATCAGATTACTACCACACGCAGCAAACGTTTCATTCTACGCGCCAGGATCTCGCTCAAGTCATGTTCAGAATCCACACAAAAGACCTCAAGTGCTGGACCCGCCACTTGACATTACTGCAATATTATGTCATATGCATGCATGCACCATTATTATCCCCCGTACGGTGCGGTTGTGTTACGGCCACTTGACTTGACTCTGCACGGGACAAGTTGACAACAAGCCTGCAACAATATCAAGCACGGCCATGACAGGGGCGTAAATCCTTGGACCGACTCCATCACGTCCAAGGAATCCTGAAAACTCTTTGGAGGAGTGAGTTTGGGTGCCATCTGATCCACAAACTGCGCATGTACATGGCAGTCAATATTTTCAACAGCTACATTTACATCGTCCGTGCTGATGACCTACACAGATACAATTTGTCATTTGTTCTCAGTCTTTTCCGACGCATGTCGGTAGTAGACCAACAAATGCGCCGTCCGGGGCCAGCAAAATGTCCAAGAGTCATGCGTGAGAAAGAAAAAGCTCAACTGGCGACCCCTGCACTCGGCCCGTTGAAAATGACGATGCGGCATTTGAACACCGTTGCACAGGCACAACTACCTGGGGCTAGTACCAGGTGCTAGACTTTTGCGTATAGCATGCAGTGCTGCAATATTGGGGGAATGTCTGGTGTGAATGCATCACGGGCCACAGATTCTCCTCGCAACAACGGCGCTCAAGGAGGCCAGTCAGGCCAGTCAGCATAGCAAGTCCATGTCTATCTCCCAGCTATCTGTTCATTACGCCACTACTACTAAGTCAACATATGATCAAGAGTAGCAGCTTCTTTGCAAAAATCTACGTTGGAAGACAACCCCTCCATCGCACCCTAGAAGGTGCCAGGAATCTGCCTCTCACGGGAATCATATACAGAAACGGAGCCGACTCTGGTGACAGATTCAATTCATTTGTTGAACCACAGATAAAACATCCTTCATATACGCTGTCAACGGGAAAATACAGGACATCTACAACCAAGAAGTATAAAGGACAACTATAACAGGCCCTTGTGGAATTCCCTTTTGCTTGGTGTGGTCAATCCGTGATATACACCTTGCTTGAAAATTTCATCCCTTTTAGCTAACTTTGAGGGCAATGTTTCGGTCTAGGAATGCCGTCCTCCAAAACGCGTCAGGTATTGAGCCCCTCCTGTCGGGCAGTACATAGAAGCGCTCAGCTCCAAACAGAGCCGTTTCCATCCCCTTATAATTGCCAAATGTGACGAATGCACCTTGCAGTAATGCTCATGACTATGATCCCGGGTGAATAATGCGCCAACGATGCAAGTGCCAGATCAAGCGGATCACCGACGGAGACGATCTTGTCGTCCATTACTCCACGAATATGAAGGATCTCATCGTTGTCAGTGAACTTGAAAGACGATTGGCAGCCACCCCCCAGGTCAGCATTGAAGCCTGTATACCGTGTGTCACCATTGTTATTTTGTGACGATACTTTGTTGGTCAGACACGAATTTCTGAAGTGCATTGTACGAGGAGAACTGCGTGGCACTAATGGAATTGGACAGGAAGCTGGCTGTATCTTGCGTCCAGTCAGGGACCCAAGAGGGTAGTAATAGATTCTCGTTTCAAGGTTCTGACTGGGACAGATATCGTGGACGGGCTGGCCGGTCGGTAAGAACGTCCAATTTCGCAGTTGACGCGAGGAAGGCTTTGGCAACACTAACTCATATCTGCCGCATGTTCAGATCATAGCGAGGTTTAATCTTCAATGTCCTATGCTCATGGCTCCCCAACACCCCAAGAAAAGCAAAGATTTTGTCTCGGGGGTCTGTTGCTTCAGGATTCAAGGTCATTGCCAGCAGATTTGGGAGTGTCGGCGACGCCCCCGGTTTTGAGGTTTCCAAGTTCCTTTGCAGAAAAAGGAAGGGAAATCAATGTTTTACTTTTCCCAAACGTTCAAAATTCAGTTGAGAACTGGGCCGTAGTTTCCCATTTCGATGTTGCCACGATTTGGCCTGTTTCTTTTTTTTTTTTTTGGTTTCATGGTCCCATAGCATCAACTATGTGTCTGAGGTTGAATAGACTAGGAGCTCCCGTCTAGTTCTGTCTGGTGGACTTTCCGCGCCCAATTTGTTGACGCAGGACATTCAATGTTCTTACAAGGCCTAGAACTCGGCGACTCGTCCACATCGTCGACCTCAAAAGGCCACATTTTGTCGTTTCGCGCCACATGCACCGTTAAGTCCCACCAGACCAGTCTACATGTATCTCGGCAAGGCTCTTCCAAGCGCACCAGTCATCAACCTCACCAGTCAACTGGTACATACTCAGCCACCAGCATGAACCTAGTTGCCGTTGAACACCTTCACTTTGGCTTCACAACATACCCCCATTCGGCATGGCTCTTTCGTATATCTTCTCTGCCGTAAACTCATGTGCTCTGTTATAAGTATTCCACCCCGCACGCCATTGCTGGCCAACATGTTCGATGCTTTCGTGAAAGTTTCAGGAAAGGCACATCGATAGCTGCGCACTATACTTGTTACTATTACATGTTGCTTCCCGTCAGACGCAATCTACATCTTTCTCCCTTCTTCGTCAGCGAATATCTCTAAAGAGAGTACATATACTCTCGCGGCAGCCATGTCGACTGCGCCACTACCAGACTACTGTATGTTATATACCACCATATTTCCCACATGATCCATCTCATGTTGAACGACGCATCCAAGATGCGGTGCTAGAAGTCCCCGAGGAGGCTCCGATGCAAGAAATACGCCACGCCTACATGCGGCAAGCCTCTCCCCCGTCAAATCCTAAACCACGGCCGAAAAGCATGTCCACTAACAAACCCCCTCCCAGCGCTGCATTGGCAAGCCACCCCGACGGAATTCCGCTCGACTCCTCGGAGCACGAGCGCGACACGCGCATCCGCAGATACCATCTCATAAACGACGCATACTCTACCCTCTCCGATGCCACCCGCCGCACGCACTACGACGCCCAGCGCAGGCCCTCTGCTCCGCCAACCCAAGAAGCGGATCCATTTGAAGAAGTTGAGGAGATCTCACAGCAGCCCGGGGGCACTGGGGAGGCCAATGGTGACGACGATCAGCAGCTTAGGGAAGACGCCCAGTTCAAAGATGTATTTGAGGGGGAGATGCGGGAGAATGATATGGCAGAAGATGGAACGAATATGCCGAAAACGGCGTTTTGGAGCTTGATTGGGGGTGTGATGGGTGGTACGCTGGCATTTATCATCACGGCTCCGCCCGGGATTCCTGCCGGTATGGTGATTGGGAGCACAGCTGGGAAAACAAGGGATGCAAGGGGGAAGAGTGTGTATGAGGTGTACAATGTGAGTGCATCGTGGCCCTGTGTAATTGATGTGACATCATTGATGTGCTAACGAGTGGTGCTGGTCTAGTTGCTGGACCACGAAGGCAGGGAGAATATGCTTCACGACCTGCAAGGGAAATTATTTAGCCCTTTTGCTGGAGAGTGAGTGCTGGCATACAGACGGTATTATGGTCGATGACACGGAAGACATTGACGAGTCTTCCCAATCTCTGCGGGCGAAATCTTTCTACCCCGAATGTGTTTCCCAATGTGGTAATTTCCTACGACCAGTGACGTAGCTTTGCATGGGGATCCCCGGCTGTCTCCAACTTCCCGTCCCCCTCATGTCGAGTCCAGATGTCCCTTTTCTGCCCCAACTTTGTACCCACCAAGTCGCCAACTCGACCTGCCGTACCAAACACCTGTTGCCATCGAGGACCCATGTCAAAGACTAGCTCCTAGCATTCAGTATCAAAGGTCATCATCACAGGAGCACCCGGTATAAAAATCGAGTCAAGCTCACACCACCGTGTCCCATCCCAGAACCGGATTCATATTATCCTCTCCACCCACAATGGCGTCCAAGTTGGCTCAAAAATACGAAATCAACGCCGACATAGGGGAAGGATTCGGCCGATGGAAGATGGTAAGCGCCGCAGTCGCACCCCCACGTCATCTCTCGAGTCTCTCACCAACACAAACACCCAGGGCCCGGACGAGGAGCTCATACCCTTTCTCGACGCCGCAAACATTGCGTGCGGGTTCCACGCCGGCGACCCCTCCATCATGCTCAAGACGGTCCGCCTCTGCAAGCAGCACAATGTCAGAGTAGGCGCGCACCCCGGGCTGCAGGACCTCTTCGGCTTCGGCCGCAGAAAGATCGAAACCGACCCCGGCGACATGTACGCCATGGTTCTCTACCAGGTCGGCGCCCTCAAGGCCATGCTGGATGCCGAGGGCGTCCCGCTGTCCCACATCAAGCCACACGGCGAGCTGTTCTTTTACATGCAGCGAGACCGGGGCATCATGAAGGCCGTCCTGGAAGCCTGCGCCCCGTTCAACGTCCCCGTCTACGCGTGCCAAAACCCAGAACAAGAGGCCATGTGCGCCGAGATGGGGATCCCCTTCCAGGGCGAATTGTACGTCGACATTGACTATTCGCCCGAGGGAAAGCTCGTCCCCGTGTCGCAGTCGAATCCTGTCACGCCGGAATTGTGTCACGAGCGTGTTGTTGCTGCCACCACGATGGATAGCGGACGGGACATTAACGGGACGCCGTTTGCGTTTGGGTTTTACGGCAAGCCTTTTAGCATTTGTCTTCACTCGGATGCGCCAACGGTTTTGCAAAACGTCAAGTTGGTGCGTAGGGCGGTGGATCAAGTCAACCAGGAAAAGTTTTCGAAAAGAGAAAATTAACGTTGTTATGGTTTATGCTGTAATGCGTTGTGAATTGCGGTTGGCTTATCTTGGCATGGGTAGAATATAGTGTTCTTAAATGGCTTATATGATTATCTGGCCTTTTTTTCACTCAACTTGATACACAGCATCGGAATTTCTTGATTGATTATCCTAGCGAGATACTAGTGTAAGAATCAGATTAGGCAAGGCCCAGCGATCGCATTTACGTTTCGACCGAGTGGATTGGCGATGCGATCAGTACGGTTCCGGGCATACTTGCCGGAAACCAAACCAAGCTCCCCTCTCAGGATATTACTTCTCATATTTAAAAGGTAATTGATTGATATCTCAACTTTTTAGCTGTTAGGCTGATATATACTTTCTAATAGCAGGATATCGATGTCCAGTTGTAATTACTGTAGTTACTACAACATGGATCGTTGATAAAGTTGTTGGGGCCCTGCCTTGATACCAACATAATAGATATCCTTCGGGTTTCTTTTATATAAATCAACTAGTACATAATAGTAATAAATCCCTCTCTTAATTAATACTCGGCAGCGAAGAGAAAACGAAAAGAAAAGTATCAAGTTTGAAAAGTATTCCACTCCATTACAACCAAGCGCAATCCACATATGAAAGGACCGAGGTTATTCGGTAAGCATTGAGGCCATCGACATATTTTGTCAACCCCCTAAACAGCAGCGCCAACAGCCTTGCAGAGGCTACCCGTCGAAACATTCACGTCGCCGCCAACCGTAATGTCGCAGAGAGTGTCAGTCGTGCTTTTCGCCATGGTCCCAGCAGCATTACCAACAGCATCTGCGGCGCCCTTGACCATGTTCCCGGCCGTACCAGCGGCATTACCAACAGCATCAGCCGCGCCCTTGGCCATGTTTCCGGCTGCACCAGCGGCTTCACCAACAGCATCCGCCGCGCCCTTCATCATGTTCCCGGCCGTCCCAGCCGCTTCTCCAACAGCATCTGCCGCGCCCTTGGCCATGTTTCCTGCTGTCCCGGCAGCTTGACTAACGGCCTCCACCGACCCCTTTACCATGTTCCCGGCTGCGCTCTGGGCAGCTTTGCAAAGATCGCCCGTCGAAACATTGACGTCGCCGCCAACGGTGATGTCGCAGAGGGTGTCGGTCGTGCTCTTCATAGCATTGCTCACGGTGTCTACCGAGCCCTTGACCATGTTCCCGGCCGCGTCGACGGCTTCGCCTGCCATGTCTGCCGTGCCCTTTGCCATGCTCTTTGCTGCCTCGACGGTATCGTCGGCGAGTTGTGCCGTGCCCTTGGCAACGTTTTGGGCAGCGTCGCCAACTGCATTCATCGAGTCCTTTGCAGCGCTCTCAACAGCAGCACACATGGGACCTGTCGACGTCTGTACAACGCCGCCAACCGAGATGTCGCAGAGGGTGTCGGTCATGCCTTTGGTAACGGTCCCGGCCGCATTGCCGACAGCTTCTATCGAGCCTTTGGCAGCACCCTCGACACCCTTGGCTGCCCCGGCCATACTGCCCATCAAGCTGAAGGGCCTGGCAAGACCAAGGGCAGCAAAGGGCAGCCCGATGATGACTGGACGCATTTTGATGGTTTGTGTATTTGGATAAAATTTGGGTATAATGGTACTGACGCCTGGCAATCTGGGCTGGTCATGGTTGATCTTTAAATCGGCCAGACGAGCATAGTCGTTGGGCTGTGCGATTGCGCGTGCTCCGTCAGGAGGGTTACCCGTCTTGAGCTTAGCATGAGCCTTCAAATTGTCGTACCTGACTAGTATTCTGTTCCGGATTTAGGTGAGTGAAGACGGCTATCCGCATAATGGACTCTGACAATGGGCAAATTTGTACTCCATCATATACGAGGCTGCGCACGGGCTGATGCGGTGATGCCCACTTATAGACTCGAGCAACCGCTTGAGTTTTGACGTTGCCAAGATGATAATTTTCGTTATCTTCTCCCTTTAAATCCGCGTACCCCATATATTGTGGTCCAATGCAACACCTCAGGCGCATGGTCTCCAAATGCTTTCTTGGATTTTCTTCAATCATGATATCTGCTTCCAATCACAACAGTCGCGCCGAAAAAGTAACGAGGCAGGAAATTCTTCCCAGCTCGTCTCTGTCTGGTGCCTTTTGTTTATCCCAAACCATCGTTCAATATTCAAACGTGTCCAAGCGCAGGCTTCTACGTCCATCTACCAGAAGCTTACGTAGATCAATTCAATATTGTATCAAAGGCCAAGCGGCCTGGCCACATGGACCTACAACTGAAGCAACTAATTGCCCGTGCATTCGTATCCCTTGGGGTCTGGTGCGTCGTACGTTGACCCTCTCTTTATCCACAGGGCGGGATTATGTAACTCGCCGCATCGCTTAACTAATAATGACATCGGCCCCCCACAAGATCCAGATATCCTCAGCACGTAAATAGAGTAAGCCGACGGGCAGCGTCCGGAACCATATGTACGTCAGAGTATGAAATGAATCCCGTCATGATAAGAATATCAACAGTGTAATCTCTATTATTTTCAAGTGTATATCTATAAATTACAGTGTCCGGCTACTTGTCTCGAACGAGTAGTAGTCTTCAGCATATTAATAGCATGAAGATGCATTGCCCCCTATTCACCTGATCTGCGAGATTTATTTCAATGTTGCATTGAGAATATCTGGTGACTGGTTTCTTAATGAAAAGGGAAATTCTTAGCCTACTTTTACTTCTATCAATCCCGGGCCATAATTTAGATGCAAGGGGCACTATAACGCTTGTGGTGCTTGTCCGTAATAGACTCCGTTGCTAACTTGCTTTTGTCTTCACATAATTACCTCCTACTTAAAACAATCAATGCTCTTAATACTGTTAAACGTGATTGTTTCATTATTAGACGCCTCGGAATTGGCCCCCATATCATGATAACAGCATTTACCGCACGTTAAGTGTTCGGTCCAGAGGGTTTTCAAAAATCCTACAGGGTAGATGACCTATTGTCGGAGACATGGATGCAAACTCCTGCGGGTGTTTACACAGTCCATGTCTCTAAAAACGCCGTATCAAACACCAGCAATGACATGTTTCATAGGATGGCTGTAGTTGAGGAATAAATGCGACCAACGACGTCAACTGCGGGGAAACCAACATTTGAACATTTACCCGGAATCCATGCCTCGCAAACACTCCATCACGAGGTCCACCGACGGGTTACACCAAATCGTCCTCAAGGTCGTGGGAAGTAGTCGACTTTCTACCCCACGCCGATATTACCGCATCGAGCAACCCCGCCATCTTGAAGACCCCAATCTCCACTCCATTTTCCCATCGTCCGGACTCCTCTTCGATATTATCACAGCCAAGTACATCGCTTGATACCCCCCCAAGACGGGCCATGGGGTCGACTGGCCCCTTCACATCAGAGCACTCACTTGGCTATATCAATCACTAATCCCCGTTTTGACGCGTCAATTGCTATTCCACTCAGTCTTCCTCGACCTATATTCTCCACCACCATGGGAAGCACCAAATTCACTTCGCTGCGCAACATCCGCAAAGTCTTAATCGCCAACAGGGGCGAGATTGCCGTCCGATGCATCAAGGCCTGTAGAGAAGTACAAGTCCACAGCGTCGCTATATTCACACATGCCGACGCGACCTCGCTACATGTCACACTAGCAGACGAGGCAGTGCTGCTACCAGGAGACGACGGCACTGCCTACACAGACGGGTAAGCTCTCCGATTTCCGCTCGTCACGACAGCTTTGTTAACGCCGACTAGTGAGGCCATTCTGGACATTTGTAAAAAAACGGGCGCCGATGCCGTTTTCCCCGGGTACGGCTTCTTGAGCGAAAATGCCGAATTCGCCGGTGCCGTTTCTTCAGCCGGCATCATCTTCGTCGGGCCCTCCTCAGCGTCCATCAAGGCCATGGGCCTCAAGCACGAAGCCAGAGCCATTGCTGAGGCTGCCAACGTCCCCGTTGTCCCGGGCACCCAGCTCCTGTCGTCTGCGGCAGAGGTTGTCGAGGCCGCGAGGGACCTGGGATTCCCGGTGATGCTCAAGGCAACCGGTGGAGGCGGCGGCATGGGACTGCAAGCTTGCGATACCGAGCTCGAGGTTGAGAAGGCCTTTGCCACGGTTCAGAGCCGCGCGAGCACCCTCTTCAAAAACAGCGGCGTCTTCCTGGAAAAGTACTACCCGCGGTCGCGCCACATCGAGGTCCAGGTAGCGGGCAACGGCAAGATCGTCATCGCATTCGGAGAGCGCGAATGCTCGCTGCAGCGGCGGCATCAAAAGGTGATCGAGGAGTGCCCTAGTCCCTTTGTCGAGCGGCACTCCGGCCTCCGCGAGAGGATGCTGCAGGCGGCCATCAACTATGCCGCGCGGCTCAAGTACAAAAGCGTAGGCACGGTCGAGTTTCTCGTCGATGACGAGACCGCCGACTTCTTCTTCCTCGAGATGAATACGAGGCTGCAGGTTGAGCACGGCATCACCGAGTTGTGCTATGGAGTCGATCTTGTCCATTTGATGCTGCTGCAGGCCGACTACGAGCGGGGAGGCCATGTGGGAATACCCTCGGACATTCTCAGGGGCCTTCAGAGACACTCGCCGCGGGGATCGGCGATTGAGGCCCGACTCTATGCCGAGGTGCCGCTGCGCGACTTTGCTCCGAGCCCTGGCATTTTGCAGCTCGTCCACTGGCCTGAGGGTGATGGCGTGCGAGTCGACACCTGGGTGAGAAGCGGCCAGCGCATCACGCCTCTTTACGACCCGTTGATTGGAAAGATAATGGTTCACAGCCCTGACGGCCGAGGCGCTGCTCAGTCGAGAATGCTCGCGGCACTCCGTGATACCACTCTCCAGGGAACCCAATCCAACTTGGAATATCTGATCAGTATTGTCGCCTCCAGCATCTTTATCAACGGGCGTACATTGACAAATTCTCTATCAATGTTCAAATTTAAAAGCTGCTCCCTCCAGGTCTTGGATCCTGGCGTCATGACAACCATTCAAGACTACCCGGGTCGCACCGCCGTGGGACACGGAGTGCCCCCGGGCGGTCCTATGGACGACCTGAGTGCTCGTGTAGCAAACAGCCTTGTTGGAAACGATTGGGGGGTTGAGCTTTTCGAAATCACTCTAGCCGGACCAGAGTTGCTATTTCATGAGGCGGCTGTCGTTGCGATTTGTGGCGCCGAGCTGCCGGTGACTGTCGACGATACGCCTCAGCCCATGTGGTCCAGGGTCATTGTCAACAAGGACCAGATACTAAAGCTGGGCAAGGTTTCTGGAAGCGGCACTAGAACCTATCTTGCTGTCAAAGGCGGGTTCCCCCAGATACCCAAGTTTCTTGGCTCCAAATCCACTGCCCCTGAGCTGGGCTTTGGCGGTCTCCAGGGACGGAAACTACAGGCCCATGATATTCTCGCTCTCGCCGAAGAGTCTGGGATTTGGGCCGCTGCGGCTACCCCGTTGTCATTGCCGGCAAAGGCAGTACCAGATTTTAGTATTACGAGTGTGAGTTGCCTCGACGGGCCATTTGGTTCCGACGATATCCTTACCCCTGAAGGGCGCAAGACCTTATACGAGGCCCAGTGGGCAGTCAGCCACAACAGCGGCCGAAGTGGTGTGCGTTTGGAAGGGCCACGGTTGAAATGGGCCCGGACCTCGGGCGGCGGCGGCGGATCTCATCCGTCCAACGTCTTCGATTACGGGTATCCCAACGGTGGAGTCAACTTCACGGGGGAATCGCCCATCATCTTTGCGCATGACCGGCCGGATCTGGGTGGATTTGCCTGCCCAACGACAGTGTGTTCCGCAGAGATGTGGAAAGTCGGCCAACTCAAGGCCGGCAACACTATACAGCTTCGGTCCGTGTCGTATGACACCGCTCTGGAGATTACGCGGAAGAAGGAAGAGTACCTCGGAGCAATCATCCTGTACGCAAAAGGTTCTGCCTGTCAGATACCCCCACTGGACGTTGCGTTGAGCGATGAACCTCCGTGTTCTATTCTCCATCAAACACCACCTTTGGGGAGCCATCCTCGGGTTACATATCGCCAGGGCGGTGACACCAGCATCATTGTCGAATATGGCGATCAACTACCGGACCTTCGGAACACAGCGTGCGTCCAACTACTTGCAAATGGACTGTTGGCCGCAAACCTGGACGGCGTCCGGGGCGATCCCAACTTCGCCACTCTGACCGTACGGTTCGACCCGCTCCTCACGGAGCGATCTAAACTTCTTGCACACCTCATCCATCTCGACGGCCAGATTGGAGAGACCACAGGAATCAAGGTAGCGGCTCGACAAGTAAGACTCCCCGTCTGCCTCGACCACACATCGCTCCGAGAGTCTGCGCAGCGATATATGGAGAATATCAGACCCTCGGCGGCTTACATGCCAGACAATGTAGAATACCTCCGCAAGAATAATGCTCTCAACACGAGACGCGATGTGTTTGACGCCATCCTCAAGGCTCCGTGGCTCACCGTGGCCGTGGGCTTCTACGTGGGAACACCAGTCATGTTCCCTCTCGATCCGTGGCGTGTGCTGACGGGCCAAAAATATAACCCAAGCCGCGTGTATACACCCGGAGGCTCTGTTGGCCTCGGCGGCTCACTGGTAGCAATCTATCCCGTCGCTGCCCCGGGAGGGTACCAGCTAATGGGCCGAACCTTGGGCGGCTGGGACTCCGGGGGGAACCGCCCTGGCTTTTCGCCGGAGAAGCCCTGGCTCTTCAACCATTTTGATCTGGTTACGTTTTACGAGGTGTCGGAAGAAGAGTACAACAAGATGGAGCAGGCGTTTGAGACTGGCCGCTATATTTTTGACATCACAGAGACGACAATAGACATGGATACATATATTGCGAGGTTTGACGAGGCGGCCAAGGACCCCGAGTATCAGGCTTGGAGAAGACGCCAAGTTGCGGCGTCGCAAGAGATGGGAGAGTTGGAACAGAAGCTGTTTGAGGAATGGACCCAGGCCAAAAGCTCGGGGGAAGGGGGGTCGTCATTTGAGGATGACGGCGTCGATTCTGGCAAGGTTGTCCTCATTGAGTCTCCTGTGGATGCCAATGTCTGGAAAGTACTGGTCAAGCAGGGTGATGTCCTAGAAAAGGGGCAGACGGTGGCAGTGCTCGAGGCAATGAAGATGGAGATTAATGTGGTGGTGAGCGACGACCAGGCAGGGGCTGTAGTATCTACGATAAGTCAGCCGCCGGGAAGCGTTGTCCGGCCGGGGGCAGTAGTGGTGAGAGCTGTAAGACCAGAATGAAGAAGGAACGTTGAACCTATTGATGTTGGGAGTGGAGAGTGTGTTTATTTTTAATAATGATGTAACTAGTTCAAGAGCGGCGGCCATTTTATCCAGTCATTTGTCTTGGAATAAACTCATATGCATGTCTAGGTTGCAGATAACCCTAACCTGATATCCTTGACTCATTTAGACAACCCCGCGCCTCTTCCCCACCCGCTTCCTCATCCGAGGTCAGACCCACCCCCACCACCACCCCACACGAAGCCACATGGCTGGAGCCGTTCATCTCAACGTCAGCTATCTCTCGCCATGCTCTTGCACGGATTGTCACCCTTGGCCAATAACGAATACTCAAAGATTGAAGCAATCCCAACAGAAAGGTTCGTAGCCAAGTTGTTTGATAGAGCTAAGAGAGGTTCCGCCCGTGGGCAAGGCGAATAGAGGCTATCTTGCCACACCCCGCCCTCGGACGGCATACCCCCCTCTCAATCTGTTGGCCTCATCCGGCTGCTGCTGCGCATGCATAGCCACCAGATGCCTGCCTGCCATCACGTCTGACAAGTACAGTACATATCACTCTCATCATGACCATTTAACGCCCTAAGCACTCACCACCAGTTCGGCTTCTCTCATGCAAGATGAACGGTCGGCCCCGTCTTCCAGTCGCACCTTGCAAGTTCTGTCATAGAGAGTTCAAGCGGCAAGAACACTTAGTCCGGCATCTGCGTACCCGTAAGCATCTATTTGGTGTTGTTTTTCGATGTATTTTGATGCTGACTTGTATTCAGACACTCGAGAACGTCCGTTTGCGTGTTCTTGTGGGCGAATGTTTTCAAGACGGTAGGTCATGGCGCCACAGCAAATTCAACGCCTGTCGATAACGGTAACGCTTACTTTTTAATGTTCGTCTCTAGAGACTTGCTCAATCGTCATCGTCGGCTCTCACAATGCTCGGAATCAACTCCAAACAAACATCAAAATACACGGTCGTTGGTCTCGAATATAGTTCAGGGGCATGCATCATCTCTCCGCTATCCGTCTGAGCATGGAGCATCATTTCTGTCCGAAGGCACCAGCTCCGAGGGGGCAATACAAGCTAACACAAGACCGACCGCGAGCGCGAGCAATTTGATCCCTACCGAGTATTCTCAGGAGCAGCTTATGGGCAAGTTCTCAATACATGATGGCACCATGAACCAGGAGCAAGACTTTTGCGATGATTCTGAAAACACAGGCCTACCTGCTCATGTTCATCACGATACTGGCACGGCCATCGACACCAGCCCTGATTTTATGCAAACACAGCCTTTTGACATCGAGTTTCTTTCAAACGAAACAGGCATGCTCAATGACTATCTTCTGGACATTTTCCCGCATATAGACTATCAGGAAGTAGCGTTCAAAGACGACTCTCGTCATGATGGCGGCACTGAAGCACCGGCCGAAGCACCAAACTCTAATACACATGTTTCTCCAGATGTAATTCAAGCCGGCGGGCCACCGAGACAGTCTGACAATGTAGCCGACCAATCACGTGTTGTTGACCACAATCCAAGCTCAACAAGACACATGGATGAGGAGCACAGCAGGGTCAACAAAACACTCGACGCCATTGATGACATTGTACCAACGAATCCATGGTCCATTTCCACCGCAGCTTACGACAGGTTGGCTGCTGAGGTCATGAAGCACAAACACGTCTTGCCAAGTCCCTACACTCTGCCCAGCCGCCATAGGCTGTCCAGGTTTGTCGCAAGCTGGATCCGTGGCTTCCACCCTCACCTACCCTTTCTTCATCTCCCAACAACCAGTCTGGATTCCATGACGCCCATGTTGTTGTTAACCCTTGCAGCTACCGGCTCATTCTACGGCTTTGAACACACTCACGGATACGCCATGTATTTTGTTGCCAAGTCCATCATCACAGAGGAGCTCGAGAAACGTCGCCAAACAGCTAATCTATACCTGCTCCGCAGCTTTCCTCGATATGCCCGACTTCCCACCTCTCCACAGTCTGCCACGACATTCCAACCAACGCCACCGGCCACCATTGACATGGAACTGCTCCAATGTTTGCTAGTGCTTGTCCTCACCATGTCTTGGCTTGATGGACCTCTTGCTCAAAATGCACTCGCAATGAGCAGCCAGCTTGCCTCACTCACTCGTGAAAGCCTAGCCTGTCTGCACTTGACTGGCAACAACGACAACTGGGTGGACTGGGCCCGCGACGAGGAACGGCGTCGCACCATTTTTTCCGCCTATTTTGTTCTAAACATTCAGACTATTTGCTTCAATGTGCCGCCCCAAATCGCCGTTTCGGAGATGAACCTGCCACTCCCATGCTCGGAAGCGGAATTCAAGGCCTCGAATTCCAAGGCCTGGTGTCGGCTACAGAAAAAGAATCCTCGCCGGCCAGTATTCGCACACTGCCTCGAGCAGCTTCTCTCCGGGAGACCCCTGGATAAGCAGGGGCCAGTGACGGAATTCGGCAACTACATGCTTCTGCAAGGCCTATTGGTGCAAATCTACTTTGAACGCCAGGCCGCATCGACTCTAGTAAATCCGACATCAAGCCTGCCGACAAGCACCATCTCGCTATATGATTCGGCCATTGATGCGTGGGAGTCCTGTTGGGATCCGGCCATCGAATCTGCGCTGGACCCATCGGCTTCATCTCATGGACCGCTCGCCTTCAATTCCACCGCCATGCTTCGCCTGGCGCATATCCATCTCGCCGTCGGCCTGCAATGCCAGTGCGCGCTTCGCTCGCGCAACCCCAGGGTCATCGCGCAGGCGTTTGAAGCACATAATCCCATTCCGCTGCGTTCCCCGCACCTGGACCAGGCAGCTTCGCATGCCATCTACGCGTTGAGGATACCAATACGAGTCGGCATCGCTTTCGTAGCTCGTGGCCGAACGGGGCACTGGAGCGTTCAGCACGCCATTAGCAATTTTGCTTGTGCTCTCTTCTTGGCCCATTGGCTGGAAAATATCTTCGGCCTGGTTTCTTCGAACCCCGACGGGCTGGAGGGTCTCCGGTCTGAGGAGAAGCGTCTGCTCTTTACCATTGAGCGGCTCATTGAAGAAACAGACTTGGAGGACTCTCTGGGCCCAAAGGACCTCTATCCTAGTCGCATACGACGCCTGGCGGTAGCTGTAGTGAGACTCTGGGCCGAGACATGTACGGGCATTCAAGTTTTTGAGATTGTACATGTTATTGGGGAAACGCTTACACTTGTGGCAGAGATGATTGAGAGCCGTCTATGACAACACGGGCGTCCCATGTGGCAACCCGTTATTAAGCCTCAATGATTACAGCTACGCTTCAGCACCTGTGTTCTCTTGAAGTATTCATCGGAAAGCAGTACTGCGCGTGACCAGCTAAGAGGATCAACAAGTTCAAATCAAGCGGCTTGCGTATCAAGGTCTCTGAGAGACCGTTGTCGCCGAGGTGCTCCACGGGTAGCAGCTTGGTAGCTCAGCACTCGAGAAACAAACAAATTTGCAAAGGGCCCGACTGGACTTGGGCTGTGTACAAAATAGAATATCCTACGCTAGCATTTCAACGGCCCTACTAGGGACTGAGTCGACATCTGCAGGGACAAATGTTGTTATCGAGTCCACCCCTTATCCATGAATATTTCCATCATGGTCTTTTAATTGATGCCGATACATGTCACTGCGATGGTTGGAAGTGTTGGATGAATAGGCCGGGACATGCACCAACCATGCCATCAGCTTGGTGGGTGGCAGGCCCATGGAATTCCATTGCTCCTGCAGGGTAGGAAACAGAGTTGAGCAGCACTGCTCAACGTCTCGAGACTTTCTTCCATGTTCCCGCATCATAGCCAAAAGCTTGGCAACAGAGTCTGCACGCTCTGGTCGTTTGTATTCGATCAAGGGTTTGGTCTTGTGCGCTGGGATTCGAGGGTTCGAAAATCGATCCAAGCTGGATGCTCTGTAGAAAATACAGGAGCCCAGATTTGCATACTCGGAGGGATAAACACTTGCGCAAAGGAAAAAGACACGTCGGGCTTCTTGCTAACATATCCCGCTACGTTGAGCGGCATCAATGCGATTAGATATTTGAGACTGGGCGCATAGACTGTCTGTGTCCAATTGGCACCGGATTGTTGACATTGTGAATGGAGAGAATGAGGGCTTTAGTCATGAGAGAAAGATCTCAGAGTGAAAGTGCTGGCCGGCATTTGTCCACAAGTGAGTGGGTCTACCTCGCAGCCTCAAGATCCATCGCTTCGACGCACACACAAATGCACCGACCCGCCAGGAAAATCTTTTAGTCCGAGTATCTAGGGCTAGGGCATTCGCAAAATGGTCGTATTGTGGGGCACTCCAACAGATCCGACATTTGCGTGCATCTTTTTCGTTCCCCATCCAGCACACTACGCCAATCGATCGTGACCTCGACTTCACGCCCAGCAAAGTCATCGGTAATTTGCGACCAGCAAACAATACGTCTACTAAACCGCCATCATGTCGCACGAGTCTGTTTGGTACAGCCGCCCCCGCGAGTTCGGCAAGGGCTCCCGCCAATGGTGCGTCTCTTGAACATTCCGGCCGTCGCGATATTTCAAATATACTCACAAAGATGGTGTTTAGCCGAGTCTGCGCCCACCAGGCCGGCTTGATCCGCAAGTACGGATTGAACCTCTGCCGTCAGTGCTTCCGTGAGCGTGCTGCTCAGATCGGATTCCAGAAGGTAATTTTTGCACCGAAACGAAGCTCGAACTATCGAAAGGACTCGCCAAGATTGACTTGTGGGAACTAGTTCCGATAAATGTTTTGTGTTCCGAGCATTTCCATTTTCCGTTGACGACTTGCAACATGCATCTTGGGCTGGCCGAATGTGACGAATAGATCAGGTTTCGAGGGGATTTGCACGATGGTTTTCCGGCGCTATTCGCGAAAAATTGCGGCGTAGCGGTAAATTGGGTCCAGCTAGCACAAAGGGAAAAAAAATAACATTTGGAATCATTGTGGACAACCACCCCCGACTACTTGCTCCGACGAGATATATACTTGCTTCGTACCGCTCAGCAGTGCTTTCGCCTTGATGCTTCACTGTGGAATCTTCTCACGATGTGTCGCTTACCAGTTATGGTACCTTCATATCACTCGACTTTGGTTGATGATTGTGGGCTGCTATTCATACATGGAATCAGCAGTCGGGATCATGGTCTGGCGTTGTATTGCACGGTTGATGCTGCGTTTATCGGTCAACAGTGGTCATTGCACCCCAAAGCCATCGTCCCTTACTCTACGATGAGAGAAACACGCTCCCAACAACTCGCCCAATAATGAGTTGACACCCATGTGCCCAATGTCGAGCTATGAATATTTTAAATGTGACTGAAACTGCTCAAGTCCAGCAGTCAAATCAGCGAGCGTCTCACATAATCGGCAAATTTCGTGGGCGACAGCCAGGATAACCGAGCGCTTCTTGATCCTGGTTTACTTTATGATGCTCCATAAATAGGATTATCCGTATGCTGCACATGTGGCATTACAAAACTCGTCCCATGGCGTTCGAAGTAGACGTTGTAGATGCAGATCATAGCTGCAATACAAAAAGGAATACATAGAAGAAACAGTAGAGTTTGGTCTAATCAAGCTACTAGTAAGCTGAGGGGAGTAGTATATCTTGGCAGAGTGCGCAATGTGTTTTTAGTTTCCTGGGTATCTAAGCCAGAATGACATTGGTGGGTACGGTCGATGGTGGGTAGTGTAGATATTCAAACAACAGCGAGAGAGGTGAAATCCCCTCCTTGCAGAAACCCTTCTTTGGTCTGCTATATATAAGTGATTTTGATTCATTCATAGGATCTCTTTGATTATTTATTACCTAGACTGCGGGATATATCATTAACACATGACAAGTGCCACAAACACGATCCAAAAATTCTACTGTTCCATTTAGGGTAGGCCTTCAAATGTTCCCATCAATCGAATCCCTTGCACCTCATGATCGAGCATTGCCGAGTGCATGTATTTTATATTATCCCGTCTACTAAATTCCCTCTTAATAAAGACGACTGTTCCCAGTTGTTCATACCCATCATCTCAAACTGCCAATGGCCAGGGACCAAGCTCCTTCAACTACCCGATGACGTGGATCGGGGTTAGGGTTAGGACACACCCGTATCATCCTGTCAAATTCACATGGTCAAAGACCTTGTACAATTGTCTTGTCGTATTGAACTCAAGCACACTAAAGCACGGATTTGGCGTGAAGCTTTCTCAAGTGTCCAAAAGCGCATGCGTAAGTTCGTCATACCACAGCGTGTCATTCAGAAAAGTCACGTCAAATCGTCGAGGAACAGGGTGCGGAGCTGTGCGATGGCTTCTTACTGCCCGACTCGAGTCGACGGAAACGACGAGGTCTCACCTCTCCGCCGTAGTTTCAATTGCTAGAAACTAGAAAGCCAGAAAGGCAGTCCTAGACGATGCCAATATCTGAAAATGAATTAAATAACTTTTGTCGCTCACGCTGTTCATACCATGGACCATGCCGAACTGTACACGGCCCCCGTCGCTTGCTCTCGCCGTGATAAATCTCAATATATACCTTCGAAAAAAAGTCCCCGCTAACATCTCTATCTTTCACGTCGCGATTTGCCATCACCACATCTTTTGCCAGTCTTTGCACAGGCCGAAAACCTCGCGGCAGAATTTCCCATATTCCACCACCACATTGGTGTGATGCCACGAACCCAAGGCCGCGTGGGCAAGTCTTGCGTCCGGGTGGTCCCACGACTTTTCGCCCATCCTGCTATACCTCTCTCTTGTCGGGCTGCGCAATGTCCTCGTCAGCAAATGAAGTGGGAAAACCGATGCGTTGGTAATGTGTAGCATGCAGGGGAGATGTGTACCTGAATCCGGTCATGGGGAGAATCAAGACATCGCCAGCGAGCTTCGTCCTCCCATTGTCCTTGAGACCCGTCAGGGCGTCCCACCTCAGACCTTCCCGCTCTTCCAGCCATTTGCGCGTCACCTCCGTGACGGCCGCGGGCCCGGTGCGCGTGAGCGGATCGTAGTGCAGCTGGGAGAGGCCGCCGGTAGACGTGTGCAGCGCCGCCAGCTTGGCCTCGCTGGCCTTGTCGGCGAGGCGGTCGAGGAACCGTTGCAGAATGGGGTGGCGAGGGGCGGACGCCAGTGCCCAGTTCGTGAGCTGGATGGCGTACGTGTATCCCATGCGCCAGTGGGCGTCGGTTTTCGGGTCCGAGTCGCATTCAATTCCCCATATGGCGTTGACGGGTTGCGCAGACTGCGCGGGTGTCTGCAGGAGCCGGCGCCGCGCGGCGCTGTCAAGGCCATGCGTTTTGCCCGTCAATTCGTCGGTCCATTCTGCAATGTCGGATTGCTGAATCCAACGGGCGGGATGTTGGAGGGGTTTCGTGTCAATGTCCCCGTACTGGAGTTGTCAGCCCGGGTTTTTGACCAGGATTCTGCGCGCATGTTGCTCGGCACTTACGATGCCTCCAAACCATTTGCACACCATGATTCTGAAAATATCCACCTTTTCCACTGGCGAGAACACGTTGGTGAAGTCGTCTGCCAAGGGTGACTCGAGTTCCTTGACCAGGGACAAGACGCCTTGGTCATCCCAAAGAAAATACGCCATGGGGCTACTGCCCTCCTCGGGCAATGTAGAGTGTGTAAGCCAAGTTTCAACAAAAGAGACGATTCTTGCGTCTGTGCCGTTTAGCCGCGCTGTATTCCATTTTTGATGAACGATTAACGGGATATTTGAAAAGGGGATATGACGCTCGGTATGCGATTGAGTTGCTTGGGAAGCTATGCGTGCAGCCTCGATGATGGTTCGCGGTGGGGTTTGGTCGCTCTTCATCCATTCCGGGGGAATGTACCATGCTGTGAGTGAGTGTTAGCGCCCTGTATTTGCCCTTGAATTTGAGGTGCGAAGTAGTCGGTAGTAGTAGATTGACGCTCACCTCCTCCTTTTCCCCGGAAAGAATGTATATGCTTGTAAACAAGGGGAAAGCCTCTTCGCAAGGCTTCCTCATCCAACGACTGTCGAGGCGGTCGCCTGTGGGCCAGCAGAACCCACGCTGTCAGGCAGAATGCAAGAGCTGAGATGATTGCAAGCTTATATTGGAACCGCCGTGCCAGTCGAGGAGCAATCATGTTCGAGGTCGAGCAGACGTACAAATCAACGTGAGCAGGCCGACAGCAGCCAGTTTCATCCTTGGAGAAGAGAACAGCATTGAAACCACTTGGTGCTGGGCAGCTGGCGAGTGGCTGTTGTCTTCTTCCATGTCCCAACATTGAACTCATTGACGTCTATACCCCATGCTGAGCCGAATTACGCACGCAGCATGGGTGCCCCTGACGATGATGTGATTGGACGAGAACATCGGGGTGGAAACGCCACAGGGGAAACAAGGCGTGTGAATGCCTTTGTGGAGTGGAGAGGACAGGAACTCTGAACGGCGATTGGCAATTGCCCAATCAGGTCAATGGTTCGAATCTGGATCAAGATGCCGTTGTCGTCATGGTTGTACGCGTCATGAAAATTTGAATATATTTTTGCCCCTTGGCTAAATAGGAGCATGCTCATGGTTCACCAAGCTACGTGCTGGGGAAGTGACCGACACCCCTTCGACTGAGACAAATTTATTCGTCTCCCGATGTAGTACGACGCATCGGGGGCCCAACCAACAGACCTGTAGCCCTTGTGCTTTTTGCTTCTCTTTTTGCCCGTTTGACAAGACCTGTGTGACGCGGGAACTGCCCATCCGTCAGGCAGTGCTCCGTGGGGCTTGCATGCCAGCATACCCAACTGGAAATGTCGGGCTGGGTCAATCTTGAACCTTATCTCCGGTATCCCGAATCCTGTATAACATTGATTCTTTCTGTCTTGTCTCCCTTTACCATATAGCTGTATCTACCAGAACTAGCTACGCAAGTTGGCTAATTCCTCGAATACAATGCAATAATCGCTGCGTAGTCCTCTGCCATCCGTTTTCCAAACTTTCATCGTCATTTCCCTTGTATCAAGGTCGGCTCGCCCTGAATGAACCGCTATCTCGTATAATAGTCTCTTAATATCCCGATGTACATGTATATACCGGCTCTGGACAAGATTCTGTCAACAATGGCGAGCGGGCCATCAAGCAAGCTAAACGTACGCAAAAACTAACGCGCCAATGACCAAAGGCATCAATTGATAAATGTCTCTGTGAGAGGATTCCATGTTGCGAAAGGACTGTGGTAATGGTTGTGATTTCATGGGAGTTGTGCGGAGCCGAGTCAAGTCTTATTAGAGTTTTTTGTGCTCTTACACTCAGCGTGGAACATGCGGAGGAGGCGACAACAAACTAGCAAAGGAAAAAAAAGGAATACTGATGAAAAAAAAGTCCTGTGTTGGGCGCAATCTGCCCTGCCCAGTCTTTTAATATGCTGTGCAACGCAAAGATTGGTTGGGGCTTTTCCCAATCTTATTGATGACGTTGGTCGAGAATGCCGGCTTGTAATAATAAAGGTCCGTGACAAGCTCCCCGAAATTTGACAGATCCCATGGGCTGCATGCTCTGGTCCAATTGTCCGTCTCAGCCAACGCGGGTAACTTAGGTTGGTTGGCTGGTCTGTTTTAGTCCATGTACAACCAACATTACATGACCCGATTCAGAATCATGTACTACTGTGATGTCATGCCCGAATCGGCGTCCAATTTGTGACCTCTATTTTTGGTCGGCTCAGGGATGCTGTCGACTCACCATGCTGCAGGCTATGTCTGTATCTCCAAATTCACTCTTGGTGCAGCGTAGATCGTAATAATTTCCTAGGTGCCAAAAAGCACCATGGGAATGCTATGGCAGTAGTCCCGGGCTTTGAACCACTATCATCATCATCAACGCTATCGCCAGTATCAGAACCCCATGGCCCTTCCCTTCTCTTACGCGTACAAACAATTTGAAGCAATGGACTAATCCAGCCATATCCCAACCAGCGAGAATCCCTAGAAAAATGGTGGAGAGCCTGTTCATCTGTCTTCCTCTAACTTGATCAGGTCTCAATGGCCGTTGGTCCGATTTAAAACAAACAAGTCATTCCGCGTAATGGTTGTCTTGTCCCGACAGACTTAACAATTAACCTCTTGTCCTTCTCTCTTCAGGATTCGCCTCGCTTCAGTCCGCCCTTCACCTGGATGTGTCTATCTTAGTCCTTGCCTAAAGTTGTAGGTGCATCAAGTACGTGGTTTTTCTGCAATGGCTCTACATCTAAAAAAAGACACAGGACTGCAAGTGATAGGTATGTTGGCTCTGATGAACCAGCCAGGATGGGCTGGGGTCTACTGCGAGTTATGGCTATTCCTGGGATCACCGGCAATGTCTACATGTACGCCTGTTGGGCAAATCAACCACCGACTTGCACATGGAACGGCAGTCTGGTCCCCGATAAACAAAAGGACAGCGACGAAAAAAATGCAGTTTTCTGTCCCGTACGAGCAGCAAAGAACGGTGGACTTGCTGGTTTGCCCACTGAGACTAAGCCAATTCACCAACTTGTCCTCCTCGAACCATCGGCATGACGTTTGAATAATGGTTATACACAATAAAGCCAGAGAAAGAGACATTGCGCATAGAGAAGAACTGAACCACCGACAGCCTCACTTTCCTGCCCGATGCCGTGGTGGCCGTACCTGTTTTCCTTCGCGGTTGGCTCTACTCCTCGTTTGACGGGAGCCATGGCGGTGATGGACCTCGTTGGTGCATCTTGGCCTGGTCTTGCTGCATGGCGTTTCTATTTCGGGAGATTATGATGAAAAGTACTAAATTTGCTGGAGCCGTTGACAATTAAGTTGCAAGATGAGTTCATGATGACGAAAAGAAAAGTATAAGTATGCTCGTATATCCCAGTCCAACCTACGAATTCAAACACAAACCCACAACCTATTAAACAATCGTCAGCCAAACATCTTCTTCAAACCTCTGCTCCTCTTTTTATTCACTCAATTCACACTTACGACAAAGTCATTCTCTCCAACCAATATGAAGTTCCTCAAAGCAGTGGGTGTTGCCATCATTTACGCTCAGGGAGCGCTCTCCATGCCAGCGAGTGCCGAAGAGGACTGCGGATCGCTTGGAGTCATGGAGGTTGACGAGGCCAAGCTCCCAGAGGGCGTGGACGCCTCCCAGGTCCGCAAGTGCCTCGGCCACCCGGAAGGACACGGAACCGACGATAGTGGGAAAGCTCTATTCGCGCGCGAGTGCGAGTTTAGATGGGCTTTGGGATGTAGCCGTGGTGGCTACTGCTGGAAAACCTGTGACACGGACAACAACGGAAAATGGTGCTGGGCTGCTGAAGCCTCAGGCCTCGGCCCGTGGATTCGGTGCTCTTCTTACAAAGACTGCGAGAGGAGTATGGCTTGTGGCGAAGGGGGGGGTTGCAAAGAGTGTGGATGTGGCTGCTAGACGTCTCTGCAGTTGCGAGCATTGCTATCTGAATCTGGGATGCACAATTGGTGTCAGTTACAGATCATATCCATCACGAAAGGTTTTGTCGCCGTTTTTAGAGCCAGCATGGGCTTTGCTCGTCTTTGGAGGAGATCTCGGCCTGGTTGCTTTGATGGAAAGGGCTTGGCGGTCTACAAAGTCCTTGAGCAAATAGTGAAATAACAGTTGGTATCTATCTGACCCAAAAAGAACCTATCGTTACTACTGCCACACGGTCCAGCCACTAACGTCGGTCATATCGTAGCACTTGACACTTGTATTGACAAAACTGGACGTGAGGCTCCACCACGTTGCAGCCTTTTTAAGGAATTGAACGTTCTACAAGGGAGTATATCCATTAGGAGCTGTATGCACGGGAGATATGCATAATGATAAGCTTGATTTGGCTACAAGCCTCATAACCCACACCCCTTAATGTGTTCCACACACAAAAGCAATGGCAATGTCTGGTGCCATCATCAAAACAAGCGTCCGGTAATACGGAATTTTCGGCCCTAAATTTACGGAAATACCGTCCGCCCATGTTGCAAATTGCCTACGAGGGCGGGACCCGGCTGATATGGTGCAAGTTGACTCTCTACAATCTTCATCACTTTAATCCATCGCACGAACGCCAAAGTAGGCTCTGAGCCAGAGTATATAGATCTATATTAGATGAAAAATTTAGAAACTTAAACGAATTGATTAAACGCGCTGCCATCTACCGATTGGTGTATCTTTTATTCCTAACAGTGCAGTCGTTGTGTGTGGGCGCACCAAAACATTACATCTTTGTGTTGTAATATTCACAATTTAATATCACGTGTAAAGTCATGTGTGGACCCGTAATAGGGGTAATACCGTGTATAGATACCTTGACTACCAATAACCCCCCTTCTTCCTACTTGAATAGAAGATAGACTTGAATTGATATTATACCCCTATTGCAATACTGCATCCCCAATTGCCTTGTGATCCCAGCATTTTGACTGCTCGTCGGTTGACCAAAAACGGAACTCAATCACCCCCACACTTTGGGTTGCTCTTACGTGCAGCATCACTGCAATCCCCCGCATTTCGTGAACGCATCTTGACCTTCATTGAAGCACCTATCAAAGTCATATGGGTTGCTCTGTCGGCACTCTGTGAACTTCTGCATGCGTATTTCGTTGCACTGATTCGAGTTTAGTGGGGCAGGCTGAGTTGTATCGACTTTGTTCTGGCGTAGAGTGCAGAAGAAGGGGCCCTAGAAGGAATAGGTTCAGCAAATAGCGTGGACTAGGCTTCAATATTAATCACTTACGGCCCCAGGGAACTTGCCCTCCAAGCCACCGTTCGTCTTGTCACCGGCACCATGCTCGCACTCCTCGCACTAGAGTTGGTCGCCATGTCAGCTTGATGTTCTTGTCGTTTGTGAGGGTGTTGTAAACACTTACTCCGCCGAGTTTGGCGCAAAAGTGAGGCAGCTCGCGCGGAAAGCGGCAGCCCCGATTTGCGCAATCTTTCTCGACCATTTTCCTAAAGATGAAGACGCAATCCATCTTGTTCCCCTAGAAAAATATTAGTGGCAGACTATCTTGTGTTAGGAAAAGAACGGCTACCTTCGCTGGCGGTTCGCAGATGAATCGCATGCTGTCGTCAAAGGCAGCAACAAAGTTTTTGGGAGACTAGTGTTATCCTTCGCATTAATTATCGCATTAAATTGGCTATGAAACAATTGCTACTTACGTCTCCATTGCCATTGATATTTCGCGAGACAGTGCATTCTCGGATATGTCTCCAGAATACTTCGTCTCCGTTTTCAATCTCAGACGGCGATTTTCTGTCTAAAGCACTTGTGACGCAGTCTTTGGCGTCGCTCTTGCATTTATCCATGTTGATATTCTCGAGCCTCCCACAAATTTTCTCTGCTTGGCGGTTCAATTCATCATCACTTGGAGGATCTCTGGCAAGAGCCAAGGCCGCAAAAGTAACAAGCACAATGCTAAGAGACTTCATCTCGCAGATTTTCAACGGCGACAGTTGGCGTGTGAGCAAGTGCGAAGGGGAATTAAAGATCTGTGACAGTTGAAAGCAAGGTTGGTGCACCAATACGAAAAGTTAAGGGAATTCCTTCTACAAGTGGCGTTTTATATACCAACCGGCGTAACAGCGACAGCCTGTAATGCATGGGTGTAACATTGAATACAAGTCACGCCTGAACGCCAAGGGATGTAAGACTCGTAAGTGCGGGAACGCATTGCAAATTCACTCTATACGTGTCAGGTTCTGTCAAACTTATCATGTGTCGACGCAACGTTGCCCGGCTATGCGGGTCCCTCAGGCCATTAAGCATTAATTAAGGCCATGCATTACTCGCGTCCTCATCCCCTATGTGTAATAATTATTGCACTGCTGTGTCTATACACCCAATGAATTAGAGACTGCAGGCTCAAGGGTCGCACCTCGATTTTCTTCCTATTTTGACGTCTTTATCTCAAGTTTTAAATTCGTCTAAAGATGGTATCCAAGTAAGTTCTTTTTTCTTGGCCCTACCGTTGAAGCTGAGAGACCCGCAAAGCAGCTAATATATTTCAGGTCATGCACTTGTATAAAACTTTGTCGTACAGTCCACCCCCTGCATTATTTTTCACGCGTGACCTAACAGGGTAGCTAATAACAGGGCGTAGTATACTAATTATAGCTTATATTTTTTAGGAAATCAGGTGTTAAGAGAGGATCTATAAAAAGCTTTTTTTAATTAGTTATTAACCCCCTTGCTAGGTTACGTATATAGAATAATTCAGGGGGTGGACTGTATTTTTAGACAAATAGGGTGGAGTATAAGCGTACACAGCTTCCAATTACAACGTCTTTACGTTAATAATTTACAAGGTTTAAGGCATATTACTGCCAGCTATTATTATAGGTTTAAATCGTAATATTATCTCTAATAAATAAGTATATATAGCGTTAAATAAGGGTAATAATTTTAAATATATATACTTAAATTTACTATAATCTTAAAGCTATTAAGGCAGACTCAAAAGTAATAGCTATAAAAACCTAGAAGCTAAGGTAGAATAACTTTATAAACTATATCCTTAATAACCTTTGCTCCTCTTAACTATAGAACTTGAATACCTACTTTCCGTACGATCGTAAGCGTGGCTTCCGGGACAGTGCTTGACGGAGTCCGCATCGCATGGCATGGGTCTATGTATCAGCAGAAAATGGATGTTCGGTCCTGAGCCGCCCGAATAGCAGCTGTGGAACATGTAGATGTGACGATAATCCTTTATTTCTTCTATCTAGTGAGGGATATCTAGCGCTTCGTATTGTGGTCCGAATACTGGTGATTGGGCCACCGTAGCCACTGTTGAATCAATCGTTTCTACGCGCAAGGATATTGTGTCATATCCAGGAGCATTTCTGCCTGGCATCAACACACAAGATTGCTTCTCTTGGCTATATCGAGCGCATCTCAAAACAAGGACTAAAGTGGTCTCTGTAAATTCCAGTATTCTGACCCAGCCCTGCGGGCTTGCAGTCCGTAATAGGTTATTAACACTGGGGAAGTTAGCTACTGCGGATTGATAAGGAGGCTGCGAGTACATGTTACCTGGGGCTGGCAGTAAAGGCGGCGCCGTGATTTTTGCTGATAAGAGCGCAGTTTTCTTGGGTAAGGCCTTTAGAGTTTTTGGGTTCTTCGGTAGGAGGCGGCGGTGCAACGACTCCAGTACTTGGCCCGTCAAAACCCCTATCGAAATCTCCGTTTGGAGGTAGATCAAGGCCGTCTATTAGTCCAGGACCAAATTGCGGATCACGGACCTCTAGCGGACCTGCCGCCACCAGTCCGATTAATATACTAGCGACGGTAATGGAGAACTTTATTCTAACTAAAGTCTCCTGGTAAAATAAAATTTTTAGGAAATAGATTAAACACTAGTAAGAATAATTGTTGGCAGAAGGATGCACGAGTATTCTACTTAACGGCACCTGCGGCGTCTATATATACCTCTTGACAATAGAGCCTGGGAACATTATTTGAAGACAATACGCACCAGACTTAACTAGCGGAGAGTTATTATTTTATTTTATGCTTATTTTAAGTTAAAAACGCATGGGGCTGAGTATATCATCCTGTGATGATAATATTCATGGGCACTATAAGACTTGAGTTATTACGCGCACACTAAGGCTTGGGCGCTAGTACTGATACTTCTCCGGCTGGCACCAGAGTAATCTCTTTATATTCGATGTGTGAATTTGTGCAGGCATGTTATGGGGATGACTCCCAACAGATCTCAACGAACCCACCCAACCCCCAACCCTGCCTGCGTCTTTGTTATGGCTGTCGGACGACGCCACGACCGTTAGTGGCTGCTATCTTTGGTCGCCAAAGCATATAAGTTGAAGTTTCGTAGTAGCTGAAATCTAATTCTGCTTTTATTTTTATTTTGCATATTTTCTCTTATTTTTATTATTTTATAGTAAAAGCTAACTATAAAATATTTATAAGTACCTAATAATTTATATTGAGAATAGGTAAAAGAGTGGCCTTTTTAGTTGTATATTAAATATATTAATATAATTATAATAAGTACTATACTTATAAAGCTTTAGTTAGGTAATATTAATATAAAGGGGTAAAACTAACTAAACTTAGCTTTAGTACTTTATATATTATCCTTTAAAAGCAGTATTTTATCCTTTAAAAATTAATATTATAACCTTTATAATTAAAGGTATATTTACGGTAAACCTGTACATTTGTTTTAAAGTCAAGTAGTTTAATTTTATCTTTATAGCACGCCACTCTAAAATAGTAGGCCAGTTGATTCGCCAGTACTCTTATGACCTGACGAAGCATCCCAATAACCACAGAAATACTCGAACCAGATAAGATTATAAACATCGAGACAAATCATGATAATCTCAAAGCATATATAGGGGCTAAGATGGACAAGGCGCTATAGCTACCTTGTGTTATATTTCAGCAACCAAGCCTGCGTGATAAAATAATTAAAGAGGCCTGTGATAGAGCCAGTGACATGGAGGCCTTTAAAGATACATGTATTTGAGATTACATCCCCACTAGCTGCAACCCTATTCTTACCGATAGGCAGGATTCTTCTGGCCCTTCTCTCTATAGGAGCACTTCCCACGGATTTATACCTGAGGAGCGTTAAGGAGGCACTTTAGAACTACTAGACGAGTTTCCCAAAGTGTCTAGTGTAAATCAACTACAAAGCGACATGGCTAGTCGCCGCTACTATTACTAACAAGCTATTAACATGCTACTAAAATTTGTTTGAAAAAACGGGTATAAGGTATATTTGGTGCTAGTTCCACGGGCCACGGCTAAAGAATAAAGTTTCTAGTCTCTAGATAAGGTGATTACTATAAACGTGTAAGCGTTAATATCCCACCGCTTAGATGCTAACGCTAGGAGTTGCTATAACAAAACTCGCAATACAATTGCTTATAAACTGGGCTTCAAGAGGGGAAAATAACAAGAAGCTCTAGGAAATAATTCAAATTCAACAGCTTCAAAAAGCTCAAATTGATCAGCAGCAGCAGCTTTGCTTACATTTATAGCAAGAGCTCGCGTCGGCATCGGACCTAGTCGGTTATCAAGTCCGCCCGCCAAGTTAAATCTGTGGTATCAGGCCCTGGGTCCTATTGCACAGCCGACAGCATCAGGAAACCAGACTCAACATGAAATTTAACCATGTGTGGACCATGACCCAACTTTTTCGCCTTGTTTTCGGGCGTGCTTCAAGGTCAAGTCGATGGCGAAATGCGGAAATCTGCTTAAAGTGGAACTCGTATGGCATATATTGTAAGACTTCGTAGCACCGTTTATTCGGCCGGGGATCATAATCAGCCTATGTCGATCAAGTCCACATTAGATACGAACCAAGTACGATGGTGAAGCAGAGTCAACCCTGTATTTGCTTAGACCCTTGAGAAAACCAACTCTGGCCGCGCCGCCATCGGTTCAAAAGTCCTGTTCAATCTATGCTTTGCCAATTGTCTCCTGCCTATTTCAGCTGGTAATTCATTGACTGCTGGCAATTCTGCCTTGAAGTCCCCACTGTCTGCCCTGGCGAGCCCGGGCAGTGAGGCGAAGCTTTTTATATAACCCTGCTAGGCCCACACACATCGAGAAACGCCCGGTGAACCATGTTGAGAAAATAAGGCGGTGCAGAATGCTGACTACTCGCGATGAACGCATTTTCTGCACTCGACCTCACGTCTTCACACGGCCATGTCTGTTAATTGCAGCCGGGAAAGGCTGTGGTAGACGCCCGTCCGCCGTGTGAAGAATGCCTGTGCCTCCATACACATGACGCCCGGATGAAGGCGAAGAGACGTAGCATAATAGCAGATTTTAATTTGCGATGAAAAGGTATATAACTTGGACATACGTCTTGTTGACCTGTTCTCATCCTCTGAATCATGATAGTACCGTAAGCATCCTTACGTCTGAAATCTCCTCATCCGTGTTCTCTCCTACTGTTCTTTATCTACACCGAGATGCGCATCTCGTTTCTCGCGGCAGTACTTGCCGAGTTGCTTGTAGGCTCGTCAGCCGCGGGCAACTCGCACAAATATGACCGGCGCAGCCACATTCCAGCACGATCAAACAATGGCACCGCCGCTCCAAAAGCCGGCCTCTTTGACCAACTCATTGACCACAACAATCCCAGTCTTGGCACCTTCAAACAGCGATTCTGGTGGAGCGCCGACTACTACGGCGGCCCAGGATCGCCCATCATCCTCGAGGCTCCCGGTGAGGCTGCCGTCGACGAGAATTCCGTCAACCATTCCAACTCGACCCTGACTGGTCTTTTTGCCCAAACAAACAAGGCTGCAGCCATCACTCTCGAGCATCGCTACTGGGGTGGCAGTTCTCCCGTTGGAAAGAACTTGACGGCCCAGACTCTGCAGCATCTCAACCTCGACAATTCCATCCAAGATCTTATTTACTTCGCTAATAATGTGTATCTTCCGTTTGATTCCCATGGTGATTCAAAGCCCGACAAGGCTCCTTGGGTCCTGACTGGCTGCTCGTACCCCGGCGCTCTCACGGCTTGGACGAATGTCCTAGCACCCGGTACCTTTTGGGCATACCATGCATCCAGCGCCGTCGTTCAGGCAGTCTCAACCTTTTGGGAATATTTTAGTCCCATCGAGCAAGCCATGCCACGCAACTGCAGTTCCGATTTCAAAAGGCTGATATCACATGTTGATGACGTCCTCTTTAATGGCACCACACACCAGAAACAGGAGCTCAAGGCGCTCTTCAATAGCAGTAGCAACACCAGTGACAGCAACTTTGCCAACGTGCTGTCGAGTCCGCTGGGAGACTGGCAAAACACCCACTTCACGAGCGGTTATACCAAGTTTAACCAGATGTGCGATTATGTCGAGGTGAGCATATGACCTTCCTCTATGACCGTCCCATGCCCGGACGAGTTAACCAAGCTAATACGGAACCTCTCCTATAGAATCAATGGTCTGGGAGCAATGTCACCATCCCAGGACCAGAGGGGGTTGGTACACAGCGTGCCCTCGGGGGGTTTGCCAAGTGATGAGAGAACGTAACAGCACGTCAGAAGACCAAGAAGACTCCGACGAGCCGCTCTGGATGTGGTTTCTTTGCAACGAGCCGTAAGTACATGATTTCTTCTACGTATTTAAAGCCCCGGAATCATCTAATGTTGAAAAAGGTTCGAGTGGTGGCAAGTCTGGGGTCCTGGCTCAGACAACGGCCTCGTATCCAAGGCCCTCACCCGCGACAGTCTCCTGGCTCAATGCAAAGATATGTTCCCTACCGTCGGCAATTCTACCTATGGTCTCAACAAGGGCCGCACAGTCGATCAGCTCAACCTAAAGACAGGCGGCTGGAATCATGTCAACACGACGCGCCTCATGTGGGTGAATGGGGAGTATGACCCCTGGACCCCAGCTACCGTCTCGTCCAAGTCGCGACCTGGAGGCCCTTTGAAGTCCACCAAGCAAGCCCCTGTGTGGGTCATTCCCAAGGCTGCACACTGTAATGATCTCAATGTTGGGAATAGGATCAATGAAGGTGCGCGGGAGGTCATTGACGGGGTGGTGTCTCAGATGCAGGAGTGGGTGGCCGATTATTACAAGCAAAACGGTACAGGCTTGGCCGACGGTGTCTGAGCATGTATCCTTACCAACAGTCGTTATTTTCTTTCCCATTTACGAAGTTGTTTTATAAATTATGTGACTAGGGTTACCCTGATGCGGGTATCCTAAAGGGCCCGATAAGCGTCATGGCTGGCTAGCATCTCACGATGTATCTTTCTGCGGTTGGATTGTCTACCTAGGTAGGCTTTTCAGCAACTGTTTTGTACCCTATTTTACATCTTAGATAGCATGTCTGGAGTGTCTCACATCCCTGGTGGAGATGGCTGAGATGGCACACAATTCAATCTTCATTCATTTATTCAACACTCCAGGCATATAGGAACCCTGACAAGGCATGCACCTACAACTCTGTCTGTGACTTTGAATCATTCAAAATGAGGCTTGTCTTTATGCCGGGGCGGGGGTTTGGGCTTCCCTGAAAAGTAAAGCCAATCCTGGTGACAGAGCTCTCGATTTGGGTCGCCCTCCATATGTGACAAGAGTTCAACAAGGAAGACTTGGAGCAATAGCTCAATTCATCTCATAACAGTCTTTGGTATTAAAGGTCCTTGGTTTTTCTTAAGGACTTATTAACTAAAGACCTCTTTAAATACAAGAAGTCAGTGAGGGACTTTGCCCCAGGTCCCGTGATCGTGGCCCTTGTGTATCCAACAGGTCCTTTCCGTGTGACACCATACGTTTATATTTGCATTGTGTCTGACCCGGCAAAATTACGCTATTAACTCGTGAGGATCCCGAAAATTTTATTTGACTCTCTATATTCATGGACTGCGCCATGTATGTGAAACTAGTTCTTATATACAGCTCAACCCAGCAGGAGGGCCATGTCGAATGTAAATTTGAGACTGGAATTCAAGGGATGAGATGATGAGATAATGCTGACAGATACCGTATTGTACTGAACACCAGACTTGAGCAGCATAATCTCCTACTCAAAGAGCCCTTGTTCAAAGTCTGATGACTGTCCGGCTCTCGGCTTACAAGTGGCTCTTGATGAACTCGATGTCCGCGCCCAGCCTGGTATAGACTCCGTAAGCATTGGGCGCCGCACACTTATAACCCCATGACACAACTCCGATCAGAACTCTGGTTTCGGTATCAATGATGGGGCCACCACTATCACCGTTGCAAGCATCTTGTCCTCCTTCCTTAAGACCAGCACAGAACATGGCGTCCGTGATATTCGGCATGTTGGGGATCGCTTGATATGCCGCAGAGCATGTCGCACGATCAACGACGGGCACAGTAACCTTTTGTAACTCTTCTGGGGCCTGACCGGCGTACTCCAGATCTCCCCTGGTTCAAAAATCAGTATTTCATCTCCAGAATAACACGTAGGGTATGCGAGCCGCTTCGTAATACTTACCATCCTGCCACAGTTGCGTCGGCGCCACTCACAGGGTCTGAGCCTGCCTCTGGCAATGTGGCGTAGCCAATGGTGCCATTCGCCTCGATGGGTGTTGATAGCTTCACGATGGCCATGTCATATCCCAAACCTTCGTATTTAGGGTGGGGGGTTATAGAGGAGATATTGGCAACAACGCCACCGGAAGCATGGGCCTAGGTGTGTTTTAGCTTTAGGTGAGTTGTGGTAGTGGGAGACAAAAGAACAGCAATCCTCCCATTGATACAAGGAGAAAGCAAACATAACTTACGAGAGAACCGGCGCGGACCTGCGAGATGGCTGGTTGTGACTCGACGCAATGCGCCGCGGTGAGGACCGTATTGGCGTTCAACAAGACACCGCCGCACCAATGGCGCCCGTTGCGCAACGTGCTGACGATGAAGGGGAATTCACCGGCCTCAGCAGGCGATCCGCCAACAATAAACACTGCATTTGATGCAGGCCGTGCAGCAGCCAAGGGAGCCGCACAAAGGGGCAGATAAACAGCGAGTAGGGACTTGAGCTCCATTGTAGTGCTGGAAACGGCGATGATCCAAAGGACAAGGAATGTATGAAGAAGCTTGTTATTAGAGTTAGACGAGTCAATTCCATGTTGGAAGACTAGTCGTATTTATATGCGAAATGGTTCCGTTATACAGCGTTCCCAGCTCGTATACTCTATGCCTTGCTCGTCTGCACGGACGAGGTGATCGACAAGCTCGCGTGGCAAAGCGTCCTAGTCGGCTTAAAACGGCAGGTGTAAACAAGTCGGCGGAGCCAAGTCGCCCTCTATCTGGATCATTAAGGAAGTTGAATGGTTCGCAGAGGTTAACTAATGGTTGGCAACTAAGTGGACTCGACTTGGCAACCAAGTGGATTGACTCAAGTGGCTCGTGCACTTAGTTGCTGATGGGTATTCTACAAACATAGAAGGTCCCATTGCCATAGCCCTTTCGAATCCGGCAGTGCGATAACGGAAGTTGTCCGCCAAGAGCGATGGCATTGTCGCTTGGAGTAATATTGTCCCAAAGAGTTTAGTCGTTTTGCCCAAGAATGGGAAACTTGCGCAACACGGAGGGCCCTCGCCTTGAACTAGGAGAGAGTGGAAGTTGACGAGGACGCTGTGACGTGGTGATGGCTTTGGTTGGCCATTTTGACTTTAAACTCGCATGACAGGGGTTACTATATTGACAGTTTTCCCTGTGATATGGAAGACTCCTTCCCTTTACGAAGACCTTGATGGTTGGGCGTTTGCCCGGAATGGGCGCGATGAAATGCGCCAAGCATCGTAACCAAGAGTATTATTGTTATTTGGATAAATGATATACAAATAAATAAGCCGGCGCGCGCGGTGATGCATCACCAACTCGGCTAGTGTCAATATTCAACGTATCGTATATCGCGCAGTTAGTTACGGCTTCCGAGCCTGGTACGTCAAAAATACAGTGTTGCTAGTGGTCTTGCATAATCATTCGGCCCCCTTTTTGATTTTTTCCATTACGTTAGTAGAAATAACGAATTAATGCTCCAATTAATACAACTACATGTAACAATATAATACGTTTTCATCACCGTTGAGTTACAGGTCAGCCCGGCATCTCCATCGGCGGGTCTTCCCTCCCAACCGCCGGCAGCTCCTGCGGGATAAAATGAGGAATAGCCCGAGCCGGATATTCTGCCTCGCCATCGGCCTTGGGTTCCCGCACCGCGTCTTCGGTCCGGCGGCCTTGCTGCTGGTTCAAGGACGCCCGCCTCTTCCGAACAAACAGCCAGATGGACGCGGCACAGGCCAATGCCGCCACAGCAGCCCCAACAGCTATCCCTGCTACCGCACCAGACGAGAGCGTCGAGTTGCCACTGCTCCCAGACGCCTTGTCTGTTCCGCCGACGGGACCGTTTGGGCTTAATGATGCCGTAGGTGTGGTGGCACACGTCTTGCTGGGATCAAAGACCTCGTTGCCGTCGTTGACTGCGACTAGACTCTGGTCCGTGGTTGGATTTGCCTGCCAGATGGTGAATTTGCCGGCGCCAGAGTTGCCCATCAGGTACGCCCCGGTGAGGAAATAGCGCCCCAAGATGGGCAGCACGTTGGCGGTTGTATTCTGCAGAGAGTTGATGCGGATGACGGGCCGCGAGGCATTCACATACAGATTGCCATCCTTGTCTATTTTCCTCTCGGGAACCACGAGCTGGTGGTTTGGTATCTTGATACTGATGCCGCCACCGAGCTTGAACGTGATGCCTCCGTTGTAACTAGACCGGTCAGCATCACCGCTGCGCAGAGAGAAACTCGGTGTCTGACGTTGAAGGAAATGGCCACGGCGTGAAGAGAAAGGAAGCGAGGATTGTGGCTGTCAGGGCAAGGGAATGGCAACTTACATGCCGAGTGAGGGTTCCATGATGACGGTCCACCAGTCAATGCCCGTGGATCTACCAGCCTCGGTGTTGCCAATGATACCCAGCAGATTGTCAAAGTAGGGAGATCGAGGCATGTCCATGAGAGTTGCCCGCTGTGGCACAACACAGGCCAGCAAGGCCGTGCCGCCGTTTTCTTTGGAGAAGATGGATGCGTCTGTGCCGTTTGCCAGGTTCATCGTGATGTCTTGGATGGTGACCATCATGCTTGTCGGGCAGTCGGGGTGGTGACTGAGCAGCATAGTGGTGCCGTCGCCGTACGTCTTGGCTTTGTCGTAGCCTCCTAATACAAATGAGCCCTGTTGCTGGTCGTCGTCTTCAACGCCGTCGAGCCCCCACCAGAATCCAAATGCTGAAGACGCAATACGTCCGGTGCTTCGCAACGTGGACATGAGGGTTGAGCCCCTGTCCATGCCAATCATGTTCAAAGGGTCGTAGCCCTGCAAATCCCACCCTGTGTAATCGACTGGATTGGCAAAGACAAAGTTGTCCAAGCTCACGTTGCTAGCCACGTTGAATTTTTCCGAGAAGAACTTGTACGTCTTGGAGCTCCACGGCTCCGTAGGTGGCTTGAAGCTTGATGGCGGCGCGCCTTTGGTAGTTGAATCGGCTGGCTTATAGACGCCTCCTCGAAAGGTCACACACGAGTCCCCTTCCCAGGTGAGATTCAAGGAATCACAAGCGGGGCCGTACAGAAATGTATTGTTCACTCGCCTTGTGAAGACTCCAGTGTTAGTTTCTGCGTTGTCACTCATACTCACGAGTCACGAGAGAGGAAAGACGAGGGAAAATCAATGAGTAAAAATCAAACGATTTGTTTCTGGTCAAAAAAAGCAGAACAGAACAGAAGAAAAGAAGACTCTTACCAATAGGGCAAAAACGCAAAGCTCTGTTCGGGCTCGGCAACAGTGAGGAACACACCTCGCTGAATCTTGCCCGTCGATAAAGTGACGTTTTTGATAGGAAGCGCTATTGGCGGCGGCACACAGTTTTGCGCGACTACGCCGGCTGCCAGGAAGATGGCAAGCAGCAAAGTCCATGATGTCTCAAGCAGCAGCTTTGGGGCAAAGAATGGCATCATCGTATGCCAGATTCCGCGTTTGCGGTCCTGTAGAATTCGTGGGGCAAAGACTATATCAGACGACACTGCGCAACGGCTGGGAGAAGACATGACAATTCAAGTACAGAAGAAGGCGGGGAGAGTGAGATTCAACCGGCGACAAGAAGGATTCTCATGTACCTGTGAAAAACCGAATTGGTGCGAGCACGTCTACAGCATCCAACAAGACTTCGGTTGCCTCGATACCCATGGCGCGCTAACCAGAACGTGAGCTACACGATCAAACAATACGGAGCTGCACAGTGTGCCGCGGAGTACAGAGTCACAAAATAACGACTTTTTACAGGCCAGCAGTCAGTGGGACGGGAAATGAGATTCCTCGGCCAGCCTTTGGACTTGCAGTCGCCGACGCATCTTGCCGCCGACTTTGATGTGTCTTGTGCAACCCAACAGCTTTTTTCTTCCCATCTTATGTAGTACGGAGTAGAATACCGGCCCCTTTGAGTGGCCCGGGAGGATCTGTCATATTGCTAGCCGCGGAAACAGCCCCCTGGTCGAGGCAGTTGATCCTATAGGCCGGAGACACGGGTGAGATGGGCTGAGACTGGCCGAGTCGGGATCATCGTGCATATTTGCGTCTCCACGCCATGGGCGCAGAGTGTTCATCACTGCGCTACCAACCCACCACAATTTTGACACGGTAACATGATGAGACAAACAAGGCAGCGCCACATGGCCCATGGGCTGTAAACTCGCCTTGTCGCCCTCGGGGATCCGGCTCCGTGCATGCTGAGTGGAACCAGACCACTCAGCCCATCGTCTGGTGTAACTCCGTACCGAGTACAGACTCGGGCGAGTAGTTTTCATTTCTTTCATTTCGCCTTTTTTTTTTAAACGACTTCGTTCCGATTGGCCAACAGTGCTCGGTTAGAGAGCGGCTGGCCAGCGCAATGGCTGCCATAAAGCAGCAAGTTTCCGTGTCCAACCCACGTTGAATCGTCGACGAAGCCATGGGGTGAGCCTTTTCGGCGCGGTCGTGTGTATACCCTTATCATGCTTCCTGTTCCCTCTCGACGCTTTCGAGTGCTTACTTTGGCAATAGTAGCACTGTTCATCTTGGCGATACTATACCAACACGGCCCTCTGTCATCTCGCGCTTTCCTTCCGACATGGCAGCCTGTACAGAGTCCAAAAGCGCACAAACCCCAAATTCCACGCCCGAGCCTCGACTTGCCATTGGAATATACACCAAAGCCCTCCGATAGTCAGTGGTGCCAAGAACGCTTTGGCGTCAAGTTTCTCGAAAATGCCCGCGCATCCTCCGTCTCCTACTGCACCCCGACCTCCCCGAGCTTCTCTTGTTTCTGGTCGATAACCACCGAGGAGCGGCATGACGCCATGTGTCATGGACGAGGTGCCACATATGACGCCGGCGAGTCCAAGTTTCGACTCGGATGCCGGCTGCGCGACTTGTCACCGGAAGAACTTGAGAGGGACACGCCGCGAGTCCCAGATAACCTGACGCAATACTGGTACGACACCGGGCCCGGGCAAGTCTTCAACGAGGCCGTGCTCCTCGATGCCAACTCTCGCATCCAGAGGTCCCGCACAACAAGCATCTTGGTAAAGAGAGAAGGGCCCGGCAATCTGTGGCACGTCCTGATGGAGTTGCTCAGCCTCTCGTGGACCCTTGACGTACTACAGATCAGCGCGGATCCTACCTCACAACAGTCGTACCTATCACCCGCCGCGGCACCGTCCACGCAGGTCATATTCCTGGACGAGTACGAAGACGGCCCCTTTGTCGACATGTGGAGGCTCTTTGCCAAAATGCCCATCCGGCGCATCCACGAACTTAACAGCTCCGAACCCGCCACCGACATTATCATACCCTTTTCCGGCGGGAGCAACACGCTCTGGCAAGGCGATTGGGTTAAGCTCGACTGCCGCGAGTCGGCACTCGTCAAAGCCTTTATTTCGCGCGTCTTGCGTCTCTACGACGTGCCCACGCCGCCCCGGAGCAAGGAAGAGGTCGTGGCCAAGTTTATCCGCCGGACGAATACCCGCAAACTCATCAACGAGACGGAGCTCATTGCGTCGGCTAAAAGGGCCGTTCCTCACTTGAATATAGAAGTCGTCGACTTTGCCGGGTTTTCTTTTGCCGAGCAGCTCAAAATCGTCCGCGAGACGGACCTTCTCATAGGCGTGCATGGGGCCGGTCTCACGCACACCATGTTCTTGCCGCCGGGGTCTGCTGTCGTGGAGATTCTGCCCGGCGACTTTGCGCACATGGGCTTCCGGAATCTAGCGCAGCTGCTGGGCCACCAGTATCATCGTACCCATGCCAAGATGCATGGGGATGCTTCTGGAGATTCGCAGTGGCAGTTTGATGCGGTTGAGATGGAGGAGGACCAATTTGTTCGTTTGATTGACGGCGCGGTGCGAGGCTTGTATAATAACGGAATAAGGACGTACGACGCTGTATGAGTATTGGGTCATCAGGGCTGAAGAGGAGGCGGGAGCTTATAGACGGGTCTGGGAAGTGATGGGCCTTGGTGGACCATTATCCTACTTGGACTGGCTTGTCCGGATTCATTGGAGATTGTTGAACGGGTTGGTGGAGTGGTATTCTCTACCCAGCAGCGTAGAGTTGCTTTTGTGCGAGTCTGCGGACGGGCTGGCGGACCACGACGATGATGACAAGCAGCTGGTGGCAGATTGCGTCGCAACTCTGGCTTTACAAGGGGAAGCATCCAGACTCGACGCTTTTTTCTACCACTGATGCTGAATGCGCCATTTTCTAGCTTTTCCGTTGAGGATGGGACGTTCTACTCTAGCCTGGTTTACGAGTTGTGTAAATTGTGTCACCTAGCGTGTGTGGCAAATTCACATCACACTCCGTCCTGGGCCGACATTGTTTACTCATACCCTTCAAGAGTGGATATTAGTCGGACCACTTCCCGCGCTGATCCCGATTGCTAGCGTCCAACATACCGATGGCTGCGCTTATCCGCACGTGGCAAGGAAAGGGTTGGCTGCAGAGCTGCACCGCCCGCTATGATTCTTATTGCCATGTTCCACTAGAATGGCAAAGCGTCCACGACCTGCTTCCGAAACCGCTTGACTCTTGTGGCTTATAGACTATAGTACCAAGGCGTCACTGGCCGTGATGTGAATGGTATATAGAACAAAAGACGAGCAGAGTCTGCATCATGGTGGTAGGATAGCCGTTGGAACGGCTCGATAAGGTTTTGTACTTTAGACGACATAGAAGAGCAATTATACGTCATAACTACCATCAAGAATGTCGAGACAATGTACTCATTCGCATGTACGACACGAGGTTCTGCTACGAACAAGTCATTCACCACCGTTCATCCCTGGTACTTTTAGCCGGCGACTTGCACGGATGTGTCTAGCGTGGCCGGCCGGGAGCAGGTCCGGTCCGCCCAGCGGCAAATAAGTGGAGAACTCCACAGAGCTAACCCCGTGGGCCGTGAGAGTCTTCCCGGAACGTCGGCGTTCGCGGACAGCACCGGATGGTTGCGTACGTACGAACTTGACAGTGGTGAATTTTTGTGGGCATGGAGTCTGGTGAGATGGGGAGAATCAATTGATGTCGTGGCGGATGAGAAGCACCAGGGTCTACCCGCTCGCTCGAGGGCTACCAAAGTAGACTTTATGTACCAAAAGACGGCGATGTTCGACCAACAGGTTACAGCACCACAATAGCAGTACTGTCACTGCTTAATAGGTTGAATAAAATCTAAACCAGACAGCTCGCCAACCGTAATCGTAATGGCACGCTCTGCAAGAGAGGGCGTATTGCCGACGAACCCGGGTGGTGGTAGTGGCGTGCTCTGAATGGCAATCCGTGATGCTCTCGACGACGACGCGCACTGGCGCGACCATGGGCACAAAAGGTTTGTTTCTTGGCCAGATCATGGAAGCGGGAGAATTTTGCAGCGTCGATTGATCCTGAGAGAGGCTGAAGTTGCGGTAGAGGTCTGATATTTAAGCTTGGACGGCTGAACGATACGTGCAGCACTTGAGCAACAAGGCGATGACATGTATCTGTCTTTCCTCCCTCCCAGGTCAAGATAAGACTGGTACAGCCTGTTTACACCCTCAAGCACGTCACTAAGAATTTATTTTCAACACAAGGAACTGGCCCATGACAGCTCGGGAGCACGTCTTGAGACGTCGCCTCGTGTTTGCCACTCAAGGCGCAGAGCGCAAAAGAGGCCCCGAGATGCCACTGCGAAGCTCATCACGAAGATATCGAGCGGGCGCCCGGGACTGGGCCGAAGATGTCGAAGATGGGCGATGCAGCGTCGCCGGCCGCAACTGGGGGCCAGCAAAAGGACTCAAAGAGTTGGGGTCTGCAAGCCGAGTATTTTTGGAGCTCCTTAGGAATGTCTCTGATGTGTCGCACCGGTCGGGGAACGGGTTGCCACACAATGCCCATTGTTCAGGAGGTGCTCCGTGTGCTCCTCGCTTGTCCAGTCCGAGTCGGTGAGCAACGCAATCTTGCCCATCTTCTTCATTGGACTGTCGAGGCGGATGAGACGCCGCAGTGCTCCATGATGCTCTGGATTCATTTGATCCGAAGCCTATGGCACCGTCCACGGATGTCTGGCCCGGTGATAGCTGCCACCATTTGCCACCAGCGACATGTTGGCCACGTCGGCTTTGTTCCTCCTAGGAGATGCTGCCGTACGACTTGTTTGGTGTGCCAGTCCATCACCGTGGCCCTTGCTGTTGCCTGCCGATCTTGCCGCCGCCACCGCGATGCGCATCCACGCCGTGACACTCGCGTCAGTCAGATGACACAGGGAGGCTCATGCTTGTGTCGTGGTTGAATCTCGCAAGAGCCCTAGTCGCCTCGTAGATGTAATTCCTGCAAAAACCGACATCTGGACAGACCATCTCTTTCTGTTGAGAGTGTCTGTGCCAGCCAGCCCTTCACGTCGACGACCACGCCGGCACAAGCTTGCAGACGGGCATGTTGCACAGGGACGAGGGAAAATAACGCAGGATGATGTGCCAATAAAACACACCGGACGGTTCGCCGGCATGGCATTTGCCTGCCCGCCGACGGTTAGCACTCTCGCTGCCTGGCAGGTCGACCGCAAAAAGACGACATCTGGAGCCACCAATCAAGACACGGCGTCCGACGCCAACATGATGATGGCTCGGCGTCTCGGTGGTCCAAAGGGGGCACAACCATCTGGTTCCCAAGCCTTGTCCCACCAGTTGGCCTCTATTAGTATACATGTACATACATGAGTCGGAGCGTCCAAACAATGGCCGATTGTACAAGTCAGCCCCCGCGGGATGACAGATGTGACGGCAGTCCTCTTTCTGGTAATTCGGGGACGAGACTGGATGCTGGCGCAACGCCGCGCCCTGCAGGGAAATTTGTCAATTGGTTCAACCTTTTTTTCTTCCCTTCTTGTCGGCGGTGCGACCGTGCTCTGCGTCTCTGACAATGGGAAAGGGTCCCCGTCTTCCCCCACCACGGTCCTTATTGTTCCAGGTACAAGGTGGCTTCAATGTTGGCTCAATACCGACCGAGACGGCGCCGGGGCCGTTGGGCGATCTCTCCAGGAATAGCACGGCCGGGGACGTGCCAAGTTGGAGTCGAGTCGTCGAGTGTTGCCGAGTTTGGCGCAGGGCTCTTTTATCAGTTCTCGTGGTTCTCATCGTCTGGTCGAGAGCTGATGGTCCTTGTGCCCGCGCTTTCCGCTGTTTGCCGCTCATGTGGCCTTTGATAATTTGTCCATGTTGGCAATGGGAGGAGGTGAGATTCGGGTCGCGTACCGAGTACAGGTACGGGATACGGTCCGGGAGACGCTCGACCTGGCCACATGCAGGCATTCACCAATTGGGCCGCTGCTCCTCAGCATTGGATGCGCCTATTCTTGGCCATGGTCAGCATCGTCACCGAGCGGGCCGCCACGCTGAATATCCGCGCATCAACATTCAATGTTGAAGCCACCGCCGCGTCTCGCCCTCACAAACCACGCCCGGCCGGCAGCGCGCCACATCACTTGACGCTTCCTGCCTCTCGCCCAGACTGCCATTGTCGTCAGCACGCTTCACTCTCGGCCCAACAAGCAAGCAAGTCGACCGTTGACCTGTCAGCTCGCACCCGCCGGCGCCAATCACGCGTCGAGGCGGCAACGCTGGGCGGCGCTCTTCGAGTCTCGAGGCGGCGATACACAACAATGCAAATGCGCCTCTCGCCCTGTCGTCTGACGTCCCCGGCAGACCTGATACGGCCCTCGATGCTATTTAACCGCATGGCACCCTCGCCGTCGCCCCTCTTTTTCCCCACGTATTTACCTTTGACATCCGTCATGTCACCGTCGTAGCGGTTCCCGTCGTCGCCGCCAATCCCCAGCATGGCGAGCTTGGTTCCCAATGTCTGGGCCGCCATCGTCATCCCCGTGCCCGCCTCCGTCCTGGCCGTCATCCTGCGTCTCAAGGCCAGGCGGATGACGCGCATGGGCATGGGCCGCGACGATTGCTTCGCCGTCGCCGCCCTGGTAAGTCGACCGTCCACCGCTTCCGGCCCTGCATGCTCATTGCTCACCGTGGCATCCCCAGATCTTTGCCCTGGGCTACACGGCCGACCTCATTGTGTGTAAGTGTCTGCATCGAATAACGCCCTGCTCTCAGGCTCGTCGCCATGCTCACAACGGCCCAGGGGCGACGTGCTTCAAGCTCGGCCAGCCCATCGGCTCCTATAGCCAAGACTTGATCGACTACTACACGGAAAAGTCGACCCTGATCCTGTGGACGAGCGAGTTCTTGTACTCGTGGGCCATCTTCTGCGCCAAGATAGCCGTCCTGTGCTTCTTCCTCCGCGTCTTCCGATTCGCTTCCATCCGCATCCCCATCATGATTCTCATCACCTTGTGCTCCATCTGGATCACGATACGAACCTTCTTCACTCTTTTACGCTGCAGGCCTATCCAGGCATTCTGGGTGCAGGATATCCCAGATGCCACGTGTTTCACCAATGTGCGTGCCTACTACCTCGCTACCGATGTCACCCACTCCTCGATGGATTTCATCATCCTGGCTCTCCCCATATACGAAGTCTCGAGAATGAGGCTCCCGTTTGGCCAAAAGATTGCCGTCGTCGGCCTCTTTGCCACCGGGTCTCTGTACGTCTCTTGCGGCCGTGCTTTTGCCTCATCAGCCAGCCCCCGCAACTTGCTCATCTGTGCCGTTTTAGGGTCGGAATTGCGTCCATTTTCCAAATCGTCGAATCTCAGAATTACGATCCCCACGAGCTGCCCTATGACCTGGCCCTGTGCATGGTTTGGGGAGGTGTCGAGCTCCATCTGGCCGTCTTTGTAGGTACGTGGGAAGAAACACCGCCATATTTGCTACGTGGCAACGCTCTACTCACCAGATACAAGGTTCTCTCATTTTGCTGCGACCCATCTTTATCAAATTCGTTCCCGGCCTTGCTTCTCTGTCAGCGAGCAAGGCGGCGAGCCGCCCGACTCGCTCGAGTAATGCCTTTCAGCCGGGGGAGAGTTCCAGACGCCCTAGTAGTCTGCCAGACGACGCCGAGCTGGGCATGGAGGCTGTAGATGCAACCATGACCATCGGACGGGGTAGCTCACTAGCGCTCAAGGAACACACCTCTAGCTTGACGCCGATTTGTATCCATCATGAGGAATGTGACGCGGAAACTTTACCGGGTCAAGATGATTCAGGACACTCGCAAAGTACTGCTGTGTGAAGGCGTGTGCTTTCATGTTGCGATACTGGATTCCGAATCTTGTTCAGCACTCTATCCCGCGAGTACGATGGCCGAGGAAAAGATGAACTTCGACGGACCCGTTCCGTTGTCCGGAGTAGTTCCTTGGTTGTGGCTATTCAAGCCCTACCCGTGCTACAGACGGCAACATCCCCATGAGATACCCCGATAATACTAGCAGATGCGAAGCTGCTATGCCACTCCGAGTCCCAGATGATGGTCGGCCTGTTGTCGAATATGGCACCCTTTCTTCTGTCTTTCGCTAGTTCCAGAAACCCCGGCTATCTAGTTAGGGTTGGGTAGGGGTTGGGATTATCATCATCTAAAGGGAAGGATGAAAGAATAGATGCGTACCAATAATAATAGCTAATGCAGCTAGAAACTCTATATAAAGGGTTAAATCTGGCATAATAGCTGCCCCCGGCGTATATTTATAGGCCTGAACATAATAGACTAAGCAGAGCGTTGCCAATAATTGCAATGCCTTGCAATATGTAATACATTGAAAAATGTATACAATTTACTAAAAGGTAATTAAACTTCTTGGTCAAAATTCTAATACATAAAATATAACCATCGCTCTACCAAAACTCGCCAGAGAGTTAATCTTAGCCGTTGGAACGTGAGCCCTTGTTCCCTGCTAGCCTATTTGGTTTTTAACGAACAGGGAGTAGCTGCACCGGGGCCCTCGTGAGTGCCGGCACAAACCCGACCGAGAGTACTACAAAGGCAAAAGGGTACGAATCAAATAAGTCGCTTACGACTTTGTTAATAGATCCTATGCAGCTAATTTAAACAAGCAAGGATAGGCGCTAGTGCGGAACATCACATTAACTATGTAAATAAGAGACCAAGGTGTTTTCCATGGATCTGTATTATACTTCTATTACCGTAGATAATCCACGCGAAGAAGATAGCCATGAATTCTATACTTCTGATAATTTAAACAAAGCTTTTCGCCGTATATATCTATGGTAATTAAATTAAAATAAGCAGTAAGTATATAAAGTCTCCGATATTCTAATCTTATAAAATCAATATGTAGAACCATGCTCTATCTATCCTAGTCATAAGCCACCCTGTCGCGTACTAGTAATATTTCGCTTTATTTTTATCCCATCTCATAGTTCAATATATTTATTTCAGACCAGATTATGCCATGATTTCCTTGTTTAACTTTTTTTAAATACCACTTGTAGATCACCGCCGCAGTCTGCCCTGGGGAAGTTGTCGCATTCTCCCTTGAACTTGGCATGCCAGATCCGGACCTCCAGATAGCACTCGTGGAAAGGGGGCCACTTGTCTTGAGTAGAGACATCCATGGCGAGGGTGTTGGTAGTGCTCAGTGACTTGGACCATTCATAGGAGATGCTGTCGCCCAGGCTAACAGACGAGTCAACGGCAATCTTTACACCAATACTCCAGCCTTTGGTAATAGTCATGGATAGCGCTTGACTCTTGGCGGGATTGATGGGCTTTTTATAAGTGCCGGTTGTGATGCCCCTGAACGGAATCTTGTCCATTTTGACCCTCGTAGTGGCTTCAGATAACCCGGTCAATTCATTTCGAACTTGGTAGAAGACAGTCGCGCAGTTGAGATTAAGATACACGCGGACGACCGTTTCCAGCGTGCGAATCGACCTTGTAAGGGTCAATTATGAGCTTTCCTCGATCATTTTACTATTCTACACATCAAATTCGTCAGTTTTATTTATTTCCCGCTTCAAGTTGGTTTGCCCGTAGGCAGTCGTGGCCAGTAGAAGGGGCCCAAGTGCGGGAGGAACTTCATCTTGAAGGAGGGACAAGAGGTAAAAGTGTAGGCAGAAGGTGCCTGAGAATAAATTACATTAGCTCTTGAGAAAAACCTCCATCGATGCACAATACCACCTATATATACACACATTCAATCCAGAGATTCTAGCATATCAGCGTATTGGGATTCATATTACACGCAGCCTCATATACATTGTATGGGTCTATGCTTTCTATCAGATCGTTCCGACATTATGCCGCGAGCCTGGAGTAATAGCTTCGGGCATTTCCTCAGCGACTCACACAATCAGGGTCCGTTTGCTTGGAGTATATCTATTGGGAGCTGCATGCATGTCTCGGGCCCCGTCTCATCTCTACTCTGCACTCATAAAGAAGTCTGGGTCGATTTATCGAGAATTGAATGCAACGCCAACTTATTTCATGACTACGCTTTATCACTCTTATTCTCCCATGTATGGCTTCTACTAAGTTTGGCTCCTTGAGCATGTGTCGTTGAAATGCTGGGTTCTACGTTGAGCCTCGCCACTCGATCAATATGACAAGGGCTCAATGCAGGGCTTAGAGCAATAGCTCAATTCATCTAATAACAGTCTTTGGAATCAAAGGCCCTTGATTTTCCCCAAGGCCTCGTTGACCAAAGGGGTCGTTAAATAGAAGAAGTCGGTGAGGGACTTTGCCCTAGGTCTCGTGACCGTAGCCCTTGTGTAACCTTTGACATTGGGCCATTTCCGTGTCACAATCAAGCTACTTGATACCTCCAAACGCGGAGGGAATGCAGTGGTATTAAGATGTTACACTGTGAACAAGCCCCAGCAAGTTTTAGTTCCGTGTTTTTAAAGTCTCCCGTTCAACTACGGAAATAGATTCAAGAAAAATTAAAACTGCAGAATCCAAGCTTGTGTTGATAGCAGCAGGCAGGGAAGTAGCCTTCTCGGCTCACAAGTATATCAATCGCAAGCAAAAGAAGCCAGAATTCGCATCTGAGACAGGCATGTCTTAGCGCCCGCGATGCACATCCTCCTTGTCGCCGCCGCCGTGCCGTTCTACTTTGAATACAGGGCTTGTCTCTACGTTCCATTCAAGCTGCATAGCCGCCGTGCCAGCAAATCAGCTCCACGTCACCCGGATGCCGAGACAAGTGCAGGGCAACTGGGCTTGGAACAGAAGTTCTATTCAGACTGTAATAATCGACTTTGGGCCATTAAAGGTCCTTGGTTTTCCTCGAGGCCTTGAGGGGCGGAAGGCCCCTGTAGATACAAGAAGTCGGTGAGGGCTTATGCCTGAGGCAGCCCTCGCTTGTGACCGACTTCGGGCCTCGTGACCGCTACCTTTGTTGTTGTGTAACCGCACGTGCGTTGTTGGCCCAACGCCCTTTGTTGTGTGCAAACCGTGTAACAGGTGCAGTCTTGTCGTTGGGGGTTTCGGGCAGTCGCGAATCGGGGTACCCCAAAAGGAAAAAAAGTCCCGGCATACAAAGACCTTTTGTTGAGTTGAATAAAGGAAGATGTGAATGGGCATGTGAAAAGGCCGATATTAGGTGTATGAAACGATATTGATCCTTTGTCTGAATACCGCACGGCCCATGATGACTCATATCAACATTGGAACGGGCAATGGATATGACGGAACAGGGCGTCCGTACTCGCTCAATAGCCTGGCCTCTTTGTTCTGGGTCCCGGGGGTGGGGCGCTTGATAATATGCCAGTGCGATCAGTTCATAGCTAAACTTGCCACGAGAAACAGGACTCTCTACTGGTAAGCTAGTGTCCGACTTCCTGCAATTAAACATCATTGATCTGACTTGGGCAATTTGAGCGAAAGTTCAACCAGACCAGGTACCCGGCTGTCCGTACTATACAATAATCTGCCATGGTATATTAGTAAATACATGTGAACACGCACATCAATAACGCTCTAGGCTGTATATAAAGTTGTCTCCGGTAGAAACGGCAATTCCCCCCCACTCATTTATTCTTCCTTGGCCGCTCTCGTTTCCTGGGTACATTTGAGGTTTCTGTTGCTATATCTTTGCTTTTCTTAGGCCTAGCGGGGGCGGTTGTCCTCTCGGGTTTCGTCTGCGCGGCGGGACGTATGTTTGACCCGTTCTTCTTTCTCGGACGACCCGGCCCTCGCTTCACTCCGGCCTCGATACTTTTCCCCTTTGCAGCGGGCCGTCCCGGACCGGGTGTTGCCTTGGCGCGGCGAGTCTCTCTTGGAACGGGCTGGGCGGCTAGTGTTGCCGGTTTTGGTGCCAATGCAACCTTGGATCTTTTGTTCGGCACGGTTTGCATCGGTGAGGACTCCGCGGGTCGTTTCTTGGCCGCGATCCTGGCACTACGGCGTGGCAGTGGCGGAAGAGATTCGCCCTGCTCTTGGGCTTCGTGTACTTGGTCTCGCGGTTGGCGCGGGCGTAGGTCTCGCGTTCTTTGGGATGGAGGCGAAGCAGCGTCTTCCCGTAGCTCAGATGCCTCTTCGTCCTCGGCTGGCGGCGGCTCGTCGAACGTGTGGAAACGCCCGTGTTTCTTGAGAAAGAATTCAGCGGCGGGGTGAAGCCGTGGTTCATGCCCATCGACTCTCATCCTCGCACGGAACGCCTGTCTCTCTTTTCCGGCTTGTTCATTTTCTGCCCGACGGTCGACCAGCATTCCAGGAAAGTAATACCCAGAGTAGTCATACCTTTTGATCCCCCAGAAACCTTGCTGTTCGGATTCTGGGAGGTTTATAGTCTCTAGCTCATCAATCTCAGAGGGAGTAAAGTCCATTTCGGCCGACACGTCTAGCGGGTCTTCCTTCATCGGGTTGAGGGGTGCCAGATCTTCGGGCTCTGGGGAGGGGGACTCGTGCCGCCACTTCCAGGCTGTGACGCAGTTGCCCCTGTCGAGCTCGTCTCGCCAGTCCCCCCGTTCTTTCCACCACTTGATCACTTGTTCCCGGGCCGAGTACGAGTAGCGGCCATGGCCCTCATTGGAGAGGCGCTGGAATCTGTGAGATTCCTCGGCCACCTCGAGCTGAAAGATGAACCAGGGCTGAGAGATGAGGAAAGCCTCTGCTTCGGCGGCAGTAGTGTCTTGTCCAGGGCAGGACCGGGGAACCACGGGGGCATACTCACCACGCGCTAGGTTTTGGCGAAGACGCACAGCGCGTGCAGCGAGCTCGTATTGATAACTGCTCCCGGGGCCAAGGCCGTTCACTGGTGTCGCGGGCTCCCACCACCACTTCCAGTCATCCCACTCGTCGCGAGGCTGGACCTGACGGCCGGCAAACCCCCAGTCTGGATTCCAGACGCCGAGCTTCTCCCAGCGACGTTTGACGTTGTGACGAACAACAACACCCATGCGCCGATGGAAATTCCGTGTTCTAAACTCTTCGGGCAACGGCCACCTGGGAATATTTTCTTCAAACCGTCTCCGCTCAAATTTGGATTCCGAGTAATAAGAATCATGAGGACGTAAGCGCTGCTCCACAGAGCTGGCAATTAGTTCGGCTTCGAAGTCGTTGATGGGGCGCTCCATGACGGCCTGTAGCTCCGTTGGAATCTGTAGACACAGTGGTGGTACCATGAAATCTGCCTCGTGATCCGACGACTCGGTCGACGAGACGTAGGGCGGGGGGTCATCGCGCTCAAAGCGGCGCAGGTGTCGCAAGTTGTCGTTTGAAGCGATTGCCTCGAGACGAGGCATGGCCTGGTCGCTCACGGCCTGATTGAAATGGACCGGGTCGAAAAAGGGAGGCATGGTGTGGTTTGGCGGAAGGGTTGGGAGTGGCAAATGAGCGTGCCGTCTGGTTTCACGCCGTGAAGTCGGATGGGGGAAGACATCGAGCCAAGGACTACATACCTACCTTAAGTAGGTATTGACATGTAGGTATAAAATGTCTGGTCCTGGTTGACCGAGATTGATGCGTGCACCAGGCCTTATCAGCGCGCGCAAGTGTCTGGTCAATGCAGCTCTGGCAGAGGGACAGCAAATCAGGAGGCGGGCAACAGGCCAGGCAGCACTGTTGACCCCCTGCACGAGCCATGACGCGGGCGCATCGCGGGCGGGTAGCGGATCGACCAGTAGACGGCGAACAGCAACGCGGCGCTTCCATACGATACAACCCCTGAATTATTATCAAAAAGATTCACTCTCAACCCCGACATCTTTATGCCCTTGAGAGAAGGGTCCTTGAAATCGCTCATCACGGACAAAAACTTTCACGACTATGAACATTTGTACTTCGACGTGGTAACCCAGATGCTCAGCGCCCTGGATTACCTGGCGAGTGCGCGCCTGGTCCACCGGGACGTGAAACCCGAGAACATTCTCTACTACTCCTCGGGCCAAATCGCTGGCAGTGGCTACCATTTTCAGCTGGCTGACTTTGGATTCGCCCATTACCACGATCTGGCTACAAGCAAGTGCGGCACAGGCTATTATCGGGCCCCTGAGCTGGTGCCTGAAAAGAGCAAAGTGGACGCGCCGCAGAGCCATAAGATGGACGTATGGTCCCTCTTTGCTACCATGGTTGCCGTCGATTCCAAGTTTGAAAGCTTTCCAATCCTTACCTCTGACTATGGCATCATTCTAAAGACATTGCTGGCGAAAGCCCGAGAGTCCCCATTATACGCGCACATGGGGAGGCTGCATCCAGATTGCCGGGCCTCGGCGGCTCAGATCCTTAGCGAACACTTTGCAGGCTGGGGGTTATCAACACCGCAATCGAGAATCACCCCGATAGAGCCCGAGCTAGAGCTACAAGAGGCTGCTCCTCAAAACCTGTTGCCAACTGCCGGGCCTAGGGCACCCCGCGAGATGGAGAATGACCATGATATGGAGAATGACCACGGTATGGGGAATGACCACGAGATGAGGAATGACCACGGGAAACCTCGCCAGAAAGCAGCGTCTTCCCTCGGCCGCTTAATCACATATCCGCCGCCATGGTCCCACAAGCAGCAGGGCATACCGGTGAACAAAAATGGCGTTAGGAAGCGCCGGGCGAGACGGAGCGCCCGCCCCAGCCCACGACAACAAAGGTTGCTTGTTCGGAATGAACCAGAAAAAGGTGGTCCGCCTGTGCCTGGGGCATTTATCGACTAGAGGAGGCTGAAAAGCATATGTGAAGCTTCTATCACAGGATGCTATCTAGACAAGTATAGTAGGAAAGAAGTCTACATATGTAGCAACAAGTATATTATCCATTAAAAGGGTTTATTTAGTGTGATCTCTAGAACAATTAGTACTTTTACTACTGTGTAAGTAGTATAAGGAACTAAAACTAGGCTTTTATATACTTGTATATAATAATTATATAAAATCTATTTATATTTAAATCATTTAATCAGCTTATTATAATTATTTTATTACTTACTAGTAAATTTCAACGCTAGTAGCTAATTAATATTAACTATAATTAAAAGTACTAATTACGCTGGAGGAAATACTAAATAAACCCTCCCTTTTAGTCGGTCTCTCTACTATGAAGGTTCTAAGGTTCATGTTAGAAACATCAATGTCTTGTTTCGTGTTTCCACCCCAAGTCTGTCAGAAGTATAAAAAGACCTTTTCTCACTGGAAAGGTAAAAGTTTTTGAGATATAGGATTCACTTACTTTCTGGTCGTTCTATCGCATGCAAGAGCCATAATCCATGCGGTCCCCAGTCAAGGGCCGACGAAATAAGGGAACATTGAAATGTCAGCGTTGGCCAAGTTGTGTAGAGAGTCCCATGTATTTCCAATCCCGCTGCAGGAAGAGTCAGGTTGAGCGACTAGAGGACCCCCGGCAAGTTGAACTATCTTTTGCCGTAAGGACCGTTTGCGTCAATCATGTCCGCCGAGCGGCCGGTTCATGACGTCGTTGATCTTGACTAATTCCTGCCATGTGGTTCCTCTTAGCTTCCATCGCCCTGCACCTCAATCCGCGGCGGGTTGACCAACACCTACATGCAGGAACTGTCACTCAAAGACCTGGACTGCATTATGATTCATCAGGTAAGTAGTATGGACCGGTGGGCGAAATTTCGCGATTGTCCACGGTGAGCCAAGCCGTGGGCGTGCCATGGCCGGTTGTTGTGGGTTTTGAGCACCATGACGAAAGATGCTGCTGTGCAAAGCCTTTGTGGATGTAATAAATACGCAGACTATTGGTGGGAAAACTAGACAAGACGAATAAACGTCCAGTTTGCCGATTGTCAACTATACATACGTTGTCCGACCCTCTGCCGCAGCAAGCTGTTCCTAGTCCTCTAGCCTAGGCAAAAAAAGAAGGACCAGACAGTAATCATTGCGTCGAGTTCCGATCAGGTCTTTCACAACTTCAACATGCAGCAAGTTCCTTCCTCGCCCCAGTCGGATGAGTGTGCTCAAATGAGCGTCCCTGTCGCCGGTCTCGAGGGTTTGACGCTGTACGAGAAGAAATGTCGCCTGGTCAACCGAGAAATCGATCGTCAGGGCATGGGCCGATACCAGTGGTACATCTGGATCCTGTGCGGGCTCGGCTACTTTCTTGATCTTCTCTGGGCCCAGGCGTTTAGTCCCGTACAGCAAGAGATGGGCTTTCGGGACAGTCAGTCGGGAAACATTTCGACGAGCTTCAACGCTGGCCTAACTGCGGGCGCTATATTCTGGGGCTTGATTTCAGACATTGTCGGTCAGTGCCTTTATACTCGTCAAGTGTCTAACCCTCCGTTGTCCGTTCGAGCACACTGGCCTAACAGTCGACAGTTCAGGTCGCCGCTGGGCATTCAATCTGACCTGCCTCCTCTCATGCACCTTCGGCCTCTGTCTCGGCTTCTCAAATGATTACAAAACCCTGCTTGTCATCACTGCCTTTGTTGGCTTCGGAGTCGGCGGGAATATCCCCGTCGACAGTGCCATCTTTCTTGAATTTGTTCCACAAGTGAGTATACGCCATCGGCGGCGAAGCCACATGTGGCTAACTTTGCATTGAGAACCGCCGCTTCCTGCTTGCGTGTTTGTCCGTCTTTCAGCCTCTGGGAGTGGTCGTGTGCAGCGCCATTGCTTTTGGCTTCATCCCCGTCTATGCGTGCTCTCCAAACTTTTCCGAGAAGGATCCTCTGCAATCGTGCCGTACCGCCGCTCCGGGGGCTGCTTGCTGCTCGCGTTCCGACAACATGGGCTGGCGTTACTTTCTGTATACGCTAGGTGCCATATCGTTTGTGGTATTCTTTTTACGATTTGCCGTCTTTACGTTTCGGGAAACCCCCAAGTATCTTCTATACAAGGGAGAAGATGCCAAGGCCATAGCGACAATGCAGCACATGGCCAAGGTAAATAGACAGCAGTGTCGCCTAACTATTGAGGACTTTCAGGCCCTCGAACCAAACGGCTGCAGTGAAGAGGTAAGATCGTCCGACTTATTGATCCCTGGCCAGAAGGGTGTTTCGTTGGCGAGAGAGAGCTCTATCAAGTTTCGCCGATGGCTCGAGAGATACAAGATGCTGTTTGATGGCTTTCAGATGACGCGACTTACCATCCTGGTATGGCTCACTTACATTATGGACTTTTGGGGATTCACAGTTGCTGGTAGGTTTCCTCCTCAACATCCTGGTGGTGGTGGCAACTAACTTGTTTACACATTACTAGGCTTCTATCTTCCCCGAATCTTGGCTCTCAAAAATGGCGCCGCGTCCGCCAGCCTTGCATTCACCTATGCCGCATACATCTACACCTATGCTCCGGGTATCATTGGCGTCCTACTAGGCGCGTTTGTCTGCCGTGTTCCCGCAATCGGGCGCAAGTGGACAATGGCCGTGTCGTCGGGTCTCATGGGCGCATCCATCCTGCTCCTCTCAAAAGCCGACACAATCGCGAAAAATGAGGGCCTTTTCGCCCTCCAGTACTTCTTTCAGTCCATGTTTAATGCCGTCTTGTATGGATGGACGCCCGAGGCATTCCCTGCGCCTGTAAGAGGGACGGCATGTGGAGTGGCCAGTTTCTGGGGTCGGCTGTTCGGTATTATTAGCCCCCTGATTGCGCAGCACTTGTATGGGAGAACGACGGGGCATGACGGCAATGGAGATATTAACAGCGTGCTTTATTTGGCGGGGGGCGTGTCGTTGGGGTGCGTGGTGACTACGGCGTTGTTGCCGTCCAAACTGATGGAGGCCCAGGATGAACGCTCGTGAGCGGTGATTTGTAGTTTCAATGATGAGGCAACATGACTCTTTCCCTTTGAAATCCACTGCCGCACGACAACAGTCATGGAAATTTATCTCGTTCAACTATGAGAGAATCATCTCCTCTCGCATACTGTGACCCTGGCCTAGGATGTGTTGAAGAACTGCACTGGAATGGGTATACGGCGTATACTGAGTTTGAGCTGCGTATTCCACTTGGAGAGTATAGGTTCAAGAAATCTGTTTGACAGACCGCGAGTCAGGATATGGCTTCTGTACCCAAGAGCACTCAATGGTTATTGTAAGCAGTCACGCGTCATGGTGGAACCAAGACCAAGATAAACACAGATGCTCAGTAGACCTATTTCAAAACCGAAGCTGTCCATTTGCGTATTGGGGCCGAAATCTTGATCCGGCTAAGCGTTTTATTGTAGTAGTATTCGTTTTAGATGAATCGGCTCTTGTCACACAGGGTTGGTTACACGAGGGCTATGATCACGGGACCTAGCGCAGAAACCTCACCGACTTGTTGTATTCCAAGAGCTCTTTGGTCAGCCGGGCCTTGAGGAAAACCACAGGCAAGGACCTTTGATACCAAAGACTCTTATTAGATGAATCGAGTCATGATGCTCCAAGCCTTTCGCCCTTGTCACACATTCTGCTAGGAGCAAGAGCGTCGAGAAAGATTGGTGTATGGTCGTGAGTATCCTTGACCCCTGGAATATCCATCTCAGTCTGCAGCCCTGCTGTCGCATCGAGACAAGGCCAAAATACTACACACCAAGCTGATAGAGGAGCAGTGACAGCTTGAAGGCTGTAGAGGCTCAAGCCACGCCGAGGGTTGCGTCCCGTGGATCGTCGTCAGCCACTGTCGAAAGCGTCCACAATGACGTACTCCGGGGACATCAACCAGCCCATCCAATTCCAGTCGCGCTGCGTTTTATTTCGACATCAGACGATTTGCTGTGGCAGAGTAATCCAGACGTTTCGCAGTCTTGACACTCTACCGCGCGCCGCCATCTCGCCATTAGTCCATTCGCTCGCGGCCATCGCCCGACAACGTAGACGCTGCGATGCCTCTATCGGCGAAACAATTTCACAAGCCCAAAACGCCATCTGGTTTCCGCTCTGGCGAGTTCATTCCACGATTCACGCCATCGCAAGGCGCCCTCATTTGCGGCGGGTGCGTAGTCATTGACCCTACACTACGCAAGGTTGCCTTGATTCACGACCCGTCTACCGGCATCAACCAGCTCCCAAAAGGTCGAAAGAACATTGGCGAGGACGTCCATGCCGCCGCGCTGCGAGAGACGCGCGAAGAAACAGGCTTGCACGTCATTCCTCTCCCCCTAAAGGGCCTGACCCGCGCAACGCCAACGGCGCAAATGCTTGGCGAACCTGTCAACGCGGAGACATTCGCAGCGGGTTCCGCTGGAGAAGGTGAAGACGACCAAGATGTTTGGGAAGATGTAGATGAGGAGGGGACCAACGCGGAACGTGCTCGCGGTCTGACCGGTTGGGCACACCATTGCGAGCCTATAGGTATTACGACATATCGGTGTGAGATGACTCTCGCGTTCAAGATGATTTTCTGGTATGCCGCACAAGCCGACTCATTGGAGGATCCCAGGCAGGATGCAAAGGAGCGCTGGGAGCAGCAGTATGAGCTGAAGTGGGTGAGTGCACGGGAAGCCTCGACACAGATGACGTTTAAGGCGGACGGCCAAGCCATTGAAAAGGCACTGGCAGATATGCGCCGCTCTGGATATGAAATTTAGCACGTGTGCGGGCCACATGGTGGTGGTGACAACTTACGGCCTTGACATACAAACCCGGCGCCCGCGTCGGGTCAGTCCCGAGTCCCGGCTTTCGCAAGTCCACATGCATCGGAGACGGAGCAAAACCCCAATGTCCAGGCACCAGTGGAACAACTAGCCTCGGGCCCCATTGGCAGTTGACAGTCCATGTCACGGTGTCAGTCGTGGCCGAAAGGGGAAATTCTTTCGAAGACGTGCATTGCCGACCGGGGCCGGGCGTGCCTCGGCAGTGGGCACCGACGGATCGCATCGATTGTCCGAGATGCATCTTGGCCCCATCGTTTCACGGACTCTGTCAACGACCCGTCCGCTGTGTCTTGAGAGTTGTGCCGGGTCCTTTCCGACGCTGTGGGCCAGCCGGGCTTGATAAGAGACGGATCCTGCCCGTCCCCAGGAGCCCGCACGCGACCACGACTCTACAATCGCCTCCATCGTGACCATTCTACGACTCGTGTAACAGCATGGCCAGCGCTCCGGATTTCGACGTCGTCATCGTCGGTGCCGGCATCTCAGGCATCAACACGGCGTACCGCATCCAGTCCAACTTCCCCCGCTACAGATACTGCATCCTCGAGGCGCGCGAGGCCATCGGCGGCACGTGGGATCTCTTCAAGTATCCCGGGATCCGGTCCGACTCGGACCTCTTCACGTTTGGCTTCCAGTGGTACCCGTGGAACCGCAACAACCCCATTGCCACGGGCGAGTCCATCCTGGAATACCTCGCCGAGGCGTCGTCCAAGCACGGCATCGACAAGAACATCCGCTTCAAACACAAACTCCAGCATGCCTCGTGGTCTACGGAATACCAAGAATGGACGCTGTCCGTGACCCGGGGCACCAAAGCCACGTCCATCTCGTCGCGCTTCGTCGTCTTCGGCACCGGCTACTACGACTACAGCACGCCGCTGCAGGCGCACATTCCCGGCCTCGACACCTTCGCCGGCCAAGTGGTCCATCCCCAGTTCTGGCCCTCGACGCTCGACTACACCGACAAAAAGGTCGTCGTCATCGGCTCGGGCGCCACGGCCGTCACCCTCGTGCCCAAGCTCGCGGAAAAGGCCAAGCTGGCGACCATGCTCCAGCGCAGCCCGACGTACATTGTCGCGCTGCCCAACCGCTCAGCCCGCTCCCTCGTCGACTACGTGCTCCCGCGCGCCGTGGCCCTGCGGCTCAAGCGGCTCCGCTGGATCGTCACGTCGCGCCTCTTGTTCCTCTTCTGCCGGGCCTTCCCCCAGTCGGCGCGGTGGCTGTTCCGCCGCGGCACCCTGCGCCTCCTGCCGCCCACCACGTCCTTCGATCCGCACTTCAACCCGTCCTACGACCCGTGGACGCAGCGCCTGTGCGTCTGCCCCGACGGCGACTTCTACAAGGCGCTGCACACGGGGCGCGCCGACGTGGTCACGGGCACGATACGGACCGTCACGCCCGCCGGCATCCAGCTCGAGGCGGGGGGGTTCCTGGACGCCGACGTCATCGTCACGGCGACCGGGTTGAGGATCCAGCTGGGCGGCGGCGCGACCGTCGACGTCGACGGCAGGCCCGTCGCCCCGGCGGACAAGTTTATGTGGAGGGGCGCCATGCTGCAGGACGTGCCGAACGCCTTCTTCGTCATGGGGTACACGAATGCCTCGTGGACGCTGGGCGCCGACGCGACTGCCACCTTGGCCGTGCGGCTGCTCCGGACGCTGGGGCGAAAGGGCGGCACGAGCGTGGTGCCGCGGGTGCGGAACCCCGAGGCCATCGAGTTGGCGCCGCTGATGAATCTGAATTCGACGTATGTCAAGGCCGCGGCGGGCGCGATGCCCAAGGCCGCGACGGGGGGGGCCTTTGCCCCGAGGGGGAATTACTTGGCTGACGAGTTTCGCGCAAAGTACGGGAGTTTGGATGGCTTGGAGTGGGTTCGGAGGGGGGAGGGGAATGGCAAGGCATAGATGGTGGGTGTGAATTTTGAGCAGGAGACGTTATTACAGCTCGTGGGTGGCTTTTGCATTTAGCAATATATCTTGCTACGGCGGATATAGAGGTTCCTGTTATTAATGCTGTGAACTGCTGGATGTTTCAGAGTTGCGTCTCTTTTTCAAGACAAAAGGCAACAGATGTTATTTTCGGTAGCGGATATTTAAATAGTTATAGGAGTCAAGTTATGGGAATATCTCTTTCGAAATTTGTTATACCAGTCAAGATTTCTCAGACTTACTATTATATAGCCATAATATCTATAAACAAACTTCCATGTACTTGAAAGTTATTTTAAAGTTATTAAAGGATTTTAATAATAACCTAAATAATTTGTATAAAGGTAATAAAAGCAAACGAGCTAAGCAAAAAAGCTAAGCAAAAATATAGAAAGCTAGATACGTATACTAAGAGCGAGTAATATATTAAAGAATTAAACTTTACTACTTGAAGTAAAATAACAAACACCAGATCCTTGTACTGGCAGTAGAATCAACTATGCTGCCGTCCCCTGAAGGCCTTTATAGGCGATTCTCACTTGTAATCATATCCCGATAGCCCACATGCAGGCGTGTGGCGCTGCAGGGAATGTAGCCAATTGAACAGACATGAACGGCGTGTGGTACTCAAAAATCGTGTGTCACTGCTGCCGCGGGCGAGGGTCTCCGTCCATAATAGGAGGGCGTAAAAGGACGATATTTAAGTCTTCATCTAAGGCTAGGAGTTGTTTAAATAGCCTACTAACGTTTCAAAGAAAGCAAATAACGTGATGATGATATTTATATTAGGCGCCACGTACTTTACATACACGCGCGCCGTGGTAATAAGCATCGCTTCTACCGACATCAGATCAGGTAGATTGCCGTTGACTTCCCCAACTCGGATCCGGAACGATCCGGAAGTGCTGTCACTAGATGACGCAATAACGCAGGCGCGGTAGGAGGTGGTAGGCGGTTCTTCTTTCGGCTTGCACGGTGACATCGAACTTTGGGCAAGACTTGCTTGCAGGTCGTGGTAGTTACAGACTGCTTAGAGTATATCCTCCCCCATCTAGCCGTACAGTCAGTGACCTCATTTTCGATGGAGTTAACGGAAAACGAGGAACAGTCGCGATAAAGGTGGCGAAATGGACACGGGACTCGGAACCTAACAGATCAATTGCGTTGAAGCAAGGAAGAACTGAAAGCTTTCGGGGGTTATGGCGAGGATCTTCATTTAGGCATGTCACCAATAATTCCCGCATGAGTCGAGCACGAGCCGAGAAAATGAGCCAATTAAAGGAGATTTTATGCTTTTCTTTTTGACAGAATAAACTTGACGTCATTTGGGCCGCAGTCGCAGCGACTTGGCCCTTACGACAGGGCACCAGGGATCTGGGTTCACTCGGCATCTGGTAAAGGGACATGATTCGGCAACAGCTTCCAGGATTGGCCAGCTGCACTCTTTACATGATTAATGGATAATATTATCAGTTTATGCAGACCGAGTCATCAATACCAAGTGACCCTGGCCCCTGCAAGGTGATCCTGAATCTCACTGATCAGTAGGATTAAAGGCCACATCCCCAATTTTGAAACGTTTCATGCTGCTTCAACACTGACAAGAGGCTGTGGGTCACTAGCAAATGTGCATTCGCAATCGCACTATATACGTGACAAGGCATAAAAAATTTGTGTTACAAAGAATTTAGCCACATGATTTTTTGACAACCTTGTTGTCGCCTTGCAGTTTTATTTCCCGATACCACGGCACTTAATTTGCCGACTGGTGACAAACTATTTAATCTATTTCTCACAACTTTTTACCCATTGTATTTCTATTTTCATGTCAATTTAACCTCCACCTCTCCACGGCCAAGGATGGCCATTTCGCAAAAGCCCACGTGGCTTCACAGTGCCCTGTCTCTCGTCCCAGGCCGCTCAAATCGTTTCCTTCGGATATTGATTGCGATTGGTGTTGTGATGCTCATTATCAAATACTCTTCGCTTGACCTGCCCTTCTACCAAAGCAGCCTTCGTATGCCCACCCAAAAAAGCCCGAGTACAGCTCAAGCATATTAACTTGGACACGCCAAGACAAGTTCAGTATTCAGTCTAGAACACTTGCAAGGGCGGGAAACAGTACCCTGGGTTTCTCATCCATTGAGTTCATCAACTTGAAACACCGCTTCGACCGCTTAGATGCTGCGACTCTGCAGGCGTACTTGTCCGGTCTGGACATAAGTGAAGCAGCTGGCGTCCAGTCGGACGATATCCACGATGCCGGCATGCCACCAACCCATCGGATAGGTGTTATACGAGATGGAGAAAAGGGTTGTTGGCGAGCTCATGCCAATGTAAGTTTTTCCCAGCAACCATGGCCAATCGGTCCGCCCTGACATTCTAGATATGGTCCCGAATGCTTCGTGACAAGTCTCCTGCCGTCCTCATTATCGAATCCGATGCGGCTTGGGATATTAATATCCGTGACATCATGTCCACCCTGAACCCACACTTTACTGACCTGCTCGGTCGGCTGGGCTCTAAGCCGATTCCTGACGCGGCATGGAATGCAGGGCGCTCTCATAACACGTCTCACGATTCCCTACAGCTCAATCCCAATGATCCTTGGCATAGTAGGCACTGGGATATGCTATCTTTCGGACAATGCTTCGAATCTTCTGTAAATAGTGACGTCAGCCTGTCCTATCCAGACAAGCACGTGACTGAAGGAAAGGACTACTTTGGCCAGACATTGGGCCACGACAGAGTCGTACGGCTATCTGGTGGTATTGTATGCACTACCGCATACGCGGTGAGCCGGACTGGTGCTGCGAAACTCCTCCTTCGCTCCTCTGTTGACCTGGACAACCCTGTCGACTTGTTGATGCGCCGGATGACCTTGTCTGGCGACTTGATAGTTTACAGTGTCATGCCCACCGTCTTTGCGCAGTGGGAGTATGTTGAAAAGATTGGCATGACGGAGCGCGGTGCGAATAGTGACATTAACAGTGCGAAGAGTGATGCGGAGATTGACATGACTGGGTGGGCAGACGTCGAAAAGACGGGCAGCGTGTGGCAGGACAAGCAAGTCCATCCGGACATTGCGTTTGAAAACATGGCGCTTGAGAAAGCGTGGAGCCTGATTCTGCCAAATGCGAGCTTGGCAGAGTCACAATATCATGAAGACGAGGGCAATTAGATGCAAATACTTGGTATTTACTGGTGTATTTTATAACGTGTATAGCAGCATAGCGAATCTGTAAAATGTCACACGGGCTATCATGACGGGATTCAAGGTGAGTCGTATTGAGAACTCATGCCCGCCCCCGCATCCTAATTGATAAGACGGCCAGAGATAATTCATCACACTCAACACCATCCTCGCTACAAGCAGCCTAGCTATTACTTTACACCACATTTTTCCTTGGCACATCGATTCAAGACTTTCACAATAAAGTTCTCTCTCATAGCCATCGCATTCGTCACAGGATACACCCTGTCTGCACCAGTTGAGGAAGATGTCTCTGGACCATGGCAAGCTGTATGCCCAGACAAGTGGGAAAGGTATTTCGACACGTGCTACGAAACGGATCCGAAGAAAGGACGGGAGTGTTTTCAGGAATACGGTAAAAGGTTGAGATTCTGCGTTGAGACGGTCAAAGGCCCGGGCGCCAAGAACAGCCCTTAAAGCACCTCACACGGCGCCTCTAAGGAAACAGCCTCTTCAACTATAGCTGTTTCCCGATGGGCCCCAGAACAACCATTCGTCAAGTTGTAGCTCGCCAGTTCATAGCCTTGTGGCTTCACACCTTCGTGAGCAGAGATGGCTCAATGCGTTTTGGAATTGACAGGCCGGGATGCTTTGTCGACGGGTAAAAGTACAACACATCTATACTAGGAGGCACATGAGGAGGTCAATTATCTACGGAATTAGTGGCGGTGCAGTATTTTCCTTTTGCACCGTCTAGTTGAGCCCTGGTATTCTCCTGTACCGAACTTGATGTACGCTGCTCTCTCATTGTTTACGCTGTCGCTTAAATTCAGATGCTACGTGACAGTTGCTTAGATAGCTCAACACACTTCAATGGTTACTAGAGACGTCTGGTGTGTCTGTGACGTGTATAGAGCATCTGGATTTATATCGAAATTGCTCAAGACGGAAAACAATTATCAGTATGACCTATCTCTGACGTTGCAAACTCCAAACGGCCGCTTTATATAAACAGCCGCTCATGTGACGACGGGTTGGTGATGTCTCTGCCTGTGTGCCCAAGCCACTCAAGCCACATTCGTAGCACAAACGTTGGTATGATTACGGACAGCTTGAATACAAGGCGGGGAACACATTCGAGGCCCAGCCGGACTTGAAGCTGTCAAACTGTCACGATGGTCGCCACTAAGGTCAAGCCTACGTCATGCCTCACCTCGTTGCCGATATGTTATCGCGAAACATGTATGCTCTGCATTGTGATATTCAACTGCCCCGAGCTACCAGCAAGTTTTCAAATAAACATTCGAAAATCTCCAGGAACAATTCTCGCTCCCTTCCCTGCCGCAAACACCTGAGCCAACAATGGGCGCCCTGAGACATGTTACGTCATTTCTCAATAATTGTAAGACATTGAACGAGACATGCAGACCGGTCAGCAAAAGTCCTTTACTAGTCTCTGCAGCCTAATCTTGGTCTCGACTTTGGGCTGAACCCAGATTTTCGCAGCTACCATTTCCCAGCGTATATCCCGTTGCCGTCTCAATGAGCAACTACATCGCAAGACTGTAGCCGGCATACTCGCTCACTCCTTATGTTTGTGCTCATGCAGCTCAATCACCCAACACTTTACACGGTGATCAAATTTGACAAAACGATAGTATATTCAAAATACCTATCAGGTACTAGACTATACTTGGACCAGTCCAAAACAAAATGCTTAGTGCGTCCCTAAACGGTCATGCAATCTTGACCATCTGGCGGTCGGGACAAATCTCAGACCACCCGTTTTCGAGATGAAGCAGATTAAATTTCAATTTCCTCGTCGGGGTAGTAGTATTCGTCCGTGTAGTCGTACTCGACCGTGCGGCGAGGGAGGCAGTAAGGGCTGTTATTTTGCTTGTTGAACTTGCAGATCGTTCCGGGCGGGCAGCGGCCAGCAAACTAACACCAAGCCATCATCAGCACAATTTGACCATTTCAGTAATTCCAAGGGGGTACGCACCACCCAGTCGCCGCTAGTGTTGCAAACGTCCCACGCTCGCAGCGAACGCTCGCATCGATAAGTAGCAGGCTTGCATTTATGCGCGAAAGGCGAAGCAGCGACGACGGAGGCCAGAGCGGCAACGGCGACAGTGATGAACTTCATACTAGTAGCCTTGGGAGTATATGAATAATAAATCTGGTATGACTGAACCCAAGTTTACTTCTCTTTGGTGAATATGTTAATTGGAAGCATGACGAGGGTGCACTTGACATTGAAGGATACCTGCAGCTTATATAGATCTATGCCTGACAACAAATGAGCTTTAATACGCTTTTGGAGCTGAGTCATCTCTGTCGATCAAAATACCCAAGGCCTGTTAACTCGAGGCGCCTTTTCCTCTGGCGCAACGATGGGTGGCTGGCTGAGCTGAACTTGTCATGTAAAAATCTCCGAATCCGTTGAAACATGCATGTTGGCCACGGGCCGCGGTCAAGTCTTAAGTTTTCACTCAATAACCCACATGCATATTTGGTCTTAGAACCCTGCGTAGTTATAAGTAATTTATTATATAATATAATAGCTAATTAGGCTATTATAAATAGTTTCAAGTAAATAAATTATATAATAAAAGCTATATAAGCTGTAATACCTTAAAATATACAAGCTAAATTACTTTTTATAAAAAAAGTATTTGTTTATTAATTAAAAGTAAATTATTAATTTATTTATTTATTTATTTATATTTACTAGACTAGTATTTTATACCTTAGTACTTCTATATTTATTTATATTAGGAAAGATCTTATTAAGCCAGCTACTAGTAACGCGGCCGCCCGCTAAATTATTATACTATCTCTAGTAATATAAATAATATAGCCGTAAATAAAACAATATCGTATTTAATATCGTACTATCTGCACGGTATTTTTATACCGTGCATTACAGTTAAAGGTCGTCCAAATATTGTATAATATAATATTTATGCAGTGTAAATACAGTGCAACACGAGTAATGCAAAACCCTTGCTGTACGCATCGGGCATAATTAATAAAGATCCCAATTTACAGGACTTCTACCAATAAGGGTGCTAGCCCCTGAATTTTTACTTACTCTATTAGCAATTCTTATTTTAATTTCCTGATATATAATAACTTCTTAACTCTTAGGTATTAGGGCTTTCTTTGCGGGTATATCGTCCCTGGCATCTCTAGCTCTCGATTCGACGGTTATCAGCGATGATAGAGATTTTAACAAGTAATAGTAGCTATCCACCAGCAAGCAGACATTACAGAAAGTAATACCTTAGTTTTCGTAACTATATTTAGGGTAGGAGCTAATTATGTTTAGAGGCTGCTCCAGAATACCACAGGTCACGTGCGTAGATAAATACTTAAGACCATATTCACCACAATTTATAATATAGTCTGGTCTATTGTGACAGACACACTAATAGCTTAGTCTGTTTTATCTCAGGAGACTGGTCGTATAGAGTGGCCAAGTCAAACGGACTGCCAGTTTAGTCTAGTTAAGTTAGAGGGACTAACTGGACTAATCGGAGAGCCCAAAGATGTGCGTCAACCTTACTCAACCGGGCTCGCTTCATGCTTTAGCCATGCGGCTCTATGCACGGCGTGCGATACGATATTACAATACTATATTGCTCAAATACCGTGCAATAGCGTATACCTGTAACGGGCAAAGCCGCCTATCACTAACCGAGCGATATAGTAGTTTGCCACGTTGCCCTGTGCCGAGCAATATTCCTTCCAGAAATTAATAGGCACCACAGTAGGGCAAGTAAGTCAATATAGTAAGATATTCTCGTGCAAATAGACATTTTTATCCGTGTATATAGTAATACTAATAGTAATAATCAAGTAGGCGGTGATACTACAAATTGGATACAGGAGCAGAAGAACATTCTTTGTCAAATCCAACCAGACTAATTACTCAATATTAATTTCACCAATTCTGTTAATATTTTTCGATCTATTGGGAAGGTGTGCAATTATTCAAGATGTTAACCTGAGAAACTTCGCCTTCGCTCCGCTATAGCGCACCTAGCCCTGACAACCACACCAGTTCTCACACTAAACCCGATCTCCAATTGTCTCTGATGAAATGTTACGACTCGGTCAGTTAAAGTACCAAACAGCAGTGATAGGCTAACCCATTTTGCATACCTCAGTCTGAGAAGACTAGCCCCTCAGCCAGATCCTGCTTCTGATTCTTACTAGAGAGCCCAACTGCGCAGGTAAAGCCTGTCTATATTCGGCCGACCTATTAGACCAGACCTATTGAGCTTGTTGACAGCGGGAACTTACGTCGAATCCATTAACAGTTCCCAATCGGCATTCTTCGCACTAAGATTGCGCGGCTTATCAGCAACTCTGCTCTGCGGGCTCGCATATAAACTATACTCACCCCGCCTTTTTCCTGGCAGAGAGGACTAAGACCATCCTTGACCTGTAATAGGGTAGTTAGTGATACGCCTATAACTAGACTTAGCAAATAGCGCAATGTCTCTTACAGCAACCTGTTCCTGCAGCCCATCGTTAGATCACCAGGTTGGCATAGTAGACAGTCCAGAAAGCGATCTTACCTCCTTACGAGACGCGGTGCAGTAAATCTTCTTCTTCTATAGCATTAGCCACCGGGAGTATCGCGTAGGGGTATTTAATGCGCAGTTACCTCTTCTTCTTTGCACGCGATATTTTGGTGCCCTATGATCTCTAAAATCCGTTTTTGTGTCTATAATTAACTGTGAATTTCTGCCACAGGCTCAACTAGTGAAGTTTCAGCTGTAAACTTACCACCGGCGCACCAGCCACCTCGTCGCGAGTGGGCTTGGTTTGGTTGACAGGGCTGCCCGGCTCTCGGGATTGAAGGCACCAGTAGTGGGGCTCTATGGGGACCTGTAGCGGTGCGGGCACCGTGCCGGCACCGTAACAGAGGTGCCGGGGGGGTGCCAAAGGTGCCAAAAGGTGCCAAAGGCCCTGAAAGCTAGTGCCGTGTGGTGCCGCAAGGTGCCGCAAGGTGCCAAAGGTGCCCAAAATTCAGGGCCGGCACCTTTTATATAATGATCAATTGCGAGCTTTCTGGTTAAATGATCGTGACTACCATAGTGGTTATATATAATGCTTAATTTATAATCTATAAAGCCGTGTATTTAATCCCTATAAATGCCCTTTTTTATACCTATAAAAATACCTTATAAAATACTATTAATTTATAGCTATAAATTAGTAATATATAGTGTAAGCTACCTTTTTTTTTATGTGTGTGGCGGCTTTTGGCACCTTTTAACACCTTTTTGGCACCGTTTTAGCACTAATATATAACCTTACCGGCACCCAGCCGGCATTATGCTGGCATTATACTAAGAGCTGGCACTGTACCATAACTTATATGGTGCCCACAGCGTACTAATTTTTGGTACGGTAATAGCATTCTAGCTAGCCCTACTACTGACTCCTCGGTACTACTGAAGCTTTCGCCAAACTCCTGGAACAATTTGCGCTGACAATAAATCAATGTACCCTGGCAGCCTTCAGTGTTCCATTTGTATGCGTCACCCCAAAACGTCCCACTCCCACATAATGCCATATTCGTTTTCTTGCCAGGCTGCTTGAACGGCTTCAGCGTTTCCTGTCGTGCCCCAAGAGGCCCAGCAAGAGCAAGGCCTGCGAAGGCTGACACAAGTGCTAGTTGCATTGTATGAATTACGATGGCAATTCTTCGAGCTGAGAGCGGACGGGATGAATCTAGCCTCAGAGGGTAGGAAATAAAACAAAATTCGGTTCTTATCATATCACAGCCTAAGTAAGTGAATGTAAGTCTGATGAGACCCGTAGCATGGCGTATTTATACCTACTAGCCTAGAGCATATCTTTCTCCAACGATTCCTTTCGACCAAGTAGACCGCCTTACTTTCACTATTAGCATGGCTCTGCTACTAGCTTGCAATAATTGAAAGTGCAGGTTGAAATTGGGTCCTATGAATCAGTTCATTCCCCACATCTCTGACATGCCGTTTGACTCGACTACCCAGCGAATACTAGTATACACTATTCATTCCCATTGCCTTAGTTCAGATGGCTTTTCTGACGTGACCCATGGCAGCCCCTGCAAGTACAGAATAATCACAAGGAATTGGGGGTACGGCACGTCGAGTAAGATATGTTGTGCTATTCCAGCAGCACCCCCACGCAAATCCACAAGGCGTCACTTCCAGTGACGCGGCCATATTTACAATCTCCCAAGCTCGAGTTCCTAGTCGGTGAGAAGGAAGCTCACTGGGCCTCGCAACAGCCGGACAGAGAAAGCAGGGCCACATACCTGCGCTTTGATTAGGTTTAAGGTTTAGGTGAGTCATGTACAATACCTGATAGCGTCAGTGTGAAAGGCCTCTAGTGAGTGATTCAACTAACTAGTCCCTATGCTGTTTACTATCAAGAGGAAGAAGAAAAGAAAGTCTACACACTTTGTGGCATAATAATAGCGCCTTATATCTTCCCTATACGCCTCAACAGAAGGTTCTAGAGTCAACCCGCTGGGGGAATTTGGTCGCTGTATTATTTACAGTAATATACTTGGTGATACTACAACGATTATACTGCGAAATACACGAGGCTATCAGAAAGATTTAACTCTTAAACTAATTTACTTCTTATATTCCTATTCTACGGAATACTTAAGTTATAAAGTATTAAAATAATAAAGTATTTTACCGGCTCCCTGTTTTAACTCGTGGGTGCTACTTACTCTCCTCCTCTCGTTTTCGGTACCTCGGCTCTTCAAACTATACTTCTGTGACAAGGGTTCAATATAAAGGCTTAGAGCAAAAAGAGCTTAATTTAATAATAATCTCGTAGAATATTAAAGGTCCTAAATTACTAAGAGAAAAAAAAGGAAAAGTAATTACTTTATATATATAAAAGAAATACCTAGGCTTAATATTTTTACCTAGGTATATATTCTAACTGTGTAACTAATAAGTCTTATATCAGCGAAGCCCTTTTATTGGGCTTCCCGATCTGTTGGGCCTTTTCCGTGTAACAGCTTCTTACAGTAGTCTATCATAAAAGTCATGGTGCTGCAGCCGATTGTATTCCCTGGATAATAATACAACTCTCGGTTGATAATTCTCGTGACGCCTGGAC